GCTCCTTGCCAAGAACCCTCTCTTGTACCTGAAGCGTCTGTCGGTATATTTGCTCAGCCATGTCGTGCTTACCCTGCTTTCTTAGAGCTACTCCAAGATTGTTCATGCTTGCTAGTGTATTAGGATGCTCCTTGCCAAGAACCCTCTCTTGTACCTGAAGCGTCTGTCGGTATATTTGCTCAGCCTCGTCGTTCTTGCCCTGTCTTTGTAGACCTATTCCAAGATTGTTCATGCTTGCTAGTGTATTAGGATGCTCCTTGCCAAGAACCCTCTCTTGTACCTGAAGCGTCTGTCGGTATATTTGCTCAGCCTCGTCGTTCTTGCCCTGTTTTTGTAGGGCTATTCCAAGGTTGTTCATGCTTAATAGTGTATGGGGATGCTCCTTGCCAAGAACCCTTTTAGTCCATTTTAAAGCCTGTCGAATCATTGGTTCGGACGAATTATATCGACCCTGGCTGTCGAAAAATTCTGCGAAATAGAACGTAGCAGCATGCAATTTGATCCCCTCGAGATCTCCTTGGAGAACTTTATATTTGTTCTCGTTTTGAAAAACGACCTCTAAGTGAGAAAGTAAAGCTTGCCGTGTGCTTAAAGTCATTTCATAAATGGGATGCTTTTGGAGAAAGGTGGAAAGCAGTAGAATTGCTTCTGTAGCGTATGCTCGGTGATCATTTATGACTCGCAACTTTACCCAATCTTGAATAAGAGGGTGGAGTGAGAATGTTGTCCCATTGTCTCTGGTGTTCAGGTTTTGAAGTAGTGAAAGTTTTCGAAGCTCTTTCAGTATGTCTTGGGCTTCATACTTGTCCCAGACACCATCTGTTACACAGGACACTAGCCAATCAATATTTTGAGAGCCATAGCATTCAAATAGATCTTCAGATACTTCTTTGCTGTCTAGGAATGCCGCAAGAGTAAGGATATGAATTTTGTCTTTCTGTTCCGTTGGAGTTCCAGTAATCAGTTGGACTGACAGCTCCCAGGTGGTGAACACAGTTAGCTTGGTCATGGTCTCTGAATCGGTCTTCAATCTTCGTTGGTAATCCCATAATTCAGGTATCTCGCTGAGTACCTTTTTTTTCCGCTCGGTATAGTGTTCCATATAGAGGCAAAGATCAAGATCACCTGCCTTGATGTACGCGCCTGCCTGGTCGATAGCAAGGGCATGATATCCAAGCCGCTTGACGATATTTTCCCCTTCTTGTATGTTCTCATCAGACCTCTCAACGTCGCTTCTATTGAGTAAAAGATCCAACGCTTCCTTATCCAACATGGATGTTACATCAATACTCAGTCCCATGTCCTTTACTCCAGCGTGTCGAGTTGTGAAGAGAATCGACGCGTGGGCCCCCCGTGGGAAATAATCCTTGATATTCTCATCGCCAAACGCGCTCGGATCATCAAAATTGTCAAAGACGAGCAGCCAGTGGATATTCCTAGTCTCTATCGCATTAAGAACAAATCTAATGTTGCCTTTGACATCTGCCACATCAAAATCTGGCCTGGACAATTTATGCGCAATATCGGCAAAAGACTGCGCCATGCTTGCTGGGGTGCTTGCGTCGAACCAGAAAATCGCAGAAAACCATTTTCTATTCTGTCCCTGTCGACAGTATTCGAGTGCAACCTGGGTCTTGCCGCATCCACCCATACCATAAAGGACAGCAATCGTTGGTGCTGAATTATGTTGCCTCATTTGGAAGTGGTTCTGGATAGCATCCACGAAATCTTTTCTGGCGACATAGTGCGTGACTTGATGCGACGGATATAGATAGTAGGAATGGGCATTTACGGGTGCGGTGACTGCTCCATCTGTCTAATAATAAGCAGATGTGTAATAAAGGGCCGTTGCTATGTACCTAGCTGTCCAAGAGGGAAAGCATCCAAGGGTTTCCCTACTAATGCGTCTACAATAACCCCTATCTCTTGTTTAATACTTTTGTCTTGGAGATATGCCTCAGTGTGCGTCTTGACCTCTCCAAGCTTTTCCCACTCCTGAAGGGTGACCAGTTCAAGTCCTTGCTCCACATTCAGCCGGTGATAAAGTCCATGGCAGTTCCGAAGTCGATCTTTCATCCTTGACGCTTCAGCCTCTGAGTCCGTGGCCATCTTTTTCATGACTTTGATAAGGTCCAATGGCACTGCTCTTTGAAAGAAATTCGGGGCTTTGAACCCAGCAGCCATTGACTTTCCTGTTCCGATGCTGATGATGCAGTTTACCTTTCTGTCAGGGCCGAATTCGTTTATTGCTTCTTCGACAAGATACCGCACGGGATTGTTACATCCCATACCGGCATCAATGAATTCCTCTTCTATTCCAGCGTCGCCAATATAAATACGCTTGAAGAAGGTGGGGGCAGCAGATGTCGCGCGGGCGGCTTCCCAGATAGTACAGTTATATCCAGGGTTTTCATCTGCGGACCATGTTCTGAACAGCCTCGGTTGATTGTTGACGTGCATCGCTGGAACGGCGCAAACAAACCTAAAAAATCAGTGTTATTAAAAGCCGATAATTTCATAGAGGCTCACATACGTCTTGCACGACACAGTGTCCGTTATAAACATATTATCGTCCGCATGACCTTTGCCTAATTTTGACTCGATAGTTTCTTTTATTGCCCTTTCTAGATTGGAGGCTTTGTAGGTCCCGTCTTTTCCAGGGGCCTTCTTCTCTGAGAAGATTTGTTTGGCCAGGGCTCGATATGTATCAATAGCTTCGGGAACTGATAACCGGAGGCGGCCAAGAAGAATAGCAATAAGTCTATGCAATATTAGAATAACATACTGCTACGACTTCAGCTAAGGATACTGACCCGCCAGTGCTTGTTCCACAGATCATATCAAAGTAGTCAGCCGGTAACGGTGTCTCCACTTTCAAAGCCCGGCCAACACGGTGCATGATTTCCTGTAGTATTACAAGCTCCGAAATGCCCCTGATTCCGCCGCCGTCTAAAGAGAGGAGACGGAGAGGCCGGTTCAGCGGTTCCGGCGGCGAAGTTTGCTCCATGTCGGCAAGGCTGAGTCCTAAGTACTGCGAAGATGGTATATATTTTGGGGTAGATATTCTTGATTCGTCAAGTTGGAACACTCTTCATCGCTTCCCTCGTAGCATTGTATCACAGGCTCATGAAGACGCGAACAAGAAGAATTGCAAAGTTTGGGGTGTTCAGCTTCTCTTGTACGGAGCCTCATTGCAGCCTTCCCTTACACTCATTTCAAAAGACAGCGCTTAGCCTACGAATCAGCAACGACAGACCCTGGTCGCACCTTGGCGGTGGTGAACAACGCACCGAATGAAGTCGAACATGCATAGTCCAATCGGAGGGTCTTCTCGTCCATCCCGAGATATTCCCCTGGAGGTTCGGCTTAGTCAGTTGAGACACGACTTATTTATTATCCGCAGGAGTTCATAGCCGTTACGCATGCCCTGTCAGTATTGTAAAATAAATCAGTTCGTAGGCCCTTAGAGCGGGTAGAACATCCCCTCTCTCACATAACCACCATTTTCCAGAAAATTCCGGCGATAATAGCTTGGTATTGAACTTGCTAGCTCGGGTCTAATGAACACTACAAAGCGTTCCTGCTCCTCTCTCTCAAACGCCCCAGCTTCTGGTTCATCGGGAGGTCGTTCTCATAGCTCCCGCTCCTGCCATTTCCGAAGCGTTCACATCCACGGACAAGTAGGTTCTCTTGGGGTAAGGTACCACAGAATCATGTAGGCACCCATATAAATAACGCTCTGGAGTCTCATCGAATAGACCAGACTCCAAACGATGGTGTTTTTCTTTAAAAGGTGCCATATATATATGCCCATGTCCCACACAACAGTCTTGATATGTTATATAAGCAAAATCCGGGGTTTGCACACTCCTCACAACCCTACATCATAAACTAACCTTCTTCAGTAGCGCCTCCCACTTCCGGTAATCGTGTTCACGTAATCCAGGCTCAGATCGATCCAGTAGTGCTTCCAGGATCCACCGCTAATTTAGAGCTGCGGGTAGTGGCGACTAGCATACCCGCTATCTGCCCGCCTAGGCGCGGTGTTTGCTTCTGGATGTCGGCTTCTGGAACCCTTGGAGCTAGCCTTTGAAAATGTGGGGTCTAGATTAACTTAGGAGAGCCAGCAGATGCCGTGATATCATATCCGCCGAACGGTGTTTGCTGGTTGATTTTCGAGACTTAAAAACCAAAAACCGGGAACGTCACCGTGGGATTTGAGGGGCAAAATATGAGAAAGACACCATACAAAAACTTAGACTAAGGAGGGAAATATCATATAGTTACCTCGATAACGTCAAGTAACCTAAGATAAGGACCAAACTTACGTGCGCGGCGATCGCCCCTCAATTAGCGCGGTGAACCCATCCGGGGTTTGGATCGGGGACTGATATTTGTCCGGCGATTGTGATCGGGGACTGCTCCGTCGGTGACTGCTTCGTGCCTTAGACGCTCGATAACTTATCAGCGTCACACGGTGGTTTACCTGTGGTTGGTAGGCGCGGATAATACATGAGTATATATCAATTCGCCTTGCTGGTGCAGTGTTTGTGATTCAAACCACCCCCTAAAAATCACAACCCAACTCTCGCGAAATTCTCACATCCTATAACTAAGCACAATGTCAACTCCCACCAAGATCACCGGCGGCTGCCTCTGCAAAGCCGTCAGATACGAGGTTAACTTCCCTGAAGACCATGACTTCAAAGCCAACGTAAGAACCCCTGAGTCTACCCATTCTCATCTCGTCCTTTTCAGAAGTTCTCCATTCTTTTTCGTTCCCCATTCTCCAGCTCACACCTCTTCAGTCAGTAGCCTGCTTCTGCACCCTCTGCCGCAAGCAATCCGGAGCCGTCGCCGTGCACGTCCACATTCTACCCCGCAGCAGCTTCGCCTGGACCTCCCCCTCTGCCACCCCCGCCGCTCCACTTGCCAACTACCAAGTCATCAAAGATAACCTGCGCTGGTTCTGCACAGCGTGCGGCTCCTATCTCGCGTGGGAGGGCAACGGAATCATCGAGGTGACAGCGGGGTCGGTGGATGAGGAGTGCCTCGTTGGGAAGAAGGATGGTGAGGGGAATGTGATTGAGAAGGGGGTTGGAGAGCAGTTCTGCCATCCGGAAGGGGCTGTGACGTGGGTTAATAATTCGCTGGGTCCAGTGACGGAGGGGGTCAAGGGAACTAGATGGAAGTTCTCTGTTGCCCATGGGGTGAGGGGATAAAGGGGTGAAGTTTTAATAAGGTATAAATATGAGTTATGAGGCACGATGGATGGCAAAACATCATAAAGTTATGAGTGTGAAGGTATAAAATGTACTTTACGCGGTGTATCCCCAACTCCCGTGACAGCGTGATACGGAGCATTATTTCCCCGCACCAAGTGCCTGAACACGTCGTCCGACATACGCGACCCGGACCCCGCCAAGTGAATGACTAACATTTGAGGGTGGGATGCCCATGAGCAACGCGGCTTATTACTACAGCTGCGCGTCATCCTCCAATATTTTATTCTTCTTTTGCTTTTCAAAAAGCAAACATATTTCCAAAGAAGCATTCTCTCGAATCAAATATAAAATAGAAACCATGCAGGAAAAGCTGCCAGTCAAAGCCGCGGGCGGCTGTCTCTGCGGCGCAATCAGATACAGCGTTGTCTTCCCTCCAGGCCACGATTTTGCCATGAACGTACGTCTTCACCCATTTCCAATTCAGCAGACTCAGCATTCTACCTCTATTCCCCAATTCAAACTCCCTGTCCAAAAAAACCCTCCGCTGACCCCATCCGCCAGTCAACCAAATGCCTCTGCACCGCCTGTCGCAAGCAATCCGGCGCCCTGATGCTTCACCTGCACACCCTCCCCCTCTCGTCCTTCTCCTGCGTGGCTCCCGCCTCCGAGCTAGGCGACTACAGCCGCTCGCCCGGCTACCACCGCCTCTTCTGCAAGCGCTGCGGCTCCTTCATCGCCTGGCGCCAGGACCCGCGCCTATGCTGTGACGTTCACGGGCTCGCTGACATCGGGGGCTCGCGCGCCACACGCCAGGCGCTGGATGGGATGATTGACTGTGCGCCTGCGCACGAGGAGGGCGAGGTTGAGATCTGTGTTGGCACGCTGGATGAGGAGTTTCTGGTCGGGCGACGTGGGCCGGGGGGGAAGGTGATCCCCGGGACGGGGTTTGGGTCTTTGCTGGGACACCCTGAGGGCAGGATTCTCTGGGCGGAAAATGATATCATAGGAGTCACGGATCGGCTGACTGGGGTGAGGTATCAGAATAACAGTGCCAATGAGGTCAAGATCAAAGAGCACTGATCAACTAGGCTTGGAGGGGAGGCAGGTTTAAAGGAGGGGGGAAACGGAAAAGGGAGAGGGATCGAGTAATGGCTAACTGAGTGAGGGCTCTCCAGATGCGGGATGCTGACTCTGGTGTATATATCACCGTAGACTCTATCTTAGAGACACCCCGAACCGCATCCCCCGCGTTTCACCATCCCGTTCACGAAGAGAAAAATCGGCGAAGGGCGGCGCCCAGCGCACTTACCGACATCGGACGTGCGGCTGCGGCGCCACGGGCCTGGTCCGCAGCTACTCTAGAGATAGCAGGTGCGGCCAGATTGGCAGGGAGGGCCAGGCACACCGCTCTCAATGGGCATGGGGGGGTGGGGGTGTTACCGTTAGAGTTTGGGAGCGAAAAGGGGGGAGGGGGGGTTCGGACTTGGGTCAGCAACGGTCCGACTGGACAGTACAGCTCTACGCTATCTATGTGCTGCATAACACATGGGTGGGAGAGGAGTCAACTCCATGCCAATGCCGAGTAGGGGGGATGTGGAGCGAAGATGCAGCTTTAACTCCGATCACAAGTCACGTTACAGAAATTGAGTCACAGAAAAAGTGACTAGCGTATCTTTCTCCAATTCATAACATCTACTACACGCCGCTAGGGCAACATAAGGAAAATCCAAAGACAGTGTATATATTGTTACATGCGCCGCGTATCCCTCTAACTGAACTCCTTCACCTCCTCGTCCTCCTCCAGCATCTGCCGGAAGCTGAACGGCTCGAACGCAATTCCATCACCCATGAAGTGCTTGCTCATCGCCTCGACCCAGTGCAGACGCAGCGAATGCAACATGGCGCTCGTGCCCTCCATGACGACGAGCACGCAGACACTGAGGAAGAACCACATGTAGAATGTTATGACAAGGGTGATAACTCCGCCGATACCGGTTGAGGTCAACCCGTTGTTAAGAGTCATGGACCACAAAACAAGGGAAAGCTGTTGATGAGCGAGCGAGAGAGCCCAGAGACGCAGGTAGGACGCCGTGTGGGAAACGCAGTTAAGGCAGAATTCTAGTCTCTGTTAGAGTGGGCAAATTAGAAAGGGGAGGCTTGCTTACCAATAGTGTGGATAACTTGGTGGATCATGACTTCGCCAAACTCGAACTCTTCGTGGCCTTCACCGTCATTGTCAATGCCCTGAGTAATCATATCGACACCCTCCGTCTCACTAGCAATGCTAGCACGACGGTCATCATCGTCTCCATCGAGAGCGCTGATGCGCGACGTCTCGCCGATTCCGCGGTAACCCTTGGCGCGGGCCTGGTTATGCTCCCAGCGCAGATAAAACGGCTTGAGGAAGAGGAGGATGGGGACCTGGATAATAGCAATGACAACGAGGAAGTTCTGAATGATCTTCTGGTACGTTCCGTCACCGTATAAAGGCACATCAATCTTGTCGGGTTGGAGGAACATGTAGATCAACATATTCAAGAGTCCAGGTGGGTTCCTGTGGTTAGGCGCTTGCACGCCGGCAGGCCAGTCGTCGGGTGCAAGCGGGTACCAATCGGTTGACCACTTGTAGACGATGGTGAACACAAGGTATCCGAAGATGGATTGGAAGAAGATCATGCCCGGGATGAAGTTACCCCAAATATCGATCGGGGACTTGAAGCGACGGGCGTTGATATAGGAGAGGCACAGGGAGTAGGTCATGTGGCACCAACCCATGAGGATACTGAGCTTCATCTTGTAACTGTTTGCAAAAAGAAGCTCGTTCTCAGCTCCGTGCCACATCCAGTCAAGACCGAACGGGTATCTGTGTCCATCGCGATTCAGATGCGCTACGACCGTATCCCCTTTCTTGAAGTCTGTAGGCCATTCCCATGCAGACGAGAAGAGGGACATCGATCGCGAAAAGATATCGTTGTAAATGAGACCGGTATACATAGAGAAGATTCCCATCATAAGCATGATATAGCGTCCATAGTAAGCCATCGTGAACAGTTCGTCCCGAACCTTCTTCAGTGGCTTTTCCCAGTAGATCATGGCAGCTGCCGCACAGAACATGATGAAGCCATGTCCAAGATCACCGAACATGACGGCGAAGAGGAATGGGAAGGTGACGATAGTAGGAAGTCCAGGGTTGACTTCGTGATACTTCGAAGTACCATAAGCGTTGATAATGGTCTGGAAGCCCTCCGTGAATCGGTTCGTCTTTTGGAGAGTCGGTGGTGTCTTGTTTGTCCTAATCTCATTGATGATAGATGGGACAGCTAGACCGGCCCGGTTGTTGACATCTTGAAGGGCGGCCTTGATCTGAGGGAGGGAGTTTGACGGGCACCAAGCTTCCGCAATAAGCGTCTTCCTTGCATGATCATAGGATAGGAGGTTGAGCGTTTCATAAACAGCCTTCTCCTTCTTGATGATCACAATCCAAGCGGCCAAGCTGCGAGCGATCTGTGTCAACTCAGCATCGAGGGTTTGCTTCGTGTTTCGCAGGACGCTGCCAAGATCACTGAGTCGAGTGTTGACTTCGTGAATCTGGTCTCGGCGGAGGTCGCTGTTCTCGTCCACAGCGTATAAATCGGCTCCCAGGGACTCGGAGATCTTGCGGATCTTTGCGATAATCTCCTTTCCGTGAGCAAAAATGACGAAGACATTCTTATCCACGCTTTCGTTGTTGGTCGGGTCGACGAGGGTTTCGGGGATCTCGGACTGGTTCATATATAAGTTGCCGCGGAGCGTACGCCACAGGATCCTCTCGAAAGCTGCAACACGTTCGCGAGGGATGACACCGGAAACAAAGCCGATGTTCATGATCGAAAGAGATCGCTCGCCAGCGTCGCCATTTTGTGGGTGCTGTTCCACATCCTGGAGTAGAGGCGCATCGTCATCCTGATCGATAGACGTCCGAAGTTCATCAACATTGCCATGCGCCCTGTCAAAGAATCCTCCAGCCTCTTTCAACACCCATCTCCACTCAATCAGCTCCACCTCTCTCTTCTTCAGCGTCTCGTAGCTATCGTTTAGCGAGGCGACCCTTTGCTCGAGGCTTTGGCTTCGATCGGAGAGCTCGTCGATTTCGGAGGTAGATGGCGCAGCCAGGGACTCGATATCCAAATCCAGTTTTCGTAGAGGAATTCCAGCCTTCTCCATCTGTGAGTGAAAGTAGCCTGCTTGTGTCAGCGATTATCTCCCCAGAGGTTGCCAGGGGACATACGAAGCTGTCGCTCCACGTTATCCAACCGCCGGATCTCCTGTGTGAAGGTACGTTGGAAGGCCGACGTTTCCGAGTTAAGCTGAATGAATCATCAGCATATAAGCCACAATTGTCTCCCTTGGCAATACTCACGTCGCGGAATTGGATCTGTCCAATCTCGCCCAAAGCGTTGATGACCTCCCTGCCTATCTCGTTGGCGACGTACAGTTGCACCATGCTCATGTCCACCGAGCGGAACATGGTATCCTTTGCTGGCGCCATGATGGCGAAGAACCTCCACAGGCCGGCTCAGAGAAAGGAGCTTGAGAAGGGAAAGGTATCGAGATGTGAGGGGTGGTCCTTGAAGCTTCGACCAAAATGCAGTGATGGTATCCGTTGCAGTAACTGTAGCTACCTAGCGGATAGCAGATGACTAAGCCGCCACAACCAATCAGTCACGGGAACCCGTGACTTACAGTATCAAAATTCATGTGATCTCCAGGAGGCACAGTTATTATCATACATGAGAAATACTACTTTATAGAGTTGGAAACAGTATTATTTATGAAGTTGGTTTTTACAATCTAACTCTGCTCCCATTATTTTCGACATCTATACATAATGTATCTATACATAATGTAACTTGCAATATATTTCGTTACCAACAGTGTCGAGTAAACACGCTCCGGGCGCCAAACTTGCTATGAAATCCAGAACTGTGTGGGGTAGTACCGGTATCATCTTCTCAATACATCTTTGCTGACTTCGGTCTCGTTTTAACAGCTCCCCCCTCCTTGTCGTCACCATACTTCCTCTGCCACTGCCATTCAATAAGAACAGGCAAGAAGTGTCTCAGGCTGAACTCCGGCCAGTAGCAGTCTAAAAATCTAAGCTGCGTGTCTTCGTGACATTGCCAGAGCATGAAATCACTAAGGCGGTTCACGCCGCTTGTCCTGATCAGGAGATCCAGGGGCGGGTTTCCGGCAGTAAACAGATGCGCCTCGACCGTCGCAGCGGTGATGCTCTCTGGGTCCGGATACGTGGGCTCCTCTGGGTTCGGGAGATCTGAACTCGACACAGAGTCAGGGTGGAGCGTCGCGCTTGAGGAAATGGAGTCATCGAGCTCGTTTCCAGCTGAAGGGACCTCAACCCTCGTGGGAGATTCCTGGCGGGGCGGCGAGGAGGAGGTGGATGTGAGGTTTCGGGACCGAAGTTTCTGGGCAATACGCCTTTCGGAAAACGGACGCTTTGGGGTGGGGAGAGGTGTGGATAGCTCGTCAACCGTGGAACGGATCGCGGTTGTGATCTCATCGCGGGAGGTGTATGGGAAGCAGATATTAAGTATGGCACTGAGTCAAGTTAGCTGACCGTAGATCTTCCAGAGAGGATGCGGAATAGACGAACTCTCCATTCCCTCGTGTAACTTCGACTGCATTGTTGCAGGCCTCGAGTATATCGGGCCTGATCAGGTCGCGCTGCCCCAATATCCTGATGCTTGCTCCGTATTGATCCAGTAGCTCCCCATGCTGTGATATTTGCGCCAGCTTGACTTTGAACAAGTCCATCAGCGCATCGACCTCGTATTTCGACCTTTTAAAGTTCTCGATGCTGAATGCGTAGACTGTAATAACTTTGACGCCTAGCTTGTAGCAAACTTCGAGGATCTATGCGCGAGTTAGTATGGCCATACCCTGGCTGAGAGAGCGCTCGCAAACCTTAGCTAAAGACTCGAAGCCCAGGTTGTGTCCTTCCGCAGTCTCGATCTTGTGGCTCCGCGCAAACCGACGGTTCCCATCCATAACGAATGCGATGTGCTGGGGAACTGGTCCCTGGCTTACGGCGCCTATGAGCAGCTCGCGCAGCTGGTTCATTCCCCATTCAACTGGCGGAGAGGAGTACACCCATTTCCGCAACTGATTGAGATGCATAGACGTCATGTTGGCGGATGCGTCTTGCTCAGGCCGTCCAGGTCTTGGAGTTGAGGAGGTCGAGATAGCAATTGGGCATGCGGTTCGAAATGCGTAGTGCCAACAATCCTCTGGTAGTTTATGTTAAAAAGCGGTTATTGCGTGGTCATGAAGAGTTGTCAAAGTACTTTACGTGGACTTTTTGAAGTTGGCGAGGCTGGGGGATGAGAGGCAATATGTGGCTAAGCCTTACGCATACGACACCCTCGGGTAAGCCCGTACCCGACATCATCGACTGTGGCCTTGGTGATATGTGGCAATCAACAGGTATCTTCAAATCTCACCCCCCACCGCTATTGCGACTTTCCCCTACCACATAGCGGGCTCAACTTCACATAAGCTCATCAGCAGCTTCTTACCTTCGTATGCGGTCGCATTGAGCTGCGCTCGGCGACATTGCGCATATCAGTTTCACCCACCATGCACTCCTCAGGTTTTGCTGGTGCGCCTGTGTCCCGCAGCCTCGTCCTGGGAATCATAGCCGCGTCCATATTGGTTTCCGTCACTGATATTAAGTACTACTTTTGGATCCAAGTCGATCCGCACTTCTGGAAGTATGGTCAGCTATGGCGCGCATTTATATATCAGCTCTGCTACACCAACTCGAGCGAGGTTCTCATGGCTGCCATGACCCTGTATAGTCTGCGGGGCATCGAACGGCTCTGGGGTTCGCGCAAATTCGCCGTAAGTCCTCTGCTCTAATAAAGCTGCCGGTTACAGGGTGGTTGCATATACGTACATGGCTAATTCAACGCAGTCCTTCCTCCTCGTCCTCTTCCCTTTAACAGCGCTCCTGCCCCCAATCATACTCGCCCTGGTCATCCGGCCCCTCTCGTTCAACAAAATCAACTACCTCCCCGCCGGCCTCACCCCTCTTATATACGCCCTCCTTGCGCAATACTATGCCGCTATCCCCCACACATACAAGTATCGCATCGCCGCGACTCCCACCCCACCTCCCAATGCGCCGTTTACCGGCATTACCTTCTCGGACAAGTCATATACCTATCTATTGGTAGGCCAGCTTGCTCTGGCTCAGTTTCCAGGGTCATTACTCGGAGCTGCGATTGGTTGGGCGGTGGGATATCTCTGGCGGAATGAAGTCTTGCCTGGAGTGATGGTTTCCTGGCGCATTCCAGGGTGGATGGTTGGAATTGCACCACAAAAGCGTGGAGAGGGGTTTGAGGGACTCAGGAGGAGGCTAGAAGAGGAGAATACAAATGCTGCCGCTGCCACAGGCTCAGATGGCCGTCAGGGAGGGAACGTGGCTCCGCGAAGGACGTTAGGAAGGCAGTTAGTTGACCAGTTTAGAGGCGCGTTCTAGATGGCTACAGTAGCTATAGTAGAGTTAATCATGACAATAAGAACCAATTAAGTATTACACGGACAATAAGGGGTGAAATTGGGACTCAATAAATATTCGAATATGATAGAAAGTTTCATGATAAAATGTTTAATTCTATGCCAATAAATTAATTATCTACACAAAAAAGCAACCAATTAATTCAATTAAATGAGTTTATAATAACTAATTAAATAGTAGCAAACTCCACTTTATATCCTAATATTATATAATTATTTTTGAATCTGTGGTACACAAATATTTCTTTTATGGTGCTATTCACGTACGTACCTTGAAGCTATCAATGCTGGCGCGGCATTGTTATCCGTCCGGTAAATCCAACGGTGTGTTTGCACTGAAGACAAACACACCTTTTGGTTGCGACCATCAGCCCTCCCATTCCCGCCCTTTACCCTCTCTTGTTCCAGCGCAAGAAATTACCCATGATCCCATGAATTCCATGGTGAATTATCGCTCTTCTCTATGCTTCATACTCAAAGAATAACAGAGCAGAATACGTATCTCTGACCTTCGTTATTATCGACCACATCGTCGCACACAGGAGCTTCCCGATAACCTCTGCCCTCCACCAGACGTCGACCATCATCGAAACACAACTACCAGAACACGATGAGGACGGCACGACAAATGCCCCCCGATACATCATCGGGTCGCAGGGCCCAGCCTGTTCGCCAGACTCGAGCAAACCCACCAAGAGCTCATAGTGGCCTCGGGCGCTCATTCGGCGCTCGCGATGCCTCCGGACGCATTTCCCCCGACGAGGAGGAGCAGACCGAAATCTTTCCTGCGATCACACATTTCACCGACGCTATAACTGCATTGCCTAGAGAGCTTGTTCGACACTTCACACTGCTCAAGGAAGTTGATGCGAAAATTTTTGCTCCAGAAGAGGCGCTGGTCCAACTCGTCGAGACCGCCCTCAACCACCCACTACCCGCACGATCACAATCTACAGACAGACTACAAATCACAGACTCAACTCCAACCCCAGGCAGTGTCCCAATGAGCGTCAATGGCTCAATTGCAACTGGCCGAAATACTTCCATGCTCGATGACACCGACAACCCAGATCGCGCGACCGCGGTTTATGACGCAGACAACCTCCCTCGCCGCCAGCTCTTCCGGCAATGCGCCTACACAATGCAAGAGATGCTAGTATCCCTCGACGAAAAGAACCACGTCATCTCCACTGCGACCGAGGCCCTTGATAAGCACCTCGCGAGGTTGACCGACTGCCTTCCTTTCGTCGAAGGCGAGATTAGCGAAGAGGCGCGACACGGCAACACAAAGCATTGGGCATACACCGAGAACAGGGTCGTCCCCAAGCCGAACGAGAGATCAAGACGCGAGAATGCGAATGTCAACCACCTCACAAATGCCGCTGCTGCAGCTGCGGCCGAAGAAGCGGCAGCCCGCAGCGACGCCAGGAAACAGGCGATGCTTGCGAAGAAAGGGCGCCAACAGCTTCCCGAGTCGGACTTCGATGACAACACCGATCACCGCAAGGACAATAAGAGGCCCCATGGCAATACAAAGAAGGGCAGACCGGCCGAAACGTCGAATTCTGCCACTACAAATAGTGGCGGGGCGCACGCCAATCCACCGTCGAAGAGGCGCAAGGTCGACAAGGGACCGAATGGAGGAGCAGTTATGGAACGATCAATTAGTAGCGTCTATGGGAGCAATGGAGTTGGTGCTAAGGGCAAAACCAACAGCCCGCGCGGTACACCCCTTCCCGACTCGAAGAAGCGATCGAAGGCGGCGGCAACTACGAATGGCCAGCCAAGGAAAAGGTATGTCACCCAATGGAATGCGAATAACTCACATGCTAATATTGATCGCTTAGGACTGCTGCGGCGAACTCCAATGTCATGTCACCCAGACTTGCATCCTCTCCTGTCCGGAACGTGCAAGAAATCAAGAACAACCGAAACTCCCCCCCTCTCGCCAACGGCCGACCCACCGCCATGCGAGCACGACAGAACTCCCTCCAAAACGTCGTCGACTCCTCTCGCCCGCGCGCATCCTCATCCGCATCAATCAAACCCAACGGCATCAACACCTTGCCCGATGTTACCAACGCCGCCAGCGTCACCGGCCGCCCCATCCCCGAAATCAAAACAACCATGAAGGAAACCGCCGCCAACACCAAGGGCGAACACGTCCTTGAAGACGCCGACCCCACCGACTCTGCCATACGCGGCGGCCTCCTCGTTGGACCCCGCAAAGACGGGCCACTCAAGCACGAGGACCTCGAGTCGGCCGCCGACGCTGCGCAGACTGTACAGACCGTCACGGCACCACCCGTCATGACGAAGAGCGGGCGCGCGAGCAAGCCTTCTACGCCTGCTATGCCGACGTTCGCCGAGCCCGTGCGCGCGGGTAGTAGGCGCAACACCGTTGATGGCGGAGCGGCGAAGAGGTCACATAAGAAGGGTGCAGGACAGGCGGCGCTGCTTGTTGCTGCGCAGCCTGCTGAAGAGGACGCGGCGAATAGCGTGCTGGGCGACGCGGAGGACGATGAGGAGGTGGAGGTTGATGCTAATGAGCCAAGGTACTGTTACTGCAATGGTGTCAGTTACGGGGAGATGGTGGCGTGTGATAATGATGCGTGTGCGAAGGAGTGGTTCCATATGGAATGTGCGGGACTGAAGGTCGCGCCGAAGAATGGTGAGTTTCCCCTCCCCCCCGCTCTCTCTCTGTCTATGTCATGACGATGGTGATGGAGACGGCTTGCTAACACCGCCAGCAGCAAAATGGTACTGCGACGACTGTAAGGAGAACATGAAGAGCCGGCGTTTTAATGGGCGGTAGGCTAGCTAGGCTGGTGACGGAGATCCCAGACCAGACCCCTTCTTCAACGATATGGATTGATCGGACACACACGGCGTTTTGTTATTTGGCTGCGGAACACAGGCCGGCGGCCGGCTCTTCTACTCTGGCGCTTATAGGGCGAAACACACACACACACACTCACACGGTATATAGAGAAGGGAAGGAAAGGAAAGGAAAGGAGGGTTCGCTGGGATGAAAATAGGGAAACCTGGATACTGTTTGTGTCTATAGTTGTGTCTTCTTTTCCTGTGTTTTTTTGTTTTTTGAGTGGATTTGTTTTTGGGAACGAACCCCCCCCCAGCGCAGACGCAAAGTTCCGTTGTGGACAGGATATAACGAGAGTAACGTAAATAAGTTTTTTCTGCACAGCCCACTGCAACAGACAGACAGATCAATACATAATGACCAGTATATATCGTCTTTCTCCATCATGCATCGTGCTAGAATATAACACCACTGCTGCCTTCCTGCGCCTATCCATACCGCCAAGCTCATGTCAGCCAGCTACTCCTCTGGCCCCCCGCCCCGCCCCGCTCCGCTGCCACGTCAAAGTTACGGTTACCCCAGATTCCCGCCGTCCGTTCCTGAAATGGCGTGTCAATGCGCTGCACCCCTATGCGCCGCCCCGCCGTCCTATCCGCTGTAGTCCCCCGACCGAAGCGGGAAATTATGTCAGGGCAGCAAGCGCAACGGGATGGTAAGACCAACGACGGCGGTCTCGACTTCAATCTCCCATTCATATGCGCCTTTCTTCCTCTAATACCCACCCACGCGCTTTTGTCGCGATATCTTGCGCTCATAATCGATAACCAGTGAACGAACAAGAGGAAATAGGTAGCGACGGATTGAAGCGCCCACCACTACAGCAGCGCGCGCAAACCGCGCAATTCACTCCCTCACCCACTCCACGATCCAACACCACCGCGCCAAACCACCACAATGGCAACAGCAGACCCCTTCGCCAACCCCGCCTGGGAAGGCAACTCCCGCCTCCCCACCCACCCAGCGCAATCATTCCAATCCTCCATCGCCCCCTCCACCGACGCGGAGGAGAAAGCGCTCGAGATCGGTGCGCCGCCGTACGCAGCAGCGGCGCCTACGTATATCCCCCCCCCTCCTGCGGCGGCGGCGGCGCGGCCGGGGTTGAAGGAGAGGTTTGATGGGGTTATGCCTTCGCACAGACGGTATATGGGACGTAGTCGACGGACGGTGTTGTTAGGTGCTCTAGGACTGCTGGCGTTACTTGTTCTTGTGCTGGGATTGGGGTTGGGCCTTGGGTTGAAGAAGGGGGGTGGGGATTCGTAAGTGCACCTTCCTTTTGAGGGGTTGGATTTTTGGAGACATGGCTAACGCGATGATCTATGTAGTGCCGCTCTACCACTCCCCGGAAACGCAACACCGCACACAGGCGACTTAACCTACTACTCCCCCGGCCCGGGGTACGGGAGTTGTGGATTCGAAAACAACGCCGATGACCCCATCTGCGCCGTCTCTCACCTCCTCTACGACGCGGCCTCGATCTCAGGGAACCCTAATGAAAACCCGCTCTGTGGACGGAAGTTGCGAGTGACGCACACAGACGCCAGGGATGGGAAGACGAGGAGCGTGGATGTTAAGGTTGTGGATCGATGCACGGGGTGTAAGGCGACGGATATTGATCTTAGCCCTGGGATGTTTTTGAAGCTGGCGGCGGAGGAGGAGGGGAGAGTGGTGGGGACTTGGGCGTGGTTGGATTGATGATAATAGTGTGAAGCGAGCGAGCGAGCGTCGTCTTTTAGGAGTAAATGGAAACTTAATACCCTCTCTCTCTCTGTACTATACACCCCTTTCCCTCCTCCCCTCCGTCCCCAACAAACTCACTTCCTAAACCTCCTAAACGCCTCACCCACCCCCATCCCCCCCGCAACCGCCTCCTTAACCCTCCCATCCGCCTCCCCCAGCCCCGGCAAAAGCGCCAACACCTCCCCCACCCTCTCAGCAGGAATAACCACAACCCCATTCCCAGGATCCGCCACCACCACATCCCCCGCCCTAACTGTCACCCCTCCAACTTCAACAGCTACATCAACAGCATGCGCCTTCACCCCTCCTCCACTCCCTACTGTGGATGTGCCTAGTGACCAGACGGGTAACTCCACCTCCCTGATCTCCGCCACGTCGCGGACGCGACCATGTGCGATCACGGCGCGCACACCACGGTATTTAAGTCGCATCGCCAAAATCCCCCCTAACATCGCAGCATGCGACACCGGCCCCGATTGGATGAGAATCGTATCCTCCCCCACGAGATCCGTCCAGTGGCTCCCGGCGGGGATATTTGAAGGGGGAGCAGGGGAAGGTGTAGATGCTGGCGCTGGGGGGTTAAGAGGGAGGTAAAGCAGTGTTGATGCCAGCGCGACGAGGGGGGATGATGAGGGTGGGGGGGAAACGGGGGAGAGATCTGGGATGAATCCGCCGTGGGGGAGGGAGAGGGCGAGGAGGGCGTCGGAGATGTCGCAGGCGGTGTAGGAGGCGAGGGTTGTGAGGGTGGAGGGGGGGATGGGGGTGGTCATTTTGGAGGAGAGGCGGGTGGTGGTGGTGGTGATGGTGGGTGGAAAGCGGGTTGTGAGAGGTGGGATGCCGATTGTGGTTGGTGTGAGGTTTCTGAGGGTGTAGAGACTTGGTCGAATGAGCGGTTTTGGCATTGGGTGGCTTGGAGAATTGGAGGGGTTGAGGCTTGGAGAGTGGTGGTGGTGGAGGAGGAGGGAGGGGAGTGGAGGGGGAGTATCATATGGCGATAAGATCTGATAACCGAGGTGGCAGGGACAGCGGCGGCGGTGACGTTTGAAGGTGGGGAAGTGGAGGTGGATCACGTGCTAGAGAGGGTTGGAGGTGTCTTTTCATGGTTTATAGGAGGGGAAATAATATACAATAGTATAGGATGTTGATATATGTTAGTATAGAGATATTACGTGTATGGTATGATATGTTTAATATCAAACTTAGTCTGTACGGCTGGCTGGCTCTGGACGTATAAGCTTTCATGCCCTGGCTCTCACGCGTCATCCCGTCAGCGAGTTTATATGTCCCGATTTGGAAATCCATACTGAAAGTTTAGTAAGGGATGATGATAAGCTCAATATAATCACATACATCTGCATCTGTAAAATCCCACTGATTAGCTTCGAACGCCTCGAGAAGATAGGCTGGTATATATATTGGGGCATATTGCAGCACCCTCTCCATCCATCCTGCACGCACATGCAATGCATATGCAGGCAGAACATCGTTTGAGGAGACATATTGCTCTACTCATATTGCTCTACTTCATTCGTACCATATCGTATCGTATCGTATCGTGTTATATCCCTTTCATCTATCATGCAGATGCAGCAGAGCCCTTTGAGAAAGCAGACAACTGGTGTTGTACTTGTGATACTTCTCATACTTCTCATAATTCCCCGTCATTCTCACACTTCTCACCCTTCTCATACTTCTCATCCTTTTCACCCTCCTCAAAATCCAAATCACGTGAACCACACACCTCTAAGATCTAGAATCCCCCCATCTATTAAACCCAAAAGTCCCTCTTCCAATCATTTTCCCGCGCTTCACGCGCAATCCGCGCTCAATCTGTACCTGCCAGAAATCCCCCCAAGTAGACGAGTGTACCTGCAGATGAATTTTAGTGGAGTTCAGTGGATTTAGTGGACAAGATTACCCGAAATTACAGGAATTACTAGGCGATCGAAGCGCAACTTGGCTTAACTCGACCTAACTTAACTTCCGGGGTACTTGCATCTACCTCCGCTCGACTCCGCTCAAACTCCGCTCTTGGCTATCGCGGGACGGCGGATAAGTCGCCTGTTCCTCCGTCTTCCGCCCTCCTCTCTCTCCCCCAAAAGATTGAAAGATTGCCCCTCCACGTTGTCTGTCGTCTGTCGTTTGTCGTTTGCCTTCTAACCGCCCACTTAACTTCTATTCTTCTATAAAATATATATTGATATATATATTAAGCATATACTGAGGATACATATATCTAAACAAACTTCTTACAACCCCCATACAACCCCCATACTCCTCTACCAACCATCGTCATCCAAAGTACCACCTCAACTCTTCAGCTGCCGTCCCATCTGCGCCCATCTGCACGCTATCTGCAAGCTCCTGCAGCCAAATCCACCCTCGTCTCACCCATACAGCCCGGTGCATTATTACCGCATTACCGCATTTACTTCTGCAGTAGTACGTGCAGAACACCGATTCTTTTCGAGCCGGCCATTGCCAAACAAGCCATCTAGCTATCTAGCCCTCCAGCCAGTCTAGCCAGTCTACTACCCAGCTAGCAGCTAGCCACCACCACCGCTCGGCCCACGCCAACACCAGAGCTCCCTCCCTCCATCGCGCACAAGCCCTCACAAACGCCAAACGCCCCCTCCCCCCCGCTCCTCATCGACCGTCCATTCTTGACATCGTCACCGAGATATCCACAGTTATAGTAGTTATAGACCCACGCCAGCTCGCTTGAACATCGTCCTGCAGGCTAGGGGTTGCTCCGGGCATCTGCGACAGCTCCCCCGAAGACCCTGAACCCGTCTACCACGTCTCTCTGTCTCTCCGTCGCCGCAGCTCCAGCGAAAAAACAGCAGTACCGGTCAGATCACCGCCGAGTAGCAACCTCTCATATGAAGGAATCGTCAAACGCTGGAGACGAGCTCTAGTGGCGCTCCCCGCTTTCTGATAAAATCGAACTGCCGTCTAAGCCCGTTTCTGCATCTTGTGCCAGTGGTCTAGGCGACAGTTAGAGAGCTCCAAGATGTCAATCAAGTTCGTCCCGCCTTTTCTTTCTATTCCCGTTTCCCTTCATATTTGTATATATGTACTGTACATACCATACCTGCAGGCCGCGACAGGGGCAGCGGGAAGGGAAGAAGAAGAGGACATGACATGTATATATCCCACCATGCCCATGTCGTGCCCTCCTACTTTGCCCTTGCCTGCGCGCACCGAAGCTTTATTTTCCCTCCTCCTTTCTTGTATCACGTTCTCGCGCCCCCCGTCCTCCCCGTCCTCCCCCTCCCCCCCGCATTATCACACGACATGCTCAAGTCAGCAACTGACCGTATGAAAAGCTGGGTGATGGTCTCACCTCAGTCGAGCGAACCCTTCGTCAAGCTCCCCAATGAACGAATCCTCTACCGTTCCCCCATCCGCACCTCTCTCACCCTCTCCTCCCCGCCAAACACACACTCCGCAACAGCACCCTGGTCCGTCTCCAGCGACGGCGGCGTCGCATACATCACCAACCAACGGGTAAACCCCCCCTCATCCCCTCCCCCACCTCACCCCCTCACCCCGCTAACCCCCCGCCCCTCCACAGATAGTCTACATCCCCACCACCCCCTCCCCCACCCTAACCTCCTTCTCCTCCCCCATCCTCAACCTCCACGACACCTACGTCCGCGCCCCCTTCTTCGGCGCAAACTACTGGACCGCCTCCGTCCGCCCCGTCGCGGGAGGCGGCATCCCCCCCTCCCTCGCCCTCATCGACCTGCGCATGACCTTCCGCGAGGGCGGCGCCTTCGACTACCACAACGTCTTTGAGCTCATCAAGGAGCGGTTGCATCAGGCTGTGCAGGCGGCAAGGGATGCGGGGAGGAGTGTGGGAGGAGCCGGGGGGGGGATGGATCCGGGCGTGCTGCAGGGGTTGCATCTTGAGCAGCTGCCGGCTTATGAACCTGCTGCTGCTACGGCGGTAGCTCCGGGGACAGAGGCGGCAGCGGCGGATGAAGTGAGGAGAGCGTCAGTGGTTGATGGACAGACGACGGCGGAACCAGAAAGCGCGGCTGCGCAACAGCCGGATGAGCCGCCGCCGGGGTATGAGGAGGCGCAGGCGCAGGCGGTGGGGATTGATCTCGATCAGCGGCTGAGGCGGCGCGCGGAGTTTGGAAGGGATAGTGGGGATGAGTAGGGGTGGTGGGGTGGGGTGGGATTGTTTACTTGATGAGAATGGAGTGAAAGGGATGGAGATGGAGGACTTGGCTTGGCTTTGTGGTGCCGGTCTGGGAGAATGCACAGATGGAATGTGAGAGGAGGTGTCTAAGCATCTGCCCTCCTGCTCCTGCGATGAGAAGTTGTACATGGTAATGTTACCATGTGTACCTTCTACAAAACCACGAGATGGGCTGCCCAAGAGGGAACAAAAAGGAGCAATTTTTATAGAAACCTGAGCGAGCCGCCGCCAACTTTTTACCCACTTTCACGTTGGAGAAGGAGAGCCGGCTTTACGGCGAAGTAGATAGATTCGGATTATTAGGTGGCATAGCGTAGCATTACGAAAGATACCCGTCATTAATAACAAACATGCGATCTAACTTTCCCATCACCGTTCTATTAAGGGCAAGAGATCTATATACCTAGCAGCTATACTATATAGACAATAGCGGTGGCGGTAGTCTAGCAACGACGAACCAAGTATTACAAACCCTACTAATAGTAAAACCATCAGGCAAATAAATCTTTACCAACGTCGTGCCTACATATATAGATCTTTTGCCCCCTTCCATCAATTGTCCAAAACTCCTTCATAATCCGCAAATCAATATTTCCCAGTCCAGCATCAATCATCCAAGCTCCCCTCCCTCCCGCCAAACCCAAACCACCAAACCATCGGCATACCTCGGACAAAAAAGCCCACCCATCACGTGATAACCAACCAATCACAACACTCGCAACTCAATCGACACATCCATCCGAGCTTCTGTTTTCCTCATCGTGGACCCGAACTGCATCATTCCGAGCACAGCACACCCACTCTCTGTCAATTGCAACCCCCGACCGACCGGCACGCATATTTAGCGATCACTCGATTTCATAATGGGATTCTGGGACTTTGTGGAGGCGGCTACGCCGTGGAGCACTGTGGAGGCTGAGGCGCCGGCGAAGGAGGAGGAGGTATGTACTTTTGTTTCGTTTCCTTGGGGATTGGGGATTGGGGATTGGGCGGGATGAAGGCAGATGGATGGAGGAGGAATGGGGATATGACGAGCTGGGAGGGGGGGATGCGATGAGCTGGACGGAGAGGCGATTGGGGGGATGGGGGGATGATGCCTCGATTGACCAACACGACCCGGAAGAAAGTTGCTGACCACCGCATAACAGGAGACCTCTACCACCGAGAAGACCGAGGAGTCCACCGAGGACGCTCCCGCTGAGGAGGAGGAGGAGGAGGAAGAGGAGGAGGATATCGTTGACCCCAAGGACACTCTTGAGGCGGGTGCGTAACCCCCCCGACTATACCCGCACAACATCATACCCAAGCCCGCCATTCAAACAGCTACCTGGTAGTGGCAGTTCTATACCGATAGAGTTGAGTGGATGGCGGGAATGGGTATTGGCGTGCAATTGGATAAGAGGAGATGATGACAGCCGCTGACGAATAAACAGAGTGCAGAGAGGCCAAGGAGTGCTCCGCACCCAAGCACCACTACGACGACTGCGTTGCGCGCGTTACTGCTGCAGAGGATAATGGAGGCTCGAAGGAGGACTGTGTCGAGGAGTGTAAGTTTTTCTCGTCTGTTCTTTCTGTTTGAGGATTGTTGGTCTGGGGATGGGAGGGTGCTGAGGGGATGGGGCGGATGGATGGAGAGACATGATGGCACGATGAAAGGTTGACGGCTGCTAACATAACTGCAGTCTTCCACCTCGCTCACTGCGCCACTGCCTGCGCGGCCCCCAAGCTGTGGGCTCAGCTTAAGTAGAATGTCGGCGCGTGATATATACATGTCATAGAGGGCACGACGGGAAGAGAGAGTTGATGGGGATGATGAGGATGGGGATGAGAAGTGTATAGATGGCATGAGATGAGTGGATAGATTTTGATTTGAGACAATTGTACCATACGTTGCCGCTACTCGCTTGTTTTGTTAGTATTGTTGTGTTGTTTTGTGAATGTGCTGGGCTGGGTTGTGACGGGGAATTATTAACTGGCAGGCACGACTCGTTGATGGAGTTATTGATGGGGACAAAGGGAAGGCGCGATGACAGTTGCTCAAGTGGCAAGCACGACCTATCGATGGGCGCAAGGGGAAGGCGCGACGGTAACATTTCAACTGGCAGGCACGACCTGTCGACGAAATTATCGAAGGGCTCAAGGGGACGGCACGACGGCAACTCTTCAAACGGCAGGCATGACCCGCGGGCGAAATTATTAACGGGCTTAAAGGGAAGGCGCGGCGGCAGCTGCTCAACCGGCAGGCACGACCCGTCGAGGGAATTGTCAACGGTCACAAGAAGAAGGAGCGACGGCTGGAAGGCCGCCTATTCCATATCGGTAACAGTTTCCACAGGTATGTATTCCGTATATGCTAAACTATAGCCTATAATATATACTCCCACCACCCCTAAACGCTTGGCAGAATAAACTTCCCCGCCGCAATCGCCGCCTTGATCGCCTTATCCTCCACCGTATACGTCCTGAACTCCTTCCCCAGCTTCCCAAGAAGCCCACTCACCAAGTTCCCGAAAACCACACTCCCTGCCGCATTAAGGTGCGTGAAGTCCCCCTCAACAAGGTTATACTTCGTCGCATCTGCCAATCCGATGGCCTCGAGGTACGCCACGCTGCCTTTGTTGAGATCAATGTATTGGGCGCTGATAGCCTTGGCTGCGACGATGGTGGCGGCGACTTGGTCGGCGAGGTTGAGGATGATCTTGCCGTTGGCGTCGTAGTTGCGGCGGCTGAGGGGGGTGACGAAGACCTGGGCGGAGTGTTAATGAGGAGTGGTCGTCGGGGGGGGGGGATGAGAGGAGTGAAGGGAAAGGGGACATACGGGTTCTCCGCCTGCAGCACGGACTTGGTTGCCTAGGTTCTGGAGGTTGGCGGTGAATTGCGCGACGGAGATGTTGGCTGCTGCCTTCTGGTCGTTGTGGCCGAACTATACGGTGTTAGCGGCGTGGATGATGGGTGGCGCCCAGCAATGGGGTGGAAAGCATACCTGAATCGTCACGTAGGTGTCATACTTGGACGCCTTGGACTTCACATCGGCGATGACATTGGCCCAGTCACCTCCATCCACGAAGCTGACGGTAGTCCGCCCATTGTGGCCGTAGTTGGTGCCGACAGCGCCGTTAGTGAGGGTGGCTAGGAAGCCAGTTCCCCATCCTAGGACAGTTAGCCAGGGCCACCGAGAATTTGGAGGGAATGCATACCTCCTCCGCCTGTGGACTGGACGGCTGTGGTGGAATCACCAGCTAGGAGAAATGCAGCGGGCTTGTCGGCGCGGCATCTCGTCGGTGACGCTGAGACGAGAGAGCCGGCGAGGAGCGCCAAGGACGAGAGGACGGATGAAGCTTTCATTTTGGTGGGGTAAAACGGTAAAACGGTAAACGGCGGTGTTAAGGTTAAAAGTTAAAGAGATGCGGATATCTTACACTTCTAAAAAGGAGAGCATATTCGTGCCTCGAACCTACTGGCATGTCTATATATGTACGTTTGTATAATCTGAACTATATGACATATCTGTATAATATCTGTGGATATTGGGTGGTGGATACGAGCGCATCGTAACGACGGACATGCTGAAATGTTTTCCCGTTTGCAATATCGCCGACGGAGGAACGGTGGTCGGATGAACGGAATGGGCTAAGGAGTATCTCTGGGCGAAGAGACATGCAAGCACAGTCTGTCGCTGCTGCTATTTTTCATATACCGGGGTACCGGCTGTCATTAGAGTAGATGAAGGCTAAGTTAGATCATCGCCGTCATCAACCATCGCCAGAGTCTCCCCCGCGTTCATCACCGTCACTAGAGTCCCCCGCGTTTCATTACCCCACAAACACCATTCTCGAAGATCTCGGCGCGAGATCTACCGACTTCCTCTCCCCCGTCGATCCCCCATCATCTCGCCTTGGCCTGACCGACATTTACATGCCTCTTAATATCCTTAGTGCTGCGCAAACCTGGTCAATCAATCCTTCTGATTGCTGGAAATTGGAATATATTGCAAGATATGCAGGTGAGTTGGGCGGGGGAGGTCGCCCTACGACCTTTCGGGTGCGATCGCCGCGATTTGAGTTCGTGCCTTGGGGAAGCTTGGTATATAGCTATATGGCTTGTTCATGTTTCGAGGGTGTGCTGATCAGTAACTTGTACGGCTTCCTGAGACGAAAGTGCAGGAGCCATTGGTCTGCTGTTTTGCTGGAAAATGCATCTTTTTAAGCTCTTCGTTGGCCTGTTCGCCCTGCTGTGGACTGCACATGCCACGGACAATGGACTGCAGAAAATCGTCGAATGGGATGGATACAGTCTTATGATCAATGGGAAGAGGGAGTTTATCTAGTAAATATGCTGCAAGAAATTGTTTCAGATTAAAGGTTACTGACATGGCGTTATAGTTCGGCTGAGTTTCACTACCAGCGCATGCCTGTGCCTGAGATATGGCTTGTGAGTTCCTGCATCATGATGACTGACCGACAATAAGCTTATAGAAAACTAGGACATCCTCCAGAAGCTGCGCGCTAATGGCTTTAATACTGTCAGGTATGACATTTTGCCTTGAGTATTTGCCTCTAAGACTGACAAATTTAGCCTGTACTTCTTCTGGAGCTACCATTCCGCCTCCAGAGATGTTTACGACTTTGAGACATCCGGCAAGAACGTCCAGAGATTGCTTGACTACTGTAAAGAGGCTGGGCTCTATGTCATTGCAAGATCCGGCCCTTATATCAATGCTGAAACCAATGGCGGCGGTTTCGCATTGTGGGGGTCTGATGGGAGCATGGGGAACCTGCGTACATCAGATGAGACCTACCACCAGGCTTGGCTTCCATGGGTCGCCAAGATGGGTAAGATTATTGCAGACAACGAGATCACCAAAGGTGGTGTAAGTATAACTCGAATCCTGGCATGAAGACATCTTGCTGACGCATATGCAGCCGGTTATTTTGAACCAGCTCGAAAACGAACTCCAAGAGACATCACATGTGGCCACTGCTTCGGCCGTGGTTTACATGGAACAGCTCAAGAAAGCTTTCCTTGATGCAGGAGTCACTGTGCCGTCTTCGCACAATGAGAAGGGACAGCGCTCGATGTCGTGGTCTACGGATTACCAGGACGTTGGTGGATCTGTTAACGTCTATGGTCTCGATTCTTACCCTGGTGGAACATCCTGCACCAATATAAACTCTGGCTACAATGTAGTCCGCAATTACTACCAGTGGTTTTCAAACTACTCCTACACGCAGCCAAGTTACGTCCCCGAGTTTGAGGGTGGATGGTTCAGCCCCTGGGGAGGCAAATTCTACGATGAGTGCCTTGCAGAGCACAGCCCAGAGTTCGCGGATATTTACTACAAGAATAATGTTGGACAGCGGATTACTATGCAGAATCTGTACATGACTTGGGGAGGAACCAACTGGGTAGGCGTCATTCATCTCTGATAGCAAAGACTCTGGCTAATGATAAACAGGGACACTCTGCGGCTCCGGTCGTGTATACGTCTTATGATTATTCCGCACCGCTGAGAGAGACTCGCCAGCAATGGGACAAACTGTACCAAACCAAGCTTCTCGGGCTCTTCACTCGGGTTTCAAAGGACCTGTTGAAAACTTACATGGTTGGAAATGGCACTGGATGGAGCGTAAGCCAATATCATATCCCATATTATATGGACTTGATGAACTGACTCATATTAGGTATCGACGGATGCTATCTGGACGTGGCAACTGGCAAATCCCGATACTAAGGCAGGATTCTACGTCGTCCAGCACGCCGCCACGAATTCTAGGAACAATGAAACTTTCAGTATTGATCTCACTACCTCGAAAGGGAACGTCTCTGTCCCTAATGTTAGTCTTACGGGCCGCCAGTCTAAGCTTATAGTGACCGATTACACATTTGGAAAGCACGCTCTTTTGTACTCTACTGCCGAAGTTCTTACATACGGCGTCTTCGACGTTGATGTATTGGTATTTTACCTCAGAGAGGGCGACATTGGGCAGTTTGCATTCAAGGGTATGCCGGCTCACTTGACCTACAAGGTCTACGGCAAATCGAAACTCACATCTGCAACCACTGATGGAACTACGGCATACACTTACACACAAGGGCCGGGCACATCAGTCGTGAAGTTCAGCGACGGCACTATTGTGTATCTGCTTGAACTGTGGACCGCGTGGCAATTCTGGGCACCGTCAACATCCAAGAACCCAACCGTGGAGGCAGACAAGCAGGTGTTCGTCATTGGACCGTACCTTGCACGAAGCGCCTACGTCCAACACGGAGATGTTTTCGTGTCAGGAGACAGTAACTCCACCACCACTCTCGAGGTCTACGCTGGGAGCTCTGTAAGGAACATTGTCTGGAATGGGAAGCGGCTGCCAACCACGAAGACAGCCTGGGGGTCAGTTACAGCCAAAATCGCTGGTACAGAGCATCGCCATATCTCCTTACCTGAGTTCAAGAACTGGAGATCTGCCGACTCTCTGCCAGAGATCAACCCAGATTATGATGACTCGAAGTGGGTTGTCTGCGATAAACAGACTACGTTGAGCCCTGTTGCCCCCACGACACTGCCAGTTCTATTTGCTAGCGATTACGGTTTCTACGCTGGAGCGAAGGTCTACCGCGGTTACTTCGACGGCACCAGCGCCACGTTTGTTAACCTGACAACATCAGGCGGTTTCGCATTTGGATTCAACGCCTGGCTCAACGGTAAGCTCATCGGCGGCCACGGTGGTGATCCCGCCCAGAGCAACCTTATCAGCCAGCTCAGCTTTGCCAACGCCACTCTCCGCGCTACTAACAATGTCCTCGTCGTCCTGGTCGATTACCACGGCCACGACGAAACCTCCACCGCAAAGGGCGTCGAGAATCCCCGCGGCATCCTCGGCGCCTCCCTCTCCACAGGCCCCTTTAAGACCTGGAAAATCCAGGGTAATGCTGGCGGTCCCGCTAACATTGATCCTGTTCGTGGTCCCATGAACGAGGGCGGCCTCTACGCTGAGCGCCTCGGCTGGCATCTTCCTGGCTTCGACGTCTCGAAGTGGTCTCGCAGCGACGGACCTACTACGGGACTGGCCAAGTCAGGCGTTCAGTTCTACGTCACTACTTTCCGCCTTGCCATCGATGCTGACCTCGATGCTCCGCTGGGCATTGAGTTCAGCGCGCCAGCTGGCACGGTTGCCCGTCTGATGTTCTGGATCAACGGGTACCAGTTCGGCAAGGCTGTGTTCCATATTGGCCCGCAGCTGCGCTTCCCAGTTCCCCCTGGAATCATCAACAACCGTGGAGAAAATACATTGACGATTAGCTTGTGGGCACAGACTGATGAGGGAGCGAAAGTGAGCGAGGTTAAGCTGATTAATTATGGGCTGTACCAGACAGACTTCGAGTTTAATGCTGATTGGAAGTATTTGCAGCCGAAGTATGTCGGAGGGAGAGAAAAGTATGCCTGAGAGGGCCAAGGGAAGATGTGGGTGGTAGTTATTATTCATATATTGGATTAATTCTTATATAGAGGAAAATAATAATATGGGATTTCTACCGGATTTATATGGTTTACTTTGGGGAGAGACATTCAACAGTTGCTGTATGGATGGCCGATAATAAATCTGCCATTTGTTAAATAGTCCGGTACAATTCATATCCTAACTATGATCTGCAAATTCGACATATGCCGAGTGGTATAGAAACGGATAATCAAACCCCAACAGCAAATCCAACCTGCTCGCAGCCTCACATCACCACAGCAAGCATCCAAGAACCCCCCTCATCACTTCTCCTTATTCCACTCCTTCCCACTCCACAAACCTCCCACAGTCCACAACCAATAATCCCGTCCCTTAATCAACCAAATCATGAAACTGGGAAACTCGTACCCCATAGCCGCCCCAACTCCTTTACTCGTTCCAATGGGCACCAACTGCGTCTCGCGTTTGTCAGCAACATACACCCTGTCGTCTCCGACCGCCGTCTCGGCCACCCCGGCATCGAGAAGGAGGTCCCGCTTGATATTGGCACCGAGAATGGGGATCGCGGCGAGCGTGAGATGGATCGCGGGACGCGAATAAGACGCCACGTCTCCAATGGCGTAGACCCTTGACCCAGCTCCGTCAACCCTCAGCGTCGCGGCATTAGTTTCGACGCGACCATCCGCAGTCAGCAGCGACTTATCAACAAAATCGGTATTTGGCTGCGTTCCGACTGCAGGGATATACAGATCAGCCTCCAGCGTCGTCCCGTCCGCAAGCGTCACCGTCGCCTTGGAACCCACGCTCTCCGTTCCAGCACCCTCGGGGACTACGCCCGCGACGCGGGTGTTCTTGACGACTGTTACCCCAACCTGGGCGAGGAGCCCCTCAGCCTTCGTCGCAATGGACTTGCGCAGGACAGGAAGGATCTGCGCCGCGGATGTCACGAGCGTGATCTTTACCTTTGGGTTCTCAAGCTTGGAACTAAACCACCCCGCGCGTCCATTGAGGTACTCCCCCAACTCGCCAGCGGTCTCGACACCAGAAGGTCCACCACCTGCAATGACGATAGACTTCGCCGTCGCAAGAGACTCGCGGAATTCGGCCCAGCGCGCGCGCAGGAAGATGTCATCGCGGTTTAGTCCGAAGAGAGGCGAGGTGGTGGTGGCGCCGGTAGCGAGGACGAGGGAGTGGAAGGTGAGAGTTTCAGTTCCGCCTGCTGAGAGGGAGACGGAGACGGAGCGGCTCGTGTGGTCAACACCTGTGGCTTTGCCGTGGAGGAAGCGAAAATTGACAGTGGGGTATTGCGCGAATACCTCGGGGATGTTGACGAAGACTTTGGAGATGGGGAGGAGGTCGTCGGAGATTAGGACGCGGGGACAGGCTGGGCGGCACATGGTTTGCTCGGAGGGACTGATGAGGATAATTTGGTAGGAGGCGGGCGAGGGTAGCTTGGGGATGGCATGCTTGAGAAGGTAGTGGGCGATTGAGACGCCGCCGTAGGAACCGCCGAGGACGACGATGTGCTTCTGAGCTGCTGGAGGGCTAGTTTGCGCCATTGTGGTGGTGCGATACAATTGATAAGAGATAATGAGGTGGTTAGGCAAGAATGGAGACTGTAGGAAGAGGCGCGATAATGATGGCTGTTGAGGCGATTTATCCTTTGTAGCACTGTATCGAGCGATTGTGATACCGATTGTGAAACTCCAGTTATGTATCCTGGATTCCTCACAAGAACGTCAACAGAAACGAAGAAACAGGGGAGGAAGCCGTATCTTTTAAAGGTAAAAACATGTAAATAAAGACAACAACATCGCCGTCAGCTTGCTTTGCTATTAGATGCTTGGATACATGCGTTGCTCGCCGGCTTCGTCATCGGTGCCGCCTCAAAATATGCATAAGGTTGCGGAATGCATGCATGAAATGGGAAATGTGATATTTTATGAAGATCCGATTGGTGTTAGTGCTTATGTACTGCGGATAGTGCAGGGTTCCTTGTCATTTTGGGGTCCATGTCGCCCCTTTAGTTGGTCTAGACTGCTTGGCAACATATAATGCCGAAGGAGCGAAAGGCCGAAGTGTGATATTGGGCCATCAGAGAATATTTCCATCGAGATGTGTATACACTATTTGTATATATGTATTCCATAGACCGTACGTACATAGCTGACCACGCCCAAGTGGCCGCAAGCTGGTGTGGCCCGTGCCAATATCAACGCAAGATGTCGGAGGATTTGTGGCGAAAGGTTGGCCATGACGATTAATCGTTTACTATTTGTATCATGGCATTGCTTGTCGTGGCGGAAGTACATTTTAAACTGAGTTTTCAAAGCCATAAAAGAATTTATTGGGTTTTTCAGAACGTTATGAAAGAAGTGTAAAGTATAAATTGGTTAAAGATCTTAAAACCTCGAAGTGAACACTATCATCTTACCCCATCGCCCCTTGTCTTTAAGTTGAATTTAAACAACACGGCTAACCATGCTCATTGATCTTAAATATCTACACAATGTCCAGAATCTCCGCTTCGCCCGGAATCACAGTTCCGTTTAGAACAGCATCCCCATGAGCCCTTGCAACAAGAGAGTAATCTGGTAGATACCTACGCACGAAGTTAGTAAGACATATCTCTAACCATGCAGCATTCCACCAAACTTACACGTCCAGGAATGGCAGGACCTCAGCAGAGCCAGGGGTGCTACGCCAGTCTCTCATCAAGTCCATTGTGATGGCAAACAACCCTCCGAGATGTACACCCGCCTGCTCCATCCTACGATTTGCGTCCGCAGCGAGTTTTTCATTGAACGTCCCACTCGCATCCGTATTGGCCCACACAGAGTAACCCTCCTGGCGAAGAGAAAGGGCGAGGAAAGAAGTACCTGGGCGTGTTAGCCTACGAATCTACCGGGTGCTTGGGTATTTGGTAGACTTACAAACTTCAGTGACGATACCGGCGAGGATGACGTGCTTTTTGCCCGTAGCCTTCACGGCGGCGCGGAAATCGGCATTGTCCCAGGCGTCAACTTCACCCTGGCGGTGGATGAAGGTGGCGTTTGGGTGGAGGGCGACGATTTCTTTTGGTAGCTGGCCATTTGGGCCTGGTTTGGTCAGTACATTATTTGATAACGACGTTTAGAAGCATTTTTTACCAGTATCGGCAGACGTTGTGAGGATGGTTGGGAGGTTAAAGAGGTTCCCTAGAGCTGCGTGGCCGAGGACGGAGTTTCTGAACTCGACAGTGCCGTAGTCTCTCACGACTGCTTTGAGGCCGGTCTGGTGGTCTACAACGAGGAGGACCTGTAGAAATTAGAGATGTATGGAATGTTAGAATTGTCGAATTCTTACAGCGTTGTTCTTGTCTAGCCTTTCAAAAGTGAATCCTGGCAAATATATATATCAGCTTGGCCATGGTCAGTCGTATGTGTATGTAAAAACTTACCATTTGCAGCAACTACGGTTGCAAGCGCAAGGCTTGTTAAAAGTTGAAACTTCATGTTGAAAGAGAACAAAAAGTAATTGCTTCGTCTTGGAGTCTAATTCTGAGGAATGAGAAGGTGTAGAGCGATGTAGAGAAGATTAAAGATATGATCACTTGGGAAAGGCCGTCCCCTTTATACCTCAAAATCCAGACACTCAGAACTTCAAGGAATCCGAGTACGCCGTCCTTCATATGCATCATTCCAATAGTCAGAACTCCATAATTAATAAAATGCCTGCATCTGGAGGCTTCTCAGACCGAGGAGCTGTTCTTTCAAATCCGTGAAACGTAGCATATCGTAACATCAGAACCAGTCCCACCCACCATATACACGTGTATCCACTGATAAGTCATAAAATATGAAGCATCTCGAGCATACTCCCTCACCGTCTGAGAGCTATTGTGGAGAGAAGTAAAAATAGCCTACCTGTACGACGATTACACAATCACCTAGAGGCAATAAATGCGTGCATTAGCTCCTGCTCTCTGCGGGCTACTTAGGATAGAAAGAGTTAGCCACCATGTACGGCGATGACAGATGCTTCGCAGATATATTAAAGATTTTGGGTTTCGCCCATCCCGCGCCCAACGGCCGGCCCGTAGCCGCTCCTAGAGTGGGCCCTGCACCGGACAGCATCTTTAGTTGGTTTAGGTAAGTGAATGCCCATACCTAACCTGGGGCTAGTCACGGCTGACTGTGCAAGCTCAAAGAGTATGCCGTTTTTTCGTCACCCTGCGATCAATAGTTGCCATTGATGACTGTTGGAGCTCGTAGCACGTGTGCTACACGCCGGGATTTCGTGCATCAATACGGGCGCTGAATCATCGCCCGGGGGGTGTGCACGTCAACGCACCCCAGCTAGTGCTGATTTGTTAAAAAACAGCAGACTCATAGTAATATAAACCGCTTGCAACATGAGATGTAAAAAAGCCTAGGCTATTATTAATTTGCAAGAGGGTATTTCAACGTCGAGATGGATGCGCTGACGGAAGGCACTGACTAGCCTTTGCTTGTGCCATTATTTTATCCCATAAGTGACTCCATATGCGGGTATATTTCACTCATCGATGTCCTCGTACACTACTGGAGATCTCCTTGTATCTATACACTATATGGAACTATATATCTAAGAGTGGAGTTTGCATACGAAATTATTAAAAGGCTGGTTATCAGGCAACCGGCGGCCGTCACACCCTCCCAAAAATGCCTTGAGGCGTGGCAATCTTTGTCAAAACAGCAATGAATCCACCAAACAAGCATACAGCGCCGCTGAACATACATGCCTCAAAAAATCCTCCATAATGATGCACAAACACCCCATTTACTGGCGGCCCTATCAATCCCCCGAGAGAGCTTAGAGACATGCCCATGCCCATATACATCCCTATCTCCCGTGGGTCTTTGGCGCAGAGCGAGATGCAAGCGGAGAGCCCAGAGATAATAGTTCCTGAGGTGAAACCAAAGACGACGCCATATCCAATTAACGAGCTATTGGTCTTTGCTGAGTTCATGCAGAAAATGGCAATGCCGGTCGAGACACCCCCTATCGCGAATACATTCAGTCTCCCGTACTTGTCTGCCAGCACGCCGGGGATAATACGGCCAAACGTTGATGATGCATTGACGATTGCAAGAAGATATCCAGCAAGTGCCGGATCCATGCCTCGAGCGACAGCGTAGGTTGGAAGGTAGAAAAGCGGGGTGAGCATGCCCATAAATATGAAAAACATGGACACCATCAGCAGGACAAAAATCACCTCCGTATACGCCCTCGAGAGCCAGAATGCCGTCGTCCGCGGCGTTAGACGCGGCCTGACAGCTACGCATGCGAACGCTAAGAGCGGTATGAGTAGGAACCCAATAACCCTTACTGACCACCCGAAGCCGAGCGACGAGTTGTTCAGCATCTTCGATAGCGCGATAGGGATCACTACTCCACCAATAGAAGACCCAGAGACTACCACTCCCAGAGCTGCGGCTCGGTTCTTGTCGAAGTACTGCGACACCGCTGCAAAGGCAGGGAACTGAAGGAAACCCATAGCGACGCCCATTAGGACGCCTTGCACCAACATAATCTGCCAGTACGCTTTGCACAGACTCAGCATCATCACCGAAAACACGTACACCACTGCCGCCGGCTGCATAATCTATATCACCGTCAGTAGGCTTCCTATGCAACAACCAACTAAATTTGTAGACTTACCCGCGAGCCATACCGATCGAACATCGGTCCCCCGACCATACCAGCACCGAATTGGAGGTACGCTGATATAGACCCAATCCAGGCAATTTTATCAGGAGAGTGGCCCTGGAGCTGGTGCGTTAGGTAGTATTGTTCGAAAGCACCAAATGAGTTCGAAAAACCAAGGCAGCAAAATAATATTGCAGCACCGCCGGCGGCGACAATCCAGGCCCTGGCACCGCCATCCGGCGCTGGTTTGTCGGAGTCGGGTGGGGAGGCGGAGGAATTCACTTGGTCAAGTAGATCGGGTGAGCTGGGAGCGGAATTGTCTTTGTCGAGTTCGGATTCAATGGTTGCCGTCGACTCTTTATCGTTGACCGGGGGAGAATTTTTTTCCCTAATTATTGTGGCCATATTTTATTAAGTAGTATCTCAAGAAAGCTATTGTGAGAATAATGCTAGATATATTCAAGAAATACAACGCTCGCTGACTTTTTGACAACAACAGAAACATGAAAAATAACAGATAAGCATTAGAAGGAAGCTTGAATTTATTATAAATTTATTTTTTAGCCTATTTCTCCTCGATTACATTCCCATTGTCGGATATGAGAATAATCGGAGGTAATTGGGGACGGCGCCGTCGGCCGGACACGGGATCGGACTCGGCAACCGAACTCGGCGATACTAAACCCGACTTTAAAGCACACGACCTCCCCTCGACCTAACCATGATTCTGTTTCCCTAGCCTTTCGAAACCGAAGCCCGTCGGAGATAATGTGAGATTTTCTACGCCCAACTATAGCTCTCAGTTTAAACAGCCTGAGTGCGACGCACATATTACTAGCTATGACCGACCCCGAGCGGCGGCGCAGGCGTCTCACTGTGTATGTCCCCCACCAATACCTCACCTGTTGAATCCCCCACTAATAACGCCCACGAGGAAAATAGCTCCTGTACCTTGTGCAAGCGCCGCAAGATACGATGTAACCGCGAGACGCCATGTAGCAACTGCGTGCGCTCGCGGAACGGGACTTGTGTCTATGAGAACAACGTTACTGCCCCTCCCAGACGGGACACGGGACTGACCCCTGAACGGGCTGGTGGGTTTGGGAGGGAATCAAATGCTAGTAGACGCAGCGAACCGGCTTTCCCTCCCCTTCCCACCCCGTCGTCTAGCGCATCATCCCCTGCGCCCGATGTGGCGGCCATGCAGCGGCGTATCCTGGCGCTTGAATCGGAGCTTGCGGGGGTGTCTATCAAGCAAACCCCCACCCAGCAGCCTCCGATGGAACTGGCCCCGGCTCTACTGGATCCGTTCTCAACTCAGAAAGAGGACACGGTGACGACCACGACGAAGCTGGCGGGTACATTTCATGTGCATAATGAGAATACCGAGTGTGGGATTGGGTACGAGGGGGGTATCCCGCGTAGTGTCACGCATAAGACGAGGGTTTTTGGCCAGAGTCATTGGATTAATGGGATTGTGCTGGTGAGTTGGGACTTTGCGCTGCGAAAATTGCCTTGCCGAGATTTGTTCTATTTTTATCAGGGGCCGGCGTGGAGTATCATAGTTTACAAAGGGGTTATTGCAGGTTGGAGAAAATGATAAACGATACGCTCGCTGACAACTTCTCAGTTCCTCGGAATCCCCAAACTTATCGAGTCCCATTTCCTCTGCGAAACATCCCGCGCCGTTGTTGGCATCCAACGCTGCAAATCGCTTGCTCGAACCATCAAGTTTCAACGCACACCTGCCGCCCGTTCTCTCCCACCAATCCCGGATCTGCCACCCAAAGAAGTCGCCGACACTCTCATAGAGTCCTACCTCCGTACCGTAGAGTCCGTCCACCGCATATTGCACATCCCCACCTTCCGACGCGACTACGCGGCGCTCTGGGCCTCTGAGTCCCCCACCAACACTGTATTCTTGGTGCAGCTGAAACTCGTCCTCGCGATCGGTGCCTCGACGTACGATACGAAGTTCTCTCTCCGTACGTCAGCGATTCGATGGGTTTATCAGGCACAAAACTGGCTATCAGAACCGGCGTTCAAGTCCCGCCTAAACATCCAGACGCTGCAGATCAGCCTCCTGCTACTGTTCGCGCGAGAAACGACGGGTGTCGGCGAAGATATGGTATGGGTATCTGCCGGCTCGCTGTTGCGGACCGCCATTCACATGGGTTTGAACCGGGACCCGTCGCTCTTGCCAACACGTAGCTTGTTTGCAGCCGAAATGCGCCGGCGACTCTGGAACACGATCCTAGAAGCAGTCGTCCGAACAAGTCTCATGTCTGGCGGCCCGCCACTGCTGTCACTGAGTGACTTCAACACTGCGCCTCCTAGAAATTTTTCGGATGAGCAGCTCTCTGACGATGACTCTACGCCGGCCCCGGATGGGGAGTTCACGCAGATCTCTGTCGCCATCGCGCTGCGCGCCACATTCCCCCTTCGCCTCGCCGTTGCCAAATTTCTCAATGATTTTGGTGCCCATGGCACCTATGACGAGACCCTACGCCTTGACACCGAGCTGCGAACCGTCTACCGCGCGCTCTGCCACACGCTCCAAGGATACGCTTCCTCCAGCACTGGATCTACGCCATCGAGATTCGCGCTCCGAGTCGTCGATTTCCACATGCTACGGTACCAGCTGGCACTGCACGTCCCATTCTTCGGGCCTGCGCTTAAAGTCACAGCATATGCGTACTCGCGGACAGTCGTAGTCGAGAACTCCCTGCGGTTGTGGTATAGCGTCTGTCCACCGTCGTCCGGTGCGCGTGGGGTTGCTGTGGTGGAGGAAGAGGAAGAGGAGATAGGTAGGGACGACTTGATGCGGCTTGCAGTCTGCGGGTCAGGCTTCTATTGTACTGTTGCCATTCAAGCGAACCTCCTCATTGCAGTCGAGTTACGAACTCAGGTCATGGAAGCCGCAAGTCTCTCACCGCCGACGTTGCGCCCAGACCTACTAGCAGTTCTCGAGGATAGTAAAGCATGGGTGTTGCGGCGTATTGAAGCCGGCGAGACGAACATCAAAGGATACTTAATGTTATGCGTTGTAACGACACAAATTGACGCGCTCGCTCTCGGTCTTGGGAAGGATGAAATGCTGCGATTATGTCTCGAGGCTGCGGAAGAGTCCGAGGAGGTATGTTTTCCCCTGCTTGAGGAGATGGTGGCGCAGGGGCGGGATGGAGGCGGGGATAGTGGGATTCCAACAGGCCTCGGAACACCTGAGGGAGGGGTAGAGGATTGGGAGTTCATGGTGAGTTGGGTGCTGGCATGTATGTGTGCAGTGTTGCCGTGGCTGACCAGTGTGATAGGTTTCAGATGCGCTGTTTGAGCTGGGGGGGGTGGATGGGATGAGTTGGATGTTCGGCCAGGAGAGTGGCCAGGGGGGGGGAGGACCGTTGGTTTGGTAAGGAAGGCGTGTCATAATTGTACAGTACAATATGGTTGTGGTGGTTTATGGTGGTAGTCGCCGCTCCTTAGTGATCTGTTCTCATAGTGGATAATAATATAATGGATATGGGAAATATAAACTAGCTAAACGGACCAGCTGAGTAGCCAATAGAGTAACTAATAGCGAGTATATCCCCGATCATCAGGTGATCCCCCGCATTATCGCTCAAAAATCAGCGGGGTTATACCATGTGGTAAGTGTACAAACCTCGGTACCTTGTACAGAATCGAGATAAAGTTGCGGGGGCCCCACACTTGACAGGGGACGATCGACCAGCTTCATCACTCCCCTCCGCGAATTATCCACGTTTTGGCCACGAATTACCAAAGTAGGAATCTACTCGAGTAATGTGACGCCTCTTTTCTTTTCTTGGCTTCGGACATGGCAGGCAAGACGGACATGACGCCCACCACTAATCGTTGATTAAAGTTGCTCAAGCACGTGTTAAATGCATGGGTCGGACGGTATTAGGGCTACACTTGGGGATGTGTTCTCCGCATACGTCTCTATTCGCCCGTAGACCTGCAGAGTAAGCTCAGTCGGGCCGTATACTTTGGTCTCCTGAGCACATAGGAACAAAAAGCACCAAGTACCGGGCATTATCGATGCAGGATGCTGTGAACAAGGGCTCGACATCGGTCCTTGCACACATTAAAGTTTAATATTTATGTGTGGTTATATGCATGGGCAAATGTATTCTTACTTTACCATTGCCAACAGTTACAGAAGGCCCCTTGTTTGGCTGAGAGACTGAAATTTTTATAAAACGCGAGGTGTCTCAATATAGACATAATGATAATTCCAACAACACGACTGGGTCATCGATAACCCCACCATCGTAAAGTTATAATAGCTCTAGTACCTGACCCCGCAAACAGTTTGAGATTAGGCTCCCGCAAGCAGTTCCTATTTAGGCAATACTTGCTGAACTTCTGTAACTATTAGGCAGCACTTAGTTAACCTTAGTCGCCCTTGGCATGTTTAAGTTAGTGGGAATTGGCCTTGACGTCTTGGCATGTCCGGCAGATATCCCCAAAATCCAATCCCCGCGATCCCCCCTTCTCCACGTCCCCGCATTACATCCCCGTAGGACACATATCGAATTCTCATACAGGACCTCTTTTTAACCCTCAAAACCTTCAAAAACACCTCGGCTTTTTTAGTAGGCCTCACCATCATCTTCCCTCTTTCCTATTCCGCTCTCTCTCTTCAAAATTCTCCAGCTCTTAATCTATATCTTCAGAAAATGCCGAGGCACTATCATTCTTCGCCCCTCCCCCTCGTGGCCTTATACGCATAGATCTAGTTTCAGCCTACTCTGTCTCCATTCCCCACTTCACTACTACCCCAAATCTCCGTTTCGATCGTCAAACGGACTCCATAAGACCACATAATGCCTCGGCATGGACAGCTCTCCTCTAGGTATATATATGACTGCATCATCTCCATCATATCTTTTTTTTAACAACCAACTCTTCAGTCCAACAACTCACCATACTCAGCCAGCTCACCTAAACCAACCCTCAAATACCCACCGCAAATATGAAGTTCCAATCCCTCATCGTCTCAGCTCTCGCCGCTGTCGCAGTTGCAGCCCCCTACCCTGCTGCCAATGAAGCAATCGACGCAGAGGCCCTCCCAGCGATCATGGCCCGCCAGTCGGCCACCTCTGATGAGCTCAAGAACGGAGCCTGTAAGGATGTGACCTTCATCTTCGCACGCGGCTCTACCGAGTCCGGTAACATGGTTTGTGCCCCAGTTCCCTCTTCCCGACCACAAAGAAACCCTAGAAATAGATGGATGCTAACCAAAAACAGGGCTCTATCGTCGGCCCCCAGGTCTGCACTGCCCTCAAGACCCTTCTCGGCTCCGCCAAGGTGGCTTGCCAGGGCGTCGGCTCCCCATACGACGCCACCCTCGCCGACAACTTCCTTCCCAAGAACACGTCGCCCACCGCCATCGGCGCCGCCAACACCCTCTTTAACCTCGCCCATACCAAGTGCCCAAACACCAAGGTTGTTGCTGGAGGCTACAGCCAGGGAACCGCTGTGATCGATAACTCTATCCAGGCTCTGAGCGCCGCAGTGGTGGCGCAGATTAAGGGCGTTGTCCTTTTCGGCTTCACCCGCAATCTGCAGGATCGTGGACAAATCCCCGGCTACCCCACTTCTCAGACTAAGGTCATCTGCGCTGTTGGCGATCTCGTGTGCGATGGCACTCTTATCATCACTGCCGCACATTTGACATACGGCATTAACGCTTCCTCTGCCGCGGCATTCCTGGCCAGCAAAGTCTGAGGGATGAGATGAAGATAGGGGGTTGTTGGTGAGCTTGGGCTCCGAAAGGGGTTGGGTGCTGGGATGCAGCCAGAAGGTTCTGAGAGGGACTTAGGGCTTGTTTCCGCTTCTTGTTTCTTCTTTTTTGTATTTGCGATTTTTTGTCAATTTTGAAAGTATAAAGTTAGCTGCAGCTCAAAAATTAAACGTCATGTTTAGAAAAAAAAATGCCTTGGCCTTTTTTGTGTAAACCGGTACCGTAGTGAAGCGCTATTTACCATACCGTGTCTTCAGTGTGCGGCACGGATACCAATATACCCGTGGTATCCGGGTATATCCTCGAGTATATACCTACCCGGCGATATTTTGGGAGTATCTGGGGTATCCGGATACTCTCGAGTATATATCCGGATACTTGCCAAGAGTTGCCAAGCCTAGTTAAGGCTTCATTTTACAGACGTCATCTCAACGTTATGCTTAAACTATAGCCTTATAAGCATACTAATACCCTTAATATCTAGTTATTACTTAGGCTATTCAGTAATTCTAATAAACACTATAGCCTTAGAATAAGGATTTAGTAATATTATAATATTATTATAAAATAGTAAAATAGGTTATTACTACCTATAACATTTACTTTACTTTACTTATAGAATTATATATAAGAGGCAAATAGTAATAGTAATAATGTTAATAATAAGGTAAATAAATAGGTATAGGGAGTATAAGGAGTATAGGGAGTATAGGGAGTATAGGGGGTATAGGGAGTATAGGGAGTATAGGGAGTATAGGGAGTATAGGGAGTATAGGGAGTATAGGGAGTATATAGGGTATAGGGGTTAGGTCGGTTAAGGTATCGTAAAAGCCTCATTTTTATATGCTGCTATTCAGCCTCATGTATCCGGATATATACCCTACTCTACCCGTGAGATCTTGGCCGGATACATACCCTACCCGTCGACATCACGGATACTACCCGGATATGTATCCGCCGAACACTGCGTGTCTTTATTGGGAAGGCACGAGTGGAAGAATAGGAAGGCACGAAGGAGGAGAGAAGGAAACTGTGGCAGAGAAGGAAAGTGCGACAGGCGCAAATGCATCCCCAATAGCTCACTTGCTTTCAAAGTTAGCCTTTCATGTTTCAATTACTTCATGTCGACTTCACAACAATCCATGAACGGCTATTTTACAAATAATTACGAGTAACTCCCGACAACAAACCTGACAGAAACGTATTACCGCGAACCTAATCAGGCGGTCTAGCGTGAAACCCCTCGGAACATTGCGTTGTTGCGGTGAACAGCTGGGCGAGAGCCGAGTACCCCTACCAAACTGCCGCTGAAGACTTGGGAAAGAAGTTTAGATAAGCCTGTTTCACAGCTTATAAAGCTTATAAATTAGATACCAGTTCTTATTACCAATGAAGTGTTATGTGAGACTTACAAGGGGTGGCTATCTATTTACTCACTTTGGTTATGATTTTGTTACCGCCTTTCCCACTTTACTATCTTATTTCTCACTCCCTACATCTTCCTTCTACATGTATTCTAATCATGCCTCCAATATATCCTCCATTATTGGCACGATCTCGACACACAACTTGAAGTTACAGCCGTTCCTGTCCTACCATCCTCGGAGAAGTCGGAGGCAGTCATACAGCACATTCAAAATCCACCTCTTACCCGTCGTTCTCACATCGCACAAGAAAATGCAAATGTGAGAGTAAGCATTGCGTGTGACTGTCTTCTGAGACAGCATGATCAATAGAAGCCCAACCATGCACGAAGGACAAGCCGACGAACAGGGACCTAGAGTGGACGAGAGCTAGTAACACACCATCGGATTTTGGCATGATGGTAGCTGTTCTGGATCCGGCGAACTGTGGTTGAGTGAGCGCACTTGGATATAAAAGCTAGGTAATGGACTCGATGGGTTTGCGAAATATAACTTTCTCTCTCAGCTCGCTTGGGAATATCAGATATCTTACACTTAATTACCAAGTTGTATTTCATTCAAACTATATTCCTTAAACATGACTGTCTCAGCCATCATCGCCGTACTCCTCCTCGCCCTTTCTCAGGACTTCATAGTTGCTGCCATCCCAGCCGCTGCCAACAGCGTCGTCGTCACTCATGTAGCCTCCGATTACTTCCCTAATGCTAAGGGCGACCTGACCCGATTTGATGTTGACGCTCGCTACGTCGGCTACAGCTCGGAAACCCAATCCTGGCTCGCCAGAATTGACCCTTCCTCTGGAAAAACGGACGAGGAGATAGCCACCCAACTGATCGAAGCCGCCTACGCCCATGCCTTCAACCCCCTCGACCCTGACATGGCCGCCGACCTTACCGCGCTCCTTGCCGCTGTCGCCGGCTCCGAACCTCCTAGCACAATAGAACGACGCTCCTCGTTCGAAGTCTCCGTCGCACATGCAGTCAAATGGGCCAGCTGTGCAGGCGTCTTCAGCTGCCTCTCTGGCACGACATGCACGTTCAGCCTGGACATCGGGAAGGCGCCGCGTAGCCACTGCGAGAACCAAGGAGGGTCTAATTGCTGCATCAGCTGGTCGAACTATAATATTCGTGCGGGCTTCTTTTCGACGACTTGGACGACGTGTAATAGTGAGGTGCAGGCGGAGCAGAAGTCGGATGCTAGTTGTGAGGGGTATGGGACTAATGATCAGGGAGGCGATGTGTGCTTGAGCAATAGGGCGAACGGGTGTACGTAGGTGGGATGGCTGTGGCGATTTGGTAGCGGAGAAAGTTGGGGCAGGGGGGTATTCCGAAAGCAATCTAGTGGTGGAGATGCGAGAAAGAGCAGTAAAATGATATCTTTTCTGCTTGATGAGAGTTCCTACAAAGTGACGAATACGCTTCCTCCGTAGCAATAGTAATAATATACCAAATCAGTAGCATGCTGGTTCTTCAACGGATCATCAGCGTCACTCTTTTCTCTCCCAGAAACTGCGTCGTTAGCCACATCCGTAACTGCACTCATAAATCCCCCTCTATCTATTATTATAGCGCTGGCATATTGAACCAATCATTACCACCTCCGCCATTGAATCACAAGGTCTCAATTGATGAAACCGCCGGGAATATAACAGGAATTAAGGAAGTCTTACCGCGCAGTGCAGAGAAGATGGCTGGGCACTACACAGAACAGTGCCGTTTCCTACCAGTACCCTGGCCGCCTATTATATGCTGTGGTCTCGGTGGCTTAGGAGCGTAGCACTTTTCTGCGCAAAGCCGGAACATGACCATCGGCTCGAAGCACGGCATGTCTCGCAACACCTTCGCAACCCATGGATGTTCCGTGTTTGTCACATCCGTCGCATGATTGAGAAAAGCCCACCCTCTTGGCGGGCGCATATAGTCTGAAAATGGGCCCGAATTACCTTGCAGAACAGTCCTCCACTCATCCTCCCTCCGAGTACGAAAGATTCCCTCCGGGTCTTGGATATCCGCACAGTTGTTCTTTGCCTCCGCTTTACGCAAATTGTGAGTCACCCATTTTGTCACCAGCCTCTGTTTCCACTGCGCTACTCGGGGTAACCATTCGGACTCGTGCCTGACCAAGGCCAATTCAAAGAACATCACAGGCTCGAGGGCTTTCCTCGGCCCCGCGGCCCAGAGTTTGTAATAAGCCTTTAGCGCGGTCTTATCTCCTGCCCTGACGAGCTTAACACGTTCTTCTCCCAAGCGACCAAATAACATCCCCCCTTCTTTCCGCAGAGCAGCATCTAGACTGAGGTGCAGGCTAACCACGCACAGGGTGGTCAGGTACGACCCGCCAGCTTCGGTGAGCAAGTCCAAATTTTTGTCCTCGTATGTAGTCATGAACTCGGCGCCCTGATAGTCGTTAAATGCTAGCACTAGTGGCGCAACAATAGAGATGTGCGTGGAATGGCCGAGCCGCCGTCTTAGCCACAGCAAAAACTGCAGCGGGTTGTCGCTGGGATGGTCCCTTCCAACATTGTAACAATTTCCGTAATTGAGGTGCAGCACGTCAATAGATGGAGTAACCCAAAGATCCTTGATGCTATTCATGGCCTTCCATCCTGGGGCATCACTGTCGACGAAATTGCCGTCGTATATCTGCTTGAAGCCGGCGAGGAGGGCGACGCTGCGCGACTCCTTGCAAATCTGGACAGCTATCGGGATCCGACTGTTGAATTGCGACGTATTATACATGCTGCACGGCGTGGTAACATTCTCAGTTATTGGCCTGTCTAGTTCGACAATGCGCGCGGGAAGACACAGTTCCCAGATGCGACGCTGTAGCTCGACGGGTAGCTGGGGGAATAAAGTGAATGATTGTGCAGGCTCTTGCCTTGTGGCGTTAGTCGTGGTCATTGAACCGAGTGATGATGCTGGTGCTGGCGGTAGTGTAACAAAAAGATACCGTGGGAACGTCACTACGGCCAATTATTCGTGACTATTCAAAAGCAAGTTAGTGAGATTGTCGCCGTCGTGGATTTGGTGTTGGTGTTGTAGTTTGAGAGGGAAGAGGTCGCATTTAGGAATGGAAGCGGGGTTAAAAGGGGTGTCGGCCGCCAAGGAAATGTGAGACTTTACTGCAGTATGATAACTGACCAGTTCTCCAAACTCGAAAGTGCCTCCTCCGCCTAGGTCCTGAAGATTGATCGGGTTAGTAAAAAGTGTTGTTAGACTTGTCTAGGGTGACAGGGAGTTGGAAATGGGTGCATAAATCATATAAATTATATGTATATATAATGCTAATTGGAAAGAATGCATTTTATATCATGCAATAGTCACCATTCTATTGGCTCGCCAAGTGGTCAACGCGGAACGATGGTCTGATCTGATCATCCATTTATGGAGCATCAGGATCGGGGTTGTTACCCCAGACTCGCTTTGAGATACCAACCGCGCTTGTGGCTTCTGCAAGAGGCTCGAGGGCGAGCACAGTAATTTGGTTGCCTTTATTCTTCAAGTAGCAGCCTGGGAGATAGAGCGACTGCTGCGGGCCAATAATCCAGTAGCGACCGAGATTGACACCATTGACCCATACGTTTCCCTTCACCCAGCCTGGCAGCTCAAGGAATGTGTCACCAATAGTTTCGACATCGAAGGATCCCGTATAGAAGATTGGGGTTGAGGTAGCTGAGGGTGCTGGGCCGCGATACTTGGCTTGTGGAGCAGGTGGTTGCTCGAGAGCTAGGGGATATGTCACCCAGTCAAGCAGAACGTTGTCTCCGATAGTAACGTTTCCGACTACGCCCTTGCGTTGCTCGACGAGTGCCGGGCCATAATCAATGCGACCCATGTTCTCGACAAGTAGCTCAAGAACGTCCCCAGCCTTGAGGTCAAGCGTAACGGTGGCTGGTACCATGTAGATACGATCAACAACCCCAACGCGCTCCCCGTTAACATAAACCAGGACACGATCTCTTGGAACATCACCCGGCTTAAGAGACCCCTTAACTGCGGTATTGACCTTGTGCCTGTACATAATAAATCCATATGATTGGCCAAGAGCCTCCATATTGGTGGGATTCTGTTGACGAGCAGGTTCTGGCAGCGCGTCAAACAGAGCCACTGATGGTTTGAGTTGAAACGTCGGGATATCAATCATTGGGCTCTTCACTGGGATATCTGGCACCGTGGAATTGTCGCCTAGGTGCGCAATGATTGTCTCTCGTATGGCATGGTAAGCATCAGTCGGGCGACCACTCTCATCAAGGGGGGCGCCATAATCGTAGCTGGATGTTACTGCAGACAATGCATTATCGATCCATAGACCGGCGTTCTGGAAACCCATGTTTGTGCCTCCGTGAAACATGTAAATGCTGATAGACGATTTGTTAGTTAACACCCAGGCAACGTCATCTTGGATCGACTTCAACGCCGCGGCGTTCCCATCGTTTGTGTTGTGTGTGCTGTTGCTGCCCCAAGTATCAATCCATGTGACATAGTATTCTCCGTCCAGTTGGGGTCCGAGGCTAGTTGGGTCGGTGACAAATTTATCTCTAGCTTCAAATCCAGTCTTTGGGTCGCCGTCAGTCTCTGCAAGAACGCCAGTGATCTGGCCTCCCGCAAGATATGATTCACCACCACCATCGTTTGTATAGAGTGGGACCTCGTACTGAGATTTTAGCATATCTCTCAAGGCAGCGACGTAAATGTGGTCATTGCCGAATGAACCGTACTCATTCTCGACCTGTACCATAAGGATGGGCCCGCCATTGGTGACTTGGAGCGGTGCTACTTCCTCAGCAAGATGTTCGAGGTATGCCTTGGACGCATCTAGGAATGGCTTGTTGTTGGTACGGACGGCCATGCCGGGTACCTCACTGAGCCATGCCGGGAATCCACCCCATTCACGTTCTCCGCAGATGTACGGACCAGGTCTCAAAACGATATTGAGACCCTCTTCTTGGGCGATCTGAAAGTATTTCTTGATATCATTCTGACCGGTAAAGTCCCAGGTTCCGGGGGACGGCTCAATATCATTCCAGAAGATGTAAGAGAAAATCGTATTGAGACCCATTGCTCGTGCCATGGACAGCCGATCTCTCCAGTATTCATTCGGAATTCGTTGGGGGTCCATCTGCCCCCCAATCATTTGGTAGGGCTTCCCATGGAGAAGAAAGTCAGTCCTGTTGTATGTGAACGGCGCGGTGTCGGCAGAGGCCGCCGGGCCGAGTATGGCGGCCAAGGAAGTTAGGAGCCAGAATGATCGCATGTTGAGATTTGTTGAGCTTGCTCTGGTGCATTTCTCATGCGCCGAAGCGCCTGTTTTAAGGAGAAAGTCATGATGCAAAAAGTTGTCAGTGTTGAGCTGTCAGTGTTGCTCCGCAGCCAGTTTTGGCAACGTTGCATGCATGTAGCTGCGGGGAGTGTTCTCCAGTTTATTAAAGCAAAGACTCGACGTGAAGCTGGAGGAATATTCGCAGATCATCACCTTTAACCTCATCGTTGGGTAGCGTAGGGGTATCTTCCGAAGACCAATTAGGCATGGAAGGCTGGCGGATCTCGGTATGAAGGGAGCTCTGTCGGATTTATGGCATCGGAACTCGATTAAATTGCCTGTTTAGGAAGGCAAGCAGCAACTTGGAAGCTTTTGACCCATATTTGATAGTGAAGCCAACCTGCTATGAGCCTTACAGCCGAACCCCGCATTCACGTTGGATGCCGGTAGCCTCTTTGCGGCTGCCGATCGACATTATACCACATAACCACGCGACGTCACATCATATATGCACGTGATAAACCAACGAGAAAACCAATATCTCTTTCGGCTGATCTTAGATAAATCATTGACTTATTGAAGGAGTAAAATGTTCTTGGTTTTGTAGATGTATTGGGGTTGGTGGAACTTAACTAAAGGTGCCGGATAAATACAGTTGGAGAGATTGCTGGGCGCCATTTCAACATGCTACAATGACTGAGTATATCAGCGATGACTATATGGTATCTTGCTTAGTTCCTCAAACAATATAGACGAAAGGGTCAGAATCAAATAGCTGTCTTTGTACAACAAAGTACGATAATGCGAAATAGACAAATTGACGAAGGAAATTCCATTCCAAAGCCACAGTAAGCGGACCCGTCTTCACTCTCCGAGCTCACCGTGCGATGTTCTCAGCCGCCAACGCCTTTTGCCCAATCCGTACTAGATCTTCATGAAGCAGTGTGTCCTTCTCAATTCCATTAACAGCCTGTTGCAGCAGCGTTGCCGCTATCTCGCCCACATCGAGTATGGGAAGACTGATGATAGCACGGCCGATGGACCCTAGAACCTTCATCACCGGCCCCGTTCGCCCTGGCGCGTCAATTATTCCAGGCTTCGTGACACACGCTTCTACTGCACCGTTTGAGTTTTTGGCAAACTCGAGAATGAGAGACTCTGTTTTTCCCTGCACCAGGGTCTCAGCAATACAACAGGGGGATTAGAACTAGGATCTAGGATGGGTAAAGGCTTACCCGCATCAAGGTGTAATCGCCCTGGATCCAAGGCTTCTGGCTCTGATCTCGCTGTGCCCCGTGGCCGCTAGTGTAAATAAAGCGCAGGGGATTGCTCGCGGAGTCGCGCGGCAGCTGTGCCATAGTTTCCATTCCCTTCAGGGTGTAGTCGAGGCAGATCTTCCGCACATCTTCAAATGGCATGGTCTTCACATTTGAGAACGTGACAGCGATGAGCCTATCACATAATACATTAGTAAAGGGGCATAATTCGATTACACGTGATGAGCCAGAACAACAGAACAACGAGTGGTGAGGATAATGTACCAGATACATGCATCGGCCCCAACAAGCTCCTTCTTCACGGTCTCTGTGTAGTTCTCGAAATCATCACAGACGACAGATTTAAGCTTGCTTGCATCGGCGCTTGGCCCCGCATTCTGCGGCACAGCTGTCGTCCGACGTGCGAGGGCGACGACGGAGGTGATGGCGGGAATGGAGAGGGCTTGGCGGATGACCTCCGTCGCGACGAACCCTGTCGAGCCGGCGACGATGATTTTCATGGTTTCTACTGCTTCAACCCGCTCCGCTGGTGTGGCTGACTCGCGGGAGAAGGGTCTTTGGGAAGGGGCTGGGAGATGTAAGTTTAAGGAGGCTGATTGATGGCTTTCAACTTCCTTCGCCGTCGTCGTCAGACCTTCGTATACCAGTCAGCATCGACAAGGTTCCCGACGATTATTCCTGGAGCTCAGATGTCTATGTAGTGGAGTCGTAGGATTCGTGGGATTTGGTTGGCTAGGCTAATCTAGTAGATGGAAGGTTCGACAGGGGATGGATCAGTGTTGTCGTAACTTCCCCGTCGTAATTTGCTGGAATATGGAGGAGATCGTCACATGACTAGTTGTAAAGTAATCATTGGTTTATGGCTTGTATAATGGCACCGCGAAGTATAATTCTTCTAGTCTGTTACGTATAGAAGAAATGACGGTTTAGCAATTGACGGATGAGGGGGTTGACGGGGTCATGACAGTTAGAGTGAAGCAACACGTGATATAGTTACGGCAGGATAGGGTCCACATTCTCTGCAAGCGGCTTGGTAAAGCTTGTTTTGAAGTGAGGAGAGAGAGATGCCGAGCGAAAACAGGGTGGGCGTCCTCAATGGGCGCTGGGCGTACTACAAGCCGGCTCGGCTAAAGCTTGATGTCTATGTGGTCCCTTCAATCCCCTCAATCTCGTTCCCCTCCTCCTCCTAACCTTCCCCTATCGCTCGATATCTATACCCATCTAGTAGGTCCCGGGTATACGGCCGTTTTAGTGGACACATGGAAGGCACGAGTAAGACCAAATACGATACCACGGCGCTGTTTTACGGACAGTATTTTACCTATGTATGTACGTTGTTCGTTATCTGGCTGGGTAGGTGCCCCCCTGCGATATCTCCGTGCCCCTGTAGCAATACTAATATACCCCACTTACACGATTGGCTATGGTTAGAAAAGGTGTTCTAGAGGCGTCATAGCAGAGGGCGGCACATGGCCACCCACCATAGCACCTTCCGCTAACTTTGGTCCCTACCTACCTCTTTTATTCCCAGTGGCTTGTTGGTGATGGCTATGGTATTGCTTGCGATCGGCAAATTGACGCCGGCGCACGCTTCACACCTTCCTCTTTGGGACTTATCAACACCATCCCCTCATATGCTTCTCATGTGCTCCCCATGTGCTCTTCATCGCATCCTTCTACAATACTGTGTACAGTTGCCGTATACAATGCTGTGTATTGTGTTGTATACGATGTGCTCTATACGGGTCGGTGATACGTAATCGATGCATTTGGGACTAACTAGGGACATCTGAGTACGACTAGGGATACATAGTTGTCGATGTCTCACAAAACACGAGACAGCACGACAGTTGCCCCGACTTACATTGCTACCCTCGTCCGTACAACTGTCATGTCTTAACAGCTTGGCTCCATTAGCTCTTCTCATTGGACTGGTGGTGCTACTGTCTATCACTTCCGTCGGATTTTGGTCTCACCCCAGCGCACCATAAACCGACCAAATTGACTAGCCGCGCCCATCACCTTCCTGTTTCCGTCTTGGCACTTGTCAATCTTCACATCTCATCCTTGTCCACAGCTGTAGCTGTGGGTTGCACCGCGGAGAACACCTTGAAGGTGTGCCACGGCCTGTATCGCGGGGATAAAATAGCCCCGGCACGATGCAATTTACGGAAGGTGGTCGTTGATCGCTGATCGTCGCTGATACCAAATGCACCTACGCGGTCTAGTTGGCCACGAGCTTCACTAATGCGACCCTCGGTATCTCTGGGGGCCACCCCAAGAAACCCCAGGATTCGACTGTGTGAGACCATCTCGCGCGATACCCTGCCTGTTGCGGAAGATCTTTATATATGATGCTCAATCCCCCCTTCACGAGACTGGAGCTTCCCCACTGCTTGCTGCATTCAATAAAGTGAATGTATTGAGCGACATCACGCCCTCAACTGAAGCTATCAGTGAAGCACCATGGGTCTTCTCTCCTTCCGCAAGGGCCAAGGCCCGGTCGTTGAGAACCCAACCACCGACGCCGATGCCATCTCGTCCGGTGTCGATAAAGGCGTCACAGCCGAACCGAAACACTATGTGCCACCGGATGAGATCCGAAAGGAGCTCTCGGCCTTTGAGAAAGAGCATATGTGGGATCCTAATATGCCCCAGGAGAACCTCAATGCTGTCAAGAAGGCCCTCCAGGCCGACGACGTGAACGCGGAAATGGCCTTGGAAAATGCCCTCATTGAAGAGGACTCTCCATATGCTGAAGTCCGTGCTGCCGTCCGAAGTGAGTGACTTGCGACCCGAGAAAGCTTATTTGTATGCTAACCTGTCCGTAGACTACGATGAAGAAGTGCCGGCAAACACGATCCGCGCGTGGGTCATTGGGATGTTGTGGACGACGATTGGAAGTGCCATCAATATGCTCTTCTCTCTCCGCAATCCTTCCATCTACTTGACCCCGGTTGTGACGCTGCTTCTCTCGTACCCCACCGGTGTTGCCTGGGCGGCCGTGATGCCAACCCGCAAATTCAAGACGTTCGGGATCACCTGGAGCTTGAACCCTGGCCCATTCAACATGAAGGAGCACGCTGTTATTGTTATCATGGCCAATGCTTCGTTTGGAGGTTCAACTGCATATTCGACCGACGTCCTCCTCGCTCAAGAGGTCTACTACAAACAGAAGTTTGGATGGGGCTACCAACTCCTCCTTACAATAACCTGCCAGATGCTTGGATTGGGTCTTGCGGGTGTTACGCGCACCTGGCTCGTTGAACCAGCTGCCATGATCTGGCCCTCGAATCTCGTCACCACTACGCTTTTCGAGACCATTCACACCAAAACTGCTCCTGACGCCGTTAAGACTAGCGGATGGACCATGGGACGCTACAAGTGGTTCCTAATTGTCATGGGTGCCATCTTCGTTTGGGAATGGTTCCCACTATGGATCGCTCCGTTCCTCGCAACATTCACCTTCGTTTGTTGGGCAGCTCCTAACAATGTCGTCGTCAACCAACTCTTTGGCGGACAGACTGGCCTAAGTTTGATCCCAATCACATTTGACTGGTCTACCCTTACCGCTTTCATCTACAGTCCCCTGGTTTACCCTTTCCACGCCATTGCCAACACCATGCTGGGCATGGTGGTTTTTGTCATTATCACGTCTATCGGGATCCACTACACCGGTGCTCTCTACTCAGAGTATCTTCCGATGTCAACAAGTGGCAGCTTCGACAATACGGGCAAAGCATATAAAGTTGCAAATATATTGAATGCAGACTACACCCTAAACGAGGAAAAATACAAGGCGTACTCGCCCCTATTCCTCTCGACCACCTTTGGTCTTACTTATGGCCTATCATTCGCTACCATTGCCGCTCTGGTTGTACACACAGGGCTTTTCAACGGCAAGCAGATCTGGCGGCAATTCCGTGCAAGTCGCGAAGATGGTGCCGACGTGCATATGCGCATGATGCTAAAATACAAAGAAGCACCAGTATGGTGGTACGGCGCATCGTTCGTCGTCATGTTTGCCCTCGGTTTGGTGACCTGCCTCGCTTGGGACACGCATCTGACGTGGTGGGGATTTATCATTGCACTTCTCATTTCCCTCTTCTTCTACCTACCAATTGGAATTGTACAGGCTACGACGAACGTCCAGTTGGGACTGAACGTTATCACAGAGTTCATCGTCGGATACATGCTTCCCGGTCGTCCTCTTGCCATGATGATGTTCAAGATGTACGGCTACATCACTGTGTACCAAGGACTCTATTTCACACAGGATCTTAAGCTGGCCCATTACATGAAGGTTCCACAGCGAACTATCTTCTGGGCCATGTTTGTCGCGACGCTCTGGTCCTGCTTCGTCCAAATCGCCGTTTACAACTGGGCGCTTGGAAACTTCGACGGGGTCTGCACAGATAGTCAACCCGACCGCTATACTTGCCCAGGGGCGAAAGTGTTTTTCACCGCCTCGATAATATGTAAGGAATCCTATGCAAACTCCTCCTGCTCTAGTTCCTGGATGATACTTATTACCTTTATATGCTATATTAAGATCTATACTAATAAATTGTTAGGGGGAGTCATCGGCCCAAACCGTGTTTTTGGCAGCAACGGAATCTACCACTGCATGGAGTACTTTTTCATTCTCGGTGCTGGTCTCCCAGTCCTCGTCTATTTCCTCGCGCGCAGGTACCCACGCAGCATCATCCGCTTCATCAACACGCCTGTCCTCTTCGGCGGAACAGGAAACATCCCCCCCGCAACTGTAATGATTTACGCCTCGTGGGGTTTTGTCGGCACGATGTTCAACAAGGTTATCAAGAAGCGTCACCCAGGTTGGTGGACGGAGTACAACTACATCACCTCCGCAGCCCTCGACTCCGGCACGATCATTTGCGTGCTGCTCATCTTCTTCGCGCTGCAGCTGCCAAAGATCAACTCGCCACAGTGGTGGGGTGGAGCTAATGGCGGCTACACCAACAATGGAGATTGGAATGCTGCGACCCAGAAGCAGGTTGCTGATGGAGAGATTTTCGGTCCTGCTCGGGGGACGTGGTAGAGTAGTGTGTAGAGGATGTGGGGACAGCGGGGATGGACTGTTGTAGCCTGTGACGGATGGGATGATGAGATGCTCTCAGATGAATGTTTCTTGCTGTGATAGTTACGTGACAGAAGCAATGAATAACATATTTCAAGCCAAGATTTGCCAAGTGCTCGAGTGTCATAGAATGAAGTTATTGAAATTTACCTCCTTGGTGAGGTCTCGAATTCAACGCCATGCATGCTTCCATCTAGCGGTTCCCTCGATAATAACGTAGAAGTCATACAATACGAAGTCGTAAACTGTAGACTAAGGGGTTTCAAAATAACTTATAATACAATGTTTACGTGAGATGTTCGGCCGTATGGCACAATCCCAACGCAAAATAGTGGGCGTGGTTTTAGATCGCTACGCACACACCCCAACCCCCAAAGATTTGCGCTGCGGATTATTTACGGGGTTATTTTAGTTTGTGGGGAAATCCTTCAAATGCGGGGAATTTTGCTTACAGTCCAGTACCACCAGGCATATCATGCGCCCGAACCTCCCTCCTCTCTTCACCACCAGAATCTATAATGCGGTCGGACAAGCAGGTAAAGATAAATAGATCCTGCATCGAATGCAGACGGCGAAAGGTACGCTGTGATGGCCAGCAGCCGTGCAGCAACTGCGTATGGTATGTCGTGGCCGACAACTGCCAGTACCAACCACGAAGGCGACGGAACTGCAGCTCCAATAAGTACGGCCACCACAACCCACTCACTCTACTCTAGCGTGCTCTGCCCCATCCTTATCAGCGAACAGTTAGGATTAATATATTAATGCAGGGCCGGGAAGCAGATCGCTGCTGGCACAGCAGGCCAGAGCGCCCATGACACTATTCTGAACACTCTTTTCCCCGGCTCCAGCGCAGATGAGCTGTCCAAGTTGTCCCGGGCCGAGCTCCTCCAGCTAGCACAGGAGGAACATTCACAATCTCCCGGGACAGCGGAGCATCAAAGACTGGGCGAGGCATCAGATCAAACCTCCGACACGGACGACGAGCACGAGTGGAATGAGCGGCAGGAGAATCAGGACCCGGCGGCTGACGATGTGAATGGCCTCTCGTTACAGCTCAATCTTAAATCGTACCTAGGAATCTCATCTGTCCGCGCAGCGTTGCGGACAATATTCAGATTGAACCCTTCCATACGCGACTACGTGAGGCAGCGGATAGCGACCTGGGATGTATCCAACTCCTGGTGTTTCGCTCCCGGGGGAGTGGGGGTAGGCCTCCACCAGGAACCCCAATTGTTGAGTCCGACGATAGATGAGGAGACGTGCATCGACGCATACTTCCTCCACGCACATGAGATGACACCAATGCTTGACGAAGCAGATTTCCGAGCGACCTGGAAGGAGGGGACCAGAACCGATGGGCCTTGGATTGCCCTCCTGAATATGGTTCTTGTCATGGGCTCGATGTCGACAGGCAGCGGCGACGATGAATCGCACAAATTTTACTACAGCCGGGCGAAACAATATATAAATATTGAGCTGTTTGGGGCAGGCTGCTTGGAGAGTCTGCAGACGCTGTGCATTTTAGGGGGCTACTACCTTCATTACGTTAACACCCCGAACATGGCGCATGCAGTCATGGGTGCAGCTTTTCGGATCGCCATCGGCTTGGGTCTACATCGTGACACGGCGACCTTGGACACGAAGATAGGAGCAGCTAAAGCAGGTTCAAGACCACAGCTTCGCCGGCAGCTGTGGTGGTGCCTAGTCTGCCTAGATACTTGGAGCCATATGACGCTCGGCCGGCCGAGTCAAGGGCGATGGGATCCGAAGACCATGAACGTCAGCCTCTCAGAGTCGAGCGATTCAGCAACGCTTTCTCTCGACCACAGTCAGACATTCTGCAAGATCGCCACTCGAGTCCAAGACCGATTTGCGCATCTCGAGCCAATTTCCATCAGTGAACTGAAAGCGTTCGATGTAGAAGTACAAAACTGGCATCGGAATCTCCCACCCGAATTCCGCTATCGCGAGATGTGCCCCGAACGGTTATTGACGTCGTACTCTTTCATGAGCAATAGGTTTTTCAACCTCCGACTCCTGTTATACCGGCCTGTCCTCCTAAGCTACGCCAATCGCAAAGTCGCATATGATACGCTACTTCCCGAGGAGCAGGCCGCCATCAATAGCTGTCAGGAAATCGCTTGCAATGCTATTGATAATATTGCTTCTGGATTTACTGAGCCGAATAGGTTGCGCGTGTGGAATTCGGTTTGGTATCTGTACCAGGCAACCATGGTGACGTTGGTCAGCCTCATCGCAGACCCAAACCACCCCAACGTCTCGCGATGGAAGGCAAGCACAGAGAAGTCGCTCCAGCTCTTCCAGATCGTAGCGCCGTGGACAAAACCAGCCGATCGCTCGAGAGACGTGCTGGCAAGTATCTACGAAGCGTCACAGCTCCCTCGGAACGACATATCAGACATTCCCTTCGATTTCCAAATAGCGGAACTCGATCAGTTTGGGTTGAATGCATTTAGCGGCGGTTGGCAGTGGGATGCATTCAATGGGTTTGAAGAGGATTATCAGCAACAACATACGAATACGGCGATGTGGTAAGGCTCATTGGAGTGGGTTTCTGTGTAGATTATATCTACTGTAACGAATATTGATGTAAATAGTTCTCTACAATCGTATATCACTGTACCATAAACGGTTATGCCAACACGTACGACCTCTTTCGCCTACGCCTAAGATTGTGATTCATTCCCCATGAGTTATGCCTGCCGTCCTATTTCCATTACCTCCTGCCCTGTGGCCATCCTGTTGTCGTCATCCCCTTATTGTGACTACTCTCTGTTGCCATCAATCATCGCCGTCGTTATATCGGCCTCCCCGCTGCTCTCCCCTCCCATCACTACCCCTTCTCCTCACCCTCTGTCGATTTTTCTCCCTCCTTGTTGCTCTCCTTCCCTATTGCAATACTCGGATCTCGAGGAACCACTCTATCGAAAGCGCCCACCAGAAGCCACGCCGTAGCAGCCACCGAGAAGATGAAAACGCACACAGCGACGAGGAAACTCGGGAAGGGGTTTGCTTCAAACGATGCGCCTATAAACTCCGCGAAAGCATCGAATTTTGTCTGAGGGTTCTTGACCACGGACGACTGCGTCATTGTGATAATGGGGATCTTGCCCGGCGGGGGAGGTAGGACTTTATGGTAGTGGATTGAATGTAAGAGATCTGCAGAAAGCAGGAGGTTCAATGTATCTCGGAGTGGTTATTAAAACTCCAGGATCACTCTTGCCAGAGAATAGTCATATGGTCCATATAGTGTAACTAGCCAGGTTGCGTACCACAATGATCGCACCCCACGTCAAATCTTCAGGCGGGGTTAACGGACCCACGAAATGCGAAATAATGCGCTAATCCGATTTAGGGAAATACTCTCTGATTGGCGGTTTGGATATAGTGGGGCTATCAGCGCCGCTTCTTCCCCGAATGTTGATTAAGGCAAAGAACAGGGCGGAGCATCATGACGATGAAAATGAGATCTGGCGGAAGCTAGGCCGTGTGGAATAGCATAATGTAAGCATGGAGAGAATAAACTTCTATTTTAACTTGTTGCCTGCCAATGTCCGAATCGGGATGCTGCTCTCCCATAGGCGGGGACAACGTTTTGGCCCACTGTAGACGTGCCTCACGGTTTTGTCATTGCTTCAGCATATGAGTTTAAGAGAAAGATCAGTCCATCGTCCGGGGTTTACAGTGTAACTATCTCGGATTTTGCTAAAGGCCGATCAAGAAGAGACATGGTAGACTTTGTTGGCCCTGATCACCCAGAGGCACCATCAGATCTCTGGGGGTATATATAACTGCTTCGATCCCTCCTCCACTGGATATCAGAAAGCAAGAACTCTCATCCTCACACCTTACCAACCTCAACTCAGAATCTATCCCTATATATATCATCACAATCTTCTTCAATTTCGTTCCCACAAAGTCCCATTCCACCAACCCAACAACCAAAAATGGCAGACGCAGTAGCCACTCAACCCCACAACCTCCCCCTCCACATCTCGCGCGAGAAATGTGCCGGCAAGACCTACATCGTGACAGGCGCCAACGTCGGCCTCGGTCTCGAAGCCTCTAAGCACCTCGTCGCCGTCGGCGCCGCCAAAGTCATCATGGCCGTCCGCAACCTCAGCGCCGGCGAGGCAGCCAAAGCCTCCATCGAAGCCGGTACCGGGACATCGGGAGTGGCCGAAGTATGGGCACTCGACCTGTCGAGTTACGATTCCGTCAAGGTGTTTGCGAAGCGCGCGGTGGCGGAGCTGGAGCGCATCGATGCGCTGATTGAGAATGCGGGTGTTGCTGCTTTCGATAGGACGATGGCGGAGGGGCATTTGCTGAATATCACTGTTAATGTGCTTAGTACGCTGCTACTTGCTGTGTTGCTGTTGCCGAAGATGAGTGATGACGCGAAGAAGTTTGGGATTGTGCCGCATATTGTCCTGGTGTCAAGCGGAGTCGGCTTTGACGCGAAGGCGGACTGGGATGTTATTAAGAGTGACCCGTTGGTGGAGGTAGAGAATGAAGGGCACAAGGGACTGAAAATGTACGTAACCATGAGTCCCATACATTGGCCCTCTTTTCCCTGACTGTAACTAACGTCGATACTAGGTATCCCCTATCCAAACTTGTCGAGACAATAGCGACTCGCCAACTTGCGGCCCTGGCCCCCGTATCCCGCACAGGCGTTGTCATGAACATCGTTTGCCCCGGAAGCTGTAAGACAGAGCTTGGCCGCCATGCACCACCCGCCTTCCGCAAAATGCTCCAAGAATCGAAAGAAAAGTACGGACGCACTGCCGAGGACGGAAGCCGGACGCTGCTGTATGGGGCTGTTGCCGGAAAAGAGAGTCATGGGTGCTTTCTCGATTCCTGCCGCATCGCTGAGTAAGTCTCACACGCGTCCTTTGACCCGCCCGGTTTGCAAGTCCTATGCTAATATTGTTGTTTTGATAGTGATATTGTACCAATCTGGGTAACCGATGAAGAGGGGCAAAAGTCGCAGAAGCTCCTCTGGGATGCTGTTGCTGGCGAGCTGGAGTCCGTTCAACCTGGCTGCGTGAAGGCTATTCTGTAGGACTATCGCGAGGTTGCCTGGTTGACAGATGACTGAGGCAGCCTAGTCACTTAGGCTATCCCATCTCATAGAAGTTTTAAATCTAGAAGAACGTCGATTTGTACCAGAGCGCCTGGCCCGATTTTCCGTGAACATCACTAACCCATGGAAATGTGGCAAGAACCTTGCTTACACCTTCCCAAGAATCAATTCCCAAGGAGCGCGTCGTCTCTGCCATCTTCGGCAAAAACCACTCATCGTCCACTTCTTCGAATGCCGAAGCTCGTCCAGTGAACAGTATCCAAAGAATGACCTCTTTGTCCACCCGTCCACTGCCTATATGGCCTTGTGCCACCGATCGAGCCAAATTGGAGATCAGTGGTACATTAGAGACCTTCATAGCGAGACCCCGTAGTAATGCCATTAAAAATACAGCTAGGCCTATGTGCACCGCATTTTCGAGGCTACTGAATAGTCGCGACCCAGATAGGGGGCTGACCTGGAGTAGGCGGTAACCAAGTAATATGACGGTGTCGAGGAAGATGTAGGGTTTTATCCTTGGGCAGTATCCCGCACAGGCATCGTTCATTAATCTTGCAAGGCTATTCATATCCATGAAAATCGTTTCTAAGTCGTTTCTTAGATGTTTCGAGAGCCTTGGATCAATCATATTAATATCGTAATTCATTTCGGGGCCTGTGAATCGTCCAAATAAGGCCGTGCTATTAGGCACGATATCCTCGGTACTAAACCTCGTTGCTGTGCCCTGGTGCATTGCATATTCGAGGTCGACTTTAAACATTTTCTGCGTCAAGCCAGGTCGATATCTCGAAAGCGCCGTGACACCGCCCCGTAACTGGACCATCCGCTCCAGTCCACTGATGTGGACGAGCCCTTCTCGGTACTGACCACGGAGGCGCTCATGCTGCGCCAGGATCACTACGACCGCTATGGTCTCATCTGATACTGCATCGTCTCTTGATAATCTTTCATTAATGAGGCGGAATGTTTGAGAGAGGTGACGCATGGCCTCCTTGGGGTCGTCTTTTTCAACCACGAGGCCATTGCGAGCTGTGACGGAGGCAGCAATGGCGCAGTGAAAGACTTAGATTTTAGTTAGCATGAGAGTGGTAGACTGAAACAAAACAAGTACGACTCACAAGCTTCATCTAAAAACATGAACTGCACCCACATCGACGTAGGCACGTCCGTCATATCAACAGAAGTCTGTAAATCGTCAGGCTGAAACGGCCGGCTTACGAAAGAGAAAGCTAGACGACAAAGATTAACAACCAAGGCCCATCTACAAGTTCAGATACAAGTAATAACACATACCTCTCTGCACAATCCCCCTTGCCTTAACACTCCCCTGCTCCGGAAACGAAAACACAGAAAGCCTATCCCCAATCATCCGCTCAATCGCACAACCGCCCTCTTCCTCCGCCTCCACATCCCGCGCATCCGCCACAACGCGCGGTACGCATATGATCGCTGATATAGGTCGCGATCCAGCTTCTCGCGCAGCTGCTTTAGTCCGCGATGGTCGAACGAGCGTCCGTCCTGCGTTCTTGCCTGTGGCCACGTGACTGCGGATTCGCCGCCTCGCAGCACGGTCGATGGGGGTATTGTTGTCGACGAACTGGAAGGGCATGATGGGTATTGCGTGCTAATATGCGGGCAATAATGCAGGTGGACTTTGGGAATTTCTCCTGTTGGCATTTTGAGGTGACAAAGATGAGTTTGAGTGAGATGATGCGAGGCGGATTGAAGGTGGGGTTACCGGCGCTAACGATGAGTGAGGGACAGTGTGGTCAGCGCGCCAGTTGCGCAAACGCAGCTTGAAAAAATATAGTTTGGCAACTGCGGTGAAGATGAGCTTGTGCCTATATATTTTGATATATATTTTAATAGCTATTGGCATTGAAAGACAAGGTAGAATAAACTTGTTCGATAACGGTGAAGTTAAAGTATGTATAATAATTAAATCATAAATTTTATTATTAAATAGGCATTCCACCAATTATCGAAATGAAATTATATTCGGCGACAATGTAGGAGAAGGAGCAAAAGCATAACACATAGAACGTCTGGTGTTTAAATTCAGGATATATAACAAACAGTATTAATCGACAGCTAAAAGAATTCCGACTCCCGCATATAGTCCTCCAGTAACAAAACATCTCGCACGATCAACTATACACCTTCAACAACTACGATGCTCGACTAATCCTCTCACTCTCTGCCCCATTCGTCTCTCCACTCAACTCCACTGGCGGCCCTGGCGATTTCGGGCTGTGTAGCTCGGCAGGGCTGTGCGAAGAGTGTGGCAAAAACGTGTTGACCTTGTCACTCTGCGGCGAGAGGTAGTCTATTGACTCCGGACCACTCCAGTGCCGCCGAGCCTGGGGCTTTAAGAGCGAGGCATTACGGCGGCGTTGGATGAAAAACAGAGCTACGGCGAGGAGACAGACGCCGACGATGCTGCCAATTGCAGCTCCTGCGATGGCGCCGGCGCTTAGTTTGTCGTTGCCTTTCACAGATGGGTCAGCGGAGCCTGAGGTCGGTTCTGTTGTCGAATCCGTGGAAGACGGATTAGATGATGCCCCTCCATCAGCCGTGAGGTTGGCATATGGCCCGCAGTCCGAGTTGGGCACCGCAAGCGGGCAAGAAGGGTCCTGGCACAAAGACAGGAGCTGCGGACCCTGTTGGGGATTAAACGTGACTGACAGGGCGCATCGGGAGTTATACATGCTGTTCATGCGGGTGTTTAGGGCCTGCGCATCGGCTGTCGAGAAGCCGTAGAACTCAGCTGCCCGTGTGAGCTGGTCGATAAAGTAGGCAACTTCGGCGAAATCGAGACTCATGAATTTATGAGCGTAGGCGAGATTCAGGGACCCTCCTGGAGTAGGAGGGTCAGCGGGTGGGAGAGAGCAGCCAAAGACGTGAGCGAAGGAGGTGTAGAAGTGGCCGAAAAGGCGGCTGGAAAGAGTTAGTTAAATATGCGTAGATGATAGTGGAGGAAGATGGGAGACGTACTATTCATTTGAAGAGCTGAAGAGACCAACGGATTGTGTTTTTCCAGACAAGTAGTTAGATAAGGGTGTCAGACCCCCATCATCGAGCCAATTTATCCCAACTGGTTGATTATTCAGGTTCGTCGAAGCAAGTGAGCCGTTGAAAAATGGCAAGAGGTCCACACGTTGGCTGCCCTGAACACCTTGGTTGAGGATTCCCGTCAACTCCTTTGGCACATTCTTTGAAGGAATAGATTTTGGCCCAACAAACGCCAACGCGACGATGCTTTGCATTAGTTTCAGCTGATTTCCCTCCGAAGCCGTGCCATATTCAATCTGCGTATAGTAGTCGCAGATGGAGATAGTGCTCGGCCTCTGCGCAAGGATGGTAGCGAACAGGAGGAAATATAGCAACAACAAGATGATAGTTGAATCGGCGAAGAGAAATTCGCAACGCTGGAGCACTCTTTGTTTTTGGACTACTGATGGCCGTTCTTTGTTATAGAGGCTGCACGTGCGGCCTACGGACGCAAGGGGGGAGCAAGGTTAGAATCACGGAAGACATGTCATACAGACTCCCCTTGGTGCTTCAAAAACCTACGTAGCCCGGAAGTCTGCCGCCCATGTATTCCAACTAGATTTCAAATCCTTCGTCCACTCACCATTCCATTAATTCGACCCGTTCTTCGATTCAACAGCCCTCAAAAACCGCTCAATATCATCCATCTCCTCCGGCACCTTAACCCAATGCCCATTCAGTTCCGCTCCTTGATACTCCTTCCCCTCAACTTCCATTCCCAGCTGCTCCAACACCTTCCTCGCCTGTCGGCCGAGCTCAATATCGACCATCTCATCATCAATACCGTGCCCCAGGAACACCGGCGTATTCAACACCCCTCTAAACTCACGTGGGCTTGCAACGAGGTGTCTCAAATGCGACATCTTACTCTCCACAAAATCCCTCCCGGGACTGTCCTCCCCGCCCTTCCCCACATACTCCCCAATATGTCCAGCGAACGGTAACCACGTGCTAGCGCCCACGAACCCCCCCAACGTCTCCCTCTTCTCACCACAAAGCAACGTCCACATCCCCACTGCTGCACCCTGGCTAATCCCGCCCAACACCACTTTCCCCGCATCTCCACCTATCCGCACGATCTCATAGTCAAGCACAGAACTCAGATACCCCACCGCCTCGACGATCCCGGGCTCCTGCAGTTCCTGCCGGGAGGTGATGTCGCTGAGCGAGTGCGCCTCGAACCACGCCGGCATATCCTCTTCAAAGAGGGTGCTCCATAATTCCCGCGAGGAAGGGAAGACAAAGCGCCAGCTGGGAAGTTTTTCAGCTAGAGTTGGCTGGCCGGGGAGCTTGGACTCCTCCATGAGCTCTTCTGCGAATTCGGGACCGTTGCTGCCACGGCCATGGAGGAGGATGGCGGTGTGTGTGTGTGGTGAGATGGGCTCGATGATGTGGAGTTCTGGGAAGGAATGGGGTGTGGTTGGTGGTTGATGAGTGTCTGGATCCATCCTGATGTGGACTGCATTGGTGGAAGATAGGTCTAGTAGCACGATCCGACGTACTTGGTGAGTATAGTGGTAATTTGCAACTTGCTGCGATATTGTGACATTACATGAGGGGTAGGTACAATATAGTAACTCTTTGCATGATGATGGTTCGAAAATACACCTCGCAAATAATACTACTTGTCTTATAATAGAGATCGTAGTGTTGGTTGGACCTTCGGGTTTAGGCCCGGCGAGGCGCTAATCGTGTTGGATAGAAGGGCCACTCCTTCCCCGTGTTGTTATCCCCTTCTAACCAACCAACCAACAAGTTTTTCTTATAGTGCAGTACATCCCCTGTTGCCTAAATGCCTATAACAGTAAATCTTAACTGACGCCTACGAGCCACCCTAGCTACTAGCATCTCGAAGCGCAATCCCCGTCATAACTGTTGCGTTTACCTGCTAATCAGCCTTACGGACTAAACCCCACCCTAGCAATTGACGCCAGCAACCTTACTCCTCCTTACTAACACTGATACGCGGAATCCGTATTGCTGACGCGTCTCCTTTTCTGCAACAACAAGGACGGCTTATACCCCGCAAAATACTTAGCCCTAAAACTGCCGAGCCCGTCATTCCCAAACGGTGGCGGCGGCCCAGACACGGGCACGATTATAATAGGCACTTGGGACAGGTAGATCCCGGAAACCTCGGCACTATGATCAGAAGCACACGACTCAACTGAAACAAAACAGAAATAGCTCCTACACTCTGTACCTAACCACCTCATCAAATATCTGGTCTTCCAACGAATCTACTGCAACTTCTTAGCAGGGCACAAACCTTTCCTGCCCAACCGGGACAGAGCCCTATAGCCGAGGACGAAGATAAACAGCGGCCCCTAGGCTAGCCCTCTAGCCCCCTCGTCCGTCCCAAGTCTAGATCGATCCACCACCAGATTGACATGCGCCGGTCATCCCAAAAACACTTCAAATTCCCCTCTTTTCTCCCAAGACAGACACCATCCCGAATCCACACTCCCATCTCCCTAGGAAAGTCACATGATAACATGTGCGCACGCCGATCGTCGTCAATAGTGTTAATCTGTTTCGGATTTGTTTGTGATTGAAATACCAAGGACCTCGCTCCCGTGCCCTCGCCTGGACCTAGAGACCCTACTTCTTAGTTCCGCGCCCGCATCCCAACGCCGGGAACCCTTGCATCGCATCGATCGATCAATCGATCAATTGATCACCCGACTACGATCGATTCGATAGACGACAATGCGATACGGCACGACACGATACGATACGACAACGTAGCTTAACAGAAATCGTGGCCGTGGTGGCTATTAATCATGTCGAATTTCTATAGCCTGTACCCGACCACAAGCGCCTCGGGGGTGGCAGCGACGCCGACGGAGATGGCGCCGCCGCCAACGCCGACGAGCCTGGCGACGAGGGGGAGGTCGAGTACGAGTACGAGCTCCGTTAGCTTCAGTAAGGGGAGTGCTAGTGGGAGCAAGAGGGACAGTAGGGATAGTAAGGCGAGTGTGGGGTGGTCGAGGAAAGATTGGATGGAGGCGCCGTTGCCGGTGGGGGTTACGATTGGGGGGAAAGGTATGTGGTGTTTTGTTTTATTTTGTTTGCTTCTATTCCGTTGGGTTTGCTTTCGTTCTTATACCCAGCACGCGATCAATTGGCCGAATTGACTTGTTCAATTCCCGTCTCCCCTACCTCAATTTCCACAGCCCGCGTCCAATTGATGCGATCCCATCCATTCGATTCCCCGCAAACACCCCCATCCCCGTTATAACACACCCACAATATCCACTCCAGCTCCCCATACCGAAATTGGAACCCTACACTGACAACCACCCCACAGAACGCGTCCCCCAAGCCGTCGCCCTCCTCGCCCCCGCCTTCGTAGATAACCCCCTTAACACCTACCTCCTTAACAGCCTCGACCCCGTGGATCGGCGCGCCTTCCTCCCCAAGTACTTCACCGCGCTCCTCACGCAAGCATCACTAAACGGCGGGTACATATTCGAGCACTCAAACTGGGAGAGCTGCATGATTGTCCTCCCGCCCGGAAAGGGCGTCGGGAACCCGTTTACGCTTCTGCAATCGGGGCTGGCGGGTCTGTTGAGGAAAGTTGGCTTGACGTGCGTTAAGCGGATGTTGGGGGAGTTTGAGGGCGCAGCTAAGAAGTCGAGGAAGGTGGGGTTGGCGAAGGGGGAGGTGCCTTATTATGTATTTTTCATTGGGACGAGGGCGGATCGTCAGGGACGGGGGTTGGGGACTGCGTTGATGGAGGAGGTGTGCGAGAGGGCGGGGAGGGAGGGGAGGAGTGTGTGGATAGAATCTACATCAGAGGGGAGTGCGAGGTTGTTTCGACGGTTGGGGTTTGTGGATGTAGAGGAGGTGGTGCTGGGGAAGGGGAAGGTGGGGGAGGCAGGGTATGGTCAGGTTGACGGGCCGGGGGTGAAGATGTGGACTATGGTTTGGAGGAAAAGGGAGTTTGAGGAGAGTGTGGATGAAGTGTTTAAACTGAATGAGTTGGGGATGGATAATGATTAGGGTGATGGGGTAGATCGGTTTGGCCGGTTGAAAGGGCGTTGAGTTTCGGAATGGATTGGGGGGTCTTAAAATTAGAAATAGATTGGGGGTCAGAATACGGAACTGCTTTTGGGGGGGTGGGGGTTAACAGGATAGGGGGGTTCGGGGTGTCTTGGGTCTCTATTCTTGGTGGCGGATAGGCCGACAGTGCCCTTGGAACCAATCTGTCTGTTTGGCAAGTTTGTCTTGTCTGTTGTTCTCGTTCAACGTCTGAGAGAGGGTGTAGGAATTTGTTTTACAATATGTAGTGGAGTCTTTATCATTTATTTATCATTTGATACCACAAAATTGTTAGTACTACAGTTTTTTTTAATTCTTTTATAGAGTCAATGGAGCTATCTATCCAGAGTTATAATGGGCCAGAAGTAGCATATTCGGAGACAGGATAACGGGTTTTGGTTTTTAGAGCTCAGGTGCAGCTCCTTGAATTCAAAATTATCCAGTGGTCGATCGCCAAGCAAGGCACTTGATTAAATCCTGGTGTTCAAGGCTGCATAAAGCAGCAACTGACGCCAGCAGAAAACAGCAGCTCTGACACCACAATCTTGCATTATGTTATAATCTAGATCGCGACGTCGTTGCACCAGGTTTAGCGCCTGCTTAATCAGGGAAGCCGCATCCTGACCCCATCGGCCGCCGTCAAGCTATATTAAGAACGACGTCCTCCCCATAATTTTATTGTGCCAATGGAAACCCAGCTAACATAGGATGAAGGGATACGCTGCTAACGGTGTAGAAAGGCCTCTAAATTGTTGCCGAGGGATGCTTTCATTTGCCTATAGTGCACAACTGAATTAACTGAGAAATTCTACACTGGATTAAAAGAAACATTGAGGGCACCCGACATCAGACCCCATAAAACAAACACCCCTGAGACAGCGAGACAACCCTCAAATCGCCTAGAATATTACTTCCGGCGTAAATCCCTGCATGTTTTCAAAAGAACACAGGCTCACGGCGGGGAACTCCACAGTCTCTGGAGCATTAGCAAGATGACTCTCGACAAGCGCCTTCAACTCATTCCCTTCTTGCGGAGTTGGGGCCCGCAGTAGATACGCCAAAGTCACATGGAAGATGTAAGAGGCCGGGGCCGTAATTCCTGTTAAGTCCTCTAGTTGTTCGCGCAGATGCGCGAGTTTGGGGCTCGTATCTGGTGTCGCTTCCAGCCTCACACCGATACTGTATCCTATCTGAGGAACCTCCTTCTCCACAAAAAACATGTATGGCGGTCGCATTTGATCCTCCAGGGAAACATCCTGAGCTTTTTGGATGGTGTACTGCAGCCATTCGTCATACGGCCCTGTCAGCCCGCTTCTTTCCGTGATCTCCGGCGCATAGCCGTCCTTAGGCATGACGTTCTCTCCTCGCTCTAGGTCGCGCACACAGATGAAGACGGTCATATGGTAACTGGAGGCGGGCAACAGGGCCTCGTTCTTGAACAGTTCAGAGTGCTTGTGCTGGCTCAGGGTTTGGCGCAAGCCTCTCAAAGTAGCGGCCAGCGGGGAATCTTGAGGGAGCTGACATATCACCGAGTGTCCGAGGTATGTCTTGCTGCTACCATCGTGGTCGAATTTCTTGATGACTTTTGGAGGCAGCGAAGCTATGGACATGGTGCTGAATGATAGTACGAGTTTGGTACTAAGAAAACCGTAAACAAAGATACGTCTGTAGTTGCTCAGATGGGGATGGCGGGGTAATACTAGCCGAATTACCCCATATTTATATCCATTCGCGGGGCAAGGCTGACTTGAGCTAGGCTGCCTCCGCTTTAGAGAAACGCGCATTCAATATTTATCATGTCGTGCAACCCGAGAGTAGAGTCAAATCAAAGCCATGAACCTCTCGGCGGAAGTCCACCGGTCAACTACTCGAAGATATGCTAACAAAGACATGCCCACGTAGGGGAACCCGATTTCCCATGGAGTATTCCTTCGAAGAAAAGCGGCGCAGGCGACACTGATAGTTCAACCAAATTGGAAAGCCGACGTTGAATATAAGGTAACTTGAATAAAAGTATTATGCGTCTGGAATATAATTGGCAAAGAATGTGTGGGGTATGCTCACTGAGCTCCGACCGGTGGGCAGGGAAGTGGTAGTCCTGCAACGATTGGCAGTGCGAGGGAGCTACATCATCTACAAACCCAACGACAGCCACTAATCTTCAATCACAGGTTGAAGTATCAAATATTTACATCTCCAAGTTTTACATGACTAGGCGATCAGAGCGAAGGAGGCCATATCATGAAGCACGTGGTAAATTGTAAGGATTGTCTGGTCTAAAAACATCCCTTCAATAGAAAGGCCTTCCATGCCGTGTAACAGTTGAATCCTTAGTGACAGCGGGATTGGAGTATCCGCAAGCGGGGTAAATGCAGCCTGCTAACAATCGGATCTGCCATTGGCAAGGCGAAGGCTGAGGCGCTTTTGCGATGCGATTTGGTGCAACCATCAGCCCCTTCCGGCCCCGCGGAGAACCATCTATTCGATACACCAAGAGTGAGGCTCCGAAGTGTCTACTATCCATTGGGTAAATGCACAATATGGGCCCGCATAAGTGATTACGAAATCCCCCTAGAGATGAGCGTGATTCTCAAGACGTAATAATTTCTGCACGCACGATTACTATAAAGACCCGCCATGGATCCCGCTAGCGGTGTTTCCATTCCTGGAAACACCTTTCAATTCCTCACCCTAGCGTATACCGTATCCTCTCGACTAACAACGTACTGCAAGGCTAGCAGCGAGACTCCTCCGATATTCCATGAGCTGTCCGTTCAGATTCCTCTAGTCGCTGATATATGCCAAAAACTCCAAGACGATTCTTCGATCACCCCAGAACGACTATCTCATGTTCTAAAGGGGTGCAGTCGTATCCTTGAGACCCTGAACCAGATATTGTCAAAGGTCATCCCTGAAACGGGCGACTCCGTAAGGTCCAAAGTCCGAAAGGGAATAAAAAGCGTTACCATTGAGAATAAAGCCAAAGAATGCAAGACTGAGCTAGAGAGTTACAAAGCGACATTAACGCTTTATCTTAGTGCCCAAAGACCATTCTTAGCTCACGCAGCTCTTGAACTTCCAACCTATCACTATCTGCCGTCGTTGGGACAAGCGAAATTCATCGGGCGGAAACAGCTTCTCAAGGCCATCGACCGTGTATTAAAAGCGGGAGGTCGAGACACCTGTGTTGCAGTCCTGCTGGGAATGGGCGGACAGGGCAAAACTAGCCTAGCCATCGAATATTGCAGAGGAGAGAAATCCCGGGAACACTTCAAGACGATTCTGTGGATAAACAGCGTCTCGCACCTCTCCATCCAACGGAGCTTCGCAGAGATTGCAAAGAACATTGTAGCTTTGTCTGGCGAGCAGCGAGTCTTCCCTTCATCTAAAGCTCAGATTACCTTTATACACGGTATTGTCGAGAGCAGAAGCGCTCCGTGGCTCTTCGTATTTGATAACTACGATTGGCCTCAGAAGGTCAAACGCGTGCTCGATTACGCGCCACACTCAGCGAAAGGAGCAGTGATAATGACGACTCGACATGCGGATGTTGCTCAGTTAGGAACGCTTATTCCTGTATCCGGGATGAACGAAGTCGATGCGGTCGAACTTCTCTTGGAACGCACTGGTCATGCACGCACTATCGGCAACTTAGAACAGGCAAAGGCTGTAGTGAAGATGCTTGGATATTTGCCTCTAGCCATTGATCAGAGCGCAGCTTATATTCGTTCTCGAAAGATCTCTCCCGAGCAATTTCTTGATCACTATAAAACTAGGAAAGAAAAATTATTGAAGTACCTTCCGTCTGTGTGGGACTATCAACGATCCTCGGGGGACGACGAAGATGAGCCTCCGCCTCTTAGTGTTTTTACAACATGGGAAATGTCCTTTACCCAAGCTGAGGAACACAGCCCTATTGGCGATAATATTGGACACTTCCTTACCATACTTGGATTTTTCTCTCCACTGCAGATTCGGATGGAGATGTTCCAGGCCTACTATGAAGGGATTCAACCCACGGGTGCTAACGCTTCGTCTTGGCTAGAGCCATTCTCGGATGGATCAAGCTGGGATAAATATGAATACCAGGACGCTGTTGTATTCGTATCCGAATTATCTCTTGTGACACACAGCGAAACATCCACTGATCCCGATGACCAACTACAAGATGCCCCCGGCTTCTGTACCATTGCACTGCACCCGCTAGTGCGGGACTGGGTGCAACTCAGGGTTCCGACTAGCGAGAGAAGGAAATATACCATCGAGGCCATAATTATCCTCGAACATTACATAATCTCCGCGGGCGATGATTATCGAAACTGGCCTTTGAAAATACGGCTTCAAGCTCTTTCTCATGTCGACGCAACCCTGGAACTTCAGTCGAAGTACGCGACCGACTGGGCCAATACTGATTACAACGAACTCCGTAAGGCCTTGTGTGTGATATGCTCCTTCTATGCCGACAACGGCAGGTATGAGGAGTCTGAAAGGATATGCAAAGAGATCCTACACGCCGATACCAAAGGCCCGGACACGAAATCTCAAGCCGAATCAGCAGAGCTCCAGCTAACAGACATCTTCCTACTCCAAGGACGCTACGACGAAGTAGAAGAAATCATCGCCAGGCTCCTCGGGTCCTCGAAAAATAAAAGTGATAAGAAAACCAAAGTCCACATGGAGAAGAACCTCGCAAAAGCCTTTTCGAAACAGGGACGATATGACGAGGCCGCTGCTCTATACCACGATGTTCTAGAGCAGCAAGCATCTTTTCTCCCCATAAACGACCTAGATGTGCTCCACACAAAGGAGAACCTTGCATACGTATATCGCAACCAGGGCCTGCATCTCAAAGCCATCGATCTCTACGAAGCTATCCTAGAGGCTTATCGCCTTGCTGGCCTCGAGGACCATCTGGATGCATTGAACTCTATGGTTAATCTCGCTAGTACATATCGTGCTCAGGCACAATACAGCCTCGCGACACCTCTGTACGAAAAAGCTAGCAAAGAGATCTCGGCCAAGCTCCATGCGGACCACCCGACGGCACTCTCCACCAAATCTTTCATGGCCATCAACCTTAGAGAGTTGCAGCGACACGAAGAAGCCGAACACGCTTTCCGTGATGTTGTCGAACGATCTGCTAGGGTTCTAGGGTTGCTTCATCCTGACACACTCAAAGCTACGATGAATTTCGCTATCCTATGCGATAGGACGGGTAAACCGTTTGAAGCCGAGGAGCTGTATCGAACTACACTCATAGGTAGAGAACAGAAGTTGGGTACGGATAACCCATATACACTACGCACTGTGGAACGACTTGTCAGTTTGCTGTGGTCACAAAACCGCCTTGAGGAGGCTCTGGAGATTACTGCGAAGGCACTCAAAGCTCAGCAGAGAGGTTCGTTGGAGGAAGAAATGAAGACCCTAAACCTCGATAAACTAGACAAAATTGACACAACCTGGCCCTACCGACCCGTCGAAATACTCTTTGAAAGCGCCGTAGCAAGAGACAATGCAAAACTAGCAGCAGCCCACCGCGACCGCATCGAGACGCAGAAATCCCTGGCTCGCGTTTACGAGTCACATGGAAAATTAGAGGAAGCCGGAGAACTGCAAAGGCTTGCGGAGGCGGGGGAGGAGGTGTTGAGGCTGCAATTGTGGCAGACGGCGAGCCAGTGGAGGGGGTCGAGGGAGACGCTTGTGGAGACGGGGGTGGAGCCGTCGCCTTTGATGCTGGAATCACTTCCGGAAACGACTGGGCGGACATCGAGTGAGGGAACGAGTGAGAGGGGTCGGTCTTAGAATGCAAGTGGGTGAAAGCTATTATCATCGTGGCTCAGCTACTTTCACCGACCCCTAGTTTCTGAACACTATACCGAAACGCCTTCAATAATCAGACGCAGGTACAGATCTAGGGACAAGATACGCCGTAGCCACGCAGCTCGAATTGGGTTTCACGTTCATCCATTCTATGACCTTGTATATTAGAAATAGAGTATTAATTGAGACAAGACCCTCGTTATTTATGGGGGTTTGTCTTTGAATATCGCGAGTAGTGGAGTATAATTTACAAATGCAATTAGTATGTTCTGCGAAATAATACATTTATATAATATTATACATTTCCTAATCAAGGCCGCAGTGTCCTAGCAGTATGATAGGGACAAGCCTTTCCTAACTCTCCCTCTTCATCATCACTCTCCTTCCGAACATCCTCAAGTTCATGGACTCTCATCATGCAACGCATGACCCTCCCCGCTCCGCTACACTGCATAACCACCTCACGGGTACTAACTTCGTAGAACTAAAAATCTATAGCTCACATGCGGGCGGCCCGTTCCATTATTTCGCAGCTTTACTCCGATATATATTTTCCAATAATAGTCTCTAATTGGAGAATGTATGGTCTTTACCCCTCTTCAGCACCAGGTGCTACTTCATACTACGGCGTCCTAAAAATCACCGACATCCAACACGCAGATGGCAGCCCCATCAAAGTCCAAAAGACACTCAACATCGCTTTCAAGGCACCCGTGGCAATTATTGGGAACCAAGATTTCAATCTGACGCTTGATCCTTGGGTAGAGATCACTCCCACAACCACCAACAACGAGATAGACCCGTCGACGTTTGACGTAGCGGCAAAACTGCCGTTCCCTAAGCCTTATACGATTAATGATCGGTTCGCCATTGATATTAGCTTCGGTGGTGATATAACGGAGGACACCAAGCGCTATATTGAGTCAATTGTGATCACTCAGGATTCCGAATAAGTCTGCTGCGCCCGATCCATGGTTGAGGTTCATAATGAGGCATGGCCGCCCAGACTGAAAACATGGTTCCTGATCTGTTGGCACTACTCATAGCACCTACCCATAAAGGGCCGTCAATCAGGCACGGGGATACCAGGCTATCTTATATAGTCTAGCTACTCCCATGGGGTCAGAATCAGACTTACACTCCACACGAGCCCGTAGTTGCCCTCGTGAGAATGGTGTACCTGGGAGTGTTTCGGAATACAAACTGCCTATTTCCGTCCCAGCCAGTGCCCAAGAAGAGAATCAGCCGCGTCGACACGTAACATGTGTAACATGTGGAAGAGGCGGCTGAGTTGGTGCTGGGCTGATGGTTTGTTAGTTAATGGTGGTGAAAGACAGCCATACGCTCTTGGGGGCTACTTTGTTTCAGCAATATGTCCTCCGACCCTATCTTAAGTCAACAATTCGATCATCTTGGTAGATTCCAGACATCAATAGAGACGTTGACTTCCAAAGTGCAAGGCTGTAATGATCTACAAACATCAACTCCAAATGAAGCCCGGTTGGGCCCGTGTTAAGTCCCAGCAACCACCGGCCAACACGCAACGGCCAGTGCTGATCTCCTCCTGTAATCGCAACAATAGGGCTGAAACTGGATGCAGGTCATTGACGCCCGGGATATTGCTTGTTGGGATCCTGTCAGGATCTCGATCCTTGTGCCCTGTAAGTTAAGTTTGTTGCCAAGCAGAGATTGTGCCTGTAAGTCATCGTGCCAAGACAGAGATTGTGGCGTTCATTGGCAATATATGGTGCATGGATAGATGTGCATATTTCCCTGTTTATATGTGTTAGCTGGTATAAGTTGGCTATATCGATAGTTTGGCTGGGGATTGGATGATAAACTTGCATATGCTAATCTTGTAATCTTGTAATCTTACTTTCTCCTCACACTCATACACGGCTGAAAATACTACTTTGTTATCGATTTATTTGAGAATTGAGGGTGAATTGATGATGATTTGCTGGTGGTTACTTTGGCTATCGTGTCCTTCAGAGCTGACACCCGTATTAAGTGGATTTTGCATTATTCCGAACCACATTTTCTCCCGTTCGTATACCCGAATAAAGGAGGACCAGGACCCTTTCCAGGTGATTCGGTCCAAGGTTCAGGCCAAGGTTCGGTCTATCATTCGTTGATCGTCGCTCCTTGACACATTTGACGTCCAGATGTGGCTGGTTTTAATCGGAGTACTGGGTTAGTACCTGCCATGGCATAGAATCAAGCACTAAAAGCCAAGTTACTATTTGTATAATTGTTCTGGACGCTCATAGCTTGCACATAATTTTCCGATTTAGGAGCTCGTAGCGGGACGATTTCTAGTATTTTTTACTAGTAATTCCTAGTAATTCCTGCTATTTCCTGCTATTTTACTAGTAATTACATAGTTATTGCATAGTGTTTTCGGTGTTTTCAGTATTTTCCGCAATAAAACCAAGTTTCGTGCGATACGAAAATAAAAATAAAAATACACATCACAATAATCAATCGTAATAATGACAAGAATAGCTACAGTTTATGAAATATGAACAAATCTGAAGAAATGTAAAAATATGAAAATATGAAATTAAGTACTACCTTGGTGTGACATACATACAAACTATACTTACTGCCGCCGTTTGTTTCTGATCTGCAGCCACCCAAAATATACCCTGTTGTACCTGTTTTGTTCGACCTTGGCCTTGAACTTTTGTCTTTGGTCTGTTGTATCTCTGTGTGGAGGTGTGACTTGTTTCCGATTCTATATTTCTCTTTTCCCCCCCCCCCCTTCAATAACTTCATTCTTTCCCTTCTTCCCCTTCACTCTCCTCATTATTTGACTCAGATGCCTTCAGAAGACCCCGATAACGACGACGGAGACGGCATGTCTTACCGCGCCACAGCCAACAAAACACCGCCCCAGCTGCAATTTCAACCATCTCCACCACCAGCACAACCCAAGTCCGGCGCCGCGCCCATGGATGATATGCTATTTATGGATCCGCCAACAGCGTCGCATCGCGACGAAAACCCGGAGCCAACGGCAGCATCGCCCATCGCCACGCCTCTCACTCTCACCAGAAGTGGCTTCCTCAATAATCCCAATACCACCGTCCCGAGCCTCTTCAGCAGATCCACGCACCGCAGCTACGACCCCATTGACGGCAGCAGCGACCGCGACGCCGACGGCTTCAGCGCCAATACGAGCCCGCTCCTGACAACCAGCGAAGGTAGCAAGGGGGACGACTTAGCCGGCTTCAGGCGGAGATTGGACACCGACACCACTACCAGCCCGGCGCGCTTCGAGACGGACGATAACGACGACGCGGTCACGGCGAGCACGGCGTTACTACACGAACCTGTCGTTCGGAGGGCGAGCACACGAGGTGTCCGGGTTCGACATCCTACACCAGGACTACAGACGCTACAGGGGGCTTATACAGCGAACGTGGTGCAGTTAGAGCGGTCGGCGGAGAAACTCAGCATGACGTCCAGCATTGAAGACTCGATCCGCAATGCGTACGAGGAGGTGAAGAAGTCGGATAGCAGGATGAACTCGCTCCGACAATCCTCGCTGATGAACCTCGTCACCGACATCCCGTACGAGGGCGTATCAACATCGACACAACTCACGAGCGCGGTGGAGGTCGCGAGCCCGTTAAACTTTGCGAGCCCGACGTTTCCGACAAGGGATACGAATTCTTTGCATTCCACCACCTCGACGTCGATCCTGGATGTGAATAATGCCGCGAGATCGGGAGGTTACTCGCCGGGAGGTGCGGTTATACTTGGTGCGAGGCCCAGGGCGGACTCGAAGACCTCGAAGACATCAAAGTATGGGACACGGCCGGAGCCGGAGATGGAGGGGCGACCGCTGAGCGAGTTCGTGCCTTCAAGAAACAACTCGTACCTGTCGTCGCGGAACGTCTCGAGGGCACCATCGATCGCGGAGAAGGAGGAGGAGGAGGCAGCAGTCAGGAGGCCGCTGGCTATCAGGAATCTGTCGGCGGATGATATTGATGTTGATGAGGAGAAGACGGATATAGGACTGAATAAACTCGTTCCAGACGATTCACAGTCGGAGATGGACCAGGCACAGGAGCTATTTGACGACTTTGATGGCCAACACTATGCGAATATGGCTGCACCACCTGCAAATGCACCACCGCCGCCTCCAGCAGCGGAACCAAGGCCGGATATCCAAAAACGAAGGGATTCATCAGCAAATACGCTGTCGATGGCACGCCCTAAATCATATGCCGATCCGCTCACAGGACAGCAGATGGTATTCTACCCCGCGCCCGTCCCATCAATGCTCATGCTCCCCCAAAAGCTCTCCAACCGCCCCTCCCCAGCGAAGAGAGAAAAACGCCGCACCCAAGCTCTCAGCACCCTCCCACCACTAGCCCTCCAATCCGCACCCTGGCTCCAAGACGTCGTCGAAGGCCAACAAACCGAACAGTCCCAGCAAATCCCCGACGAAGTCCTCGACGCCGAATACCTCGCGCAGCACCACAAGCAAAAAGTTGGCGGTCGCCGCTCCACACAAGACCTCCTCCACATGCCCGAACAACTCCGAGCAAACGAGTTCTTCGAGCAGCCACAGCCCCACCAACTCGTCGAGATCAAGGAACAATCCGCCGTCGCGACACTAGACAACATCCTCGACGCCTCTGCCTACGCCCCCGTCTCCGCCTTCACCGACCACGCCTACGCAGGCCGCCTGGGAGCCGAAGTCTACGGCGCCCACGACCCCCGCGCCACCCGCACCAAGAGCCAACTCCTCGCCCCCCCCGAAGCCCCCAAGAAGCGCGTATCCTCCTTCTTCGGCCTCGGTCTCGGCGGCGGCGATAAGAGCGACCGAGCCCGCAGCTCAACAGTAACCAGCATGCTCGGCCTCGACAAAACACCCTCCTACACCGCCGTAGCAGACGACTCGCACTCCCCCCGCCTCCCCCCCTCCCCCTCCAACGGCCTCGACAACACCGGCGACGGCGACGAATTCGACGCCGACGGCCCCCCTTCACCCCGCGAGCGCGACCACGACGACACTTACATCGGGGCCCCCACCACTCTCCTCGCCGAGCTGCAGCTGCGCAAACAACACGCCAAGACGCGCACGCAGAACCTAACTCAGGCAGCGGGCTCGCGCTCTACGCTGCTTGAGCTGGATGCCGTGGCGCTGGTGGAATCGAAAGCGAGACAGCAGAAACGCGTCACACTTGCGTGGCAGGAACAGCATCCGGAGGAGGAGGAGGAGGATGATGATGTGCCGCTTGGTGTGCTGTTCCCGGGACAGTCGCTGCAGCAGCTAGATCGTGCGTCGAGACCAATGGGACTCATGGAGCGCAGAGAGCTAGAAGACAATGAACCACTCAGCCAGCGCCGTGACCGCCTCCTTGGTCGCGGCGGACTACAGCGCGAACCACTTCGTCGTCACACCCCCGAGCCCGGTCACACCCCCGAGCCGGCGGAGGACTCGAATCCCCTCCCCAACGCTCGGCCGGTGAGCGGAGCCTTCTCGCTTGAACTACTAAACCAGTTCGGCGACCCCTCGCCCCCAGACGCTGCCCCAGAGGAAGAAGAAGAAGAAACCCTCGGCCAACGCCGTCGCCGTCTCCTCGCCGAGCGCGAAGCCGCCGCGAAACCAGCACCAAAACAGCGCCGCAGCATGGCCGACATCCTCTCTGCGCACCCTGCCGCCAGTAGGGGCGAGTACCCTCATCTCGCTGAGCACCTCCAACAACAGCAACAAAAACAACAACAACAGCGCAGCGCGGGGCATCGACAATCGATATTCCCCACCGCACCGCAATTATACCCCGAGATGGGAATGAACTACCAAAGCCAAGTCGGTGGCGGGATGGGAAGCGGAATGACGGGGCGCGAGATGGTGGAGCAGATGAAAGCTATCCGTGCCAGACAGGCGCAGCAGGGGGGCTGGGGACAGCAGCAGATGTGGCAGGGGATGGCGGCGCAGGGGATGGGGCCGCAGCAGGGGGGTGGGGTGGATATGGTGGAGAGGTGGAGGAGGAGTGTTATGCTTCCTGGGGCGTAGGTGGTGGGATGGTGTGTGTGATATATGTGTGATGTGGTGTTTTTTTTGGCTTGGGAAGGGGGATAATATAGATGGGTTGGTGCATTGCGTGGATGGGTGGGATGTGGATTGGGTTGGGGGGGATATGTAATGTTTGTAATAGAGTAATAATTATGGGAATACTTGTACCAGAACTGACCGAACTTTGGGTCACGGTGTGTATGGTGGATATGAGGAGTTCGTTTTGGTGTGATTGTACAATTATTGATTAGCTATGGGGTATATCTAGTCCCACCCATCCCCAGGAGTCTCTTGTTGCTCCTGCTCATGATTATTTCGTGCAACGCCTGTTTCCCATCCTCCTTAGGACAACACAATTATACGTAAGTAAAGGGGTATCCAAGGTCTCTCCGTCTATGCGGCGCCGGTTCTCGGTCTTGCGTACTTCAACAATCCATCCCTCCCAGTTTGTGTTTGGTCATTTCATCAAACCTCTTCGCTGCCGCCGCCACCTCCCAGCTCGGGATGCCGCACCACCGAGCCACCAGACATGAAGCTGCCATTAGACAGGGACACCCAGCTCTCGCTCGGGGATAATGAAGCACTTGGCGACCTCCGTCCGCGGGGTGTGCTGGCCCGCGAGATCTGTATTCCCAATCCTCCATACGCCATCTTATCATCTCCCCCATCAAATCTCGCAATCGGTTCTCTTCTCACAGACCCCTCCTGACTAACCACCGACTCATCAGCCCCTTCATCATCATCATTCTCATCCTCCTCCTCCATCTCACTCTCACTCTCCTCCACAGGTCCACCCCCTAACGGCCTAACCCCCCTCAAAACCTCAGCAAATAAACCCATCAACCCCCTAAACTCCTCCTCCCCCACTGCCCTCCCAGAAAACCTCGCCTCCTCATACCCCCCCACAAACTCCTTCCACGGCACCCCCGCATCAAGCACCTTAAGCTCCAACAACACAACCATATACTCCCTTAGCCCCGCACTCGCCCGCCTCGGTAGCAGCGCTAGACTCCCCGCCGTCGCACCAGATAGGGCTACAGCCTTCGCTTCAATAAGATGCGGGAGCTCCGCTATCACGGGCGCGTAGTGCAGGTTCGGCAGATCGGGAGATGTAGGTGGTGACCAGCCCGCGTGTGCGATAGGTCCCCACACCGGATCGGCCGTAGGCATTAGCGCTGCATCTGCAGCTTCGGCTTCTCGTCGTCGCCGTCGCCGTCGTCGGAGCAGGCGGTGTGTGTGTTGTGCCAGACCCCGGGACGTGGGTTCGATAGTCGCAGAGGGGAGGGGACATGCGAGTCCGATATCAACAGCTGCTGTATTCGTAGCCGGTGTGTGAGGTCTCGCATTCGACGCAACGAGTGCAGATCTCCGGAGCGCATCGCGGATTAAACAGTGTACCTTTGGAGGCAAATCGGCAGGTGTGAGAGGGAGGTAAGGTTTCGGTATCGACGCAAGAATAGTGCGTGTTGTGTAGAGTCGAGAGGCGTAGAAGAGGAGTGCAAAGAGGGCGGTGAGGAAATAGACAGAGGCGATTACGAAGACATTGTATAGTTGCCTGTTTGTGAGGGCTTGGCGGATGGCGTCGGCGGGGGGGATGATCAGGAGGACGAGGAGGATGAGCGCGAGGAGGGCGTAGAGTGTTGTGTAGAAGATGACGAAGAGGCCGGGGGTGCGGGCGCGGGCCATGGTGTGGGTGGGTGGTGGTGCATTATTGGGGGGGTGTGGGAGGTGGGAGCATCGCAGGGCCGGTTGGGGGGTGGTTGCGGTCGAGGGTGAGGCTGGATGGGAGATTGGAGATGATGCTCGAGAGGGGAGGATAGGCGGTGGCGGCGGGCGGGTATGAGTCGTCTTTCGGATATAGGGATGTGAAGTTATAAACTCTAGGAGCGAGTATCCTATATCCAAGATAATAGAAATGTGCAGGTTGGTATTTCCATAGGGTGAGTTTGAAAAGGATTGGGCGGTGGTCTTGCATGTGTTGTTGTCGACCTTCGCAATTTGGTCCAGACCAAATATTGGATGGATGACTAAGCTGACGTCGACATCAATGCGAATAACGAACAAACATTTGGATAAAGGAGTATCATAAATTTATGGTCGTATTTCTGATGAAGTATTCCACATATTTATTATATTTTCAGCAGAATACTTTTATACCTTCAGATATAAATGCCTACATTACTATCGCCAAGATTTGTCCTTCTTAAAGCTCATCAACCCTCTCCAGACTCCCCATAACCTTCTGGGTGCCATCCCCTCTCGTCTCATCCTTCACGTTCCCCACGACGAAGAAATCCTTCACAATCGCTGTCCCATCTATCACGGACTCATACTGTTCGGGCGTACACGTACCTGGAGCCCTAACGTAGCACTTCGGCTCCGGGACCTCTGGGACCTCGTTTTTGACATGGAACGTCGAAGACGGGCCCTCTGTCGTCAGGTCATCCGACACAGGCAAGAGGCCGGTCGCAATATCGCGGTTGAACATGGCACGCATGAAAATCTCATAAGAGACTTCAGGTTGGTACCATGGCACTATCGTTTCCAATTAGCCTCACATCCAACCATATTCTTCCCTGGGGCAAACATACCTTCGTGCCCAGCCTGGAACACCCGTGAAAAGGAGTAATTCCCATACTGCCTCACAAACCCCCCCTCTCCCTCACTAGTAAGAATCGGCGCGTACCCAGCACTCTTGAACCCTTCGGCGCCTTCGTGCTCGATCAACACAGACACTGCCTCCCCGCCGAGCCAGTTACAGGCATAGTCGCGGTCGCCGTACATCATGTGCACCTTGACCCCGCTGTCGAGGAGGTAGGCGACGGCTTGCATGGAGCCGGCACGGTTGATGTCGCCAGTGGAGTCGAAAGCATCGCCGACGGCGGGGGATGATGTGGTGAAGTTTACGGGTACGCCGAGGGCGGAGAGAACCCATTCTTGGGCGAGGTAGCCGTGCATGTCTGGGTCGTGTTAGTGGGGTGCAATAAAAGGGGGTAAAGATCTTATAAAGGTGAACAAGAGGCGCTCACATGGTTCGGGGGTTGGATCAGCTTTTGGGTGTGCAATGTCGTACCAACCCCACTTCAAGGTATGTAAGTTTAAATCCATATGAAGGGGGGAGGGAAGGAAGTAGGAGGGGAACGAACAGTGAGAATCTTTTCGAACGTATCCATCGATGCGCAGTCGACCTTGTGGATGTCGTCAAAGCACTTAATGACCGAGGGCACATTTCCTCTCCAGTCTGGGTCTTCTGCTTCAGCTAGCTTCTGACATGCTGCCAGCTTCTCTCTGCATCCACCAGGCCTCTCATATTCGTCCACAGTTTTTTCATACTGTTCTTTGCTGATGTGTTGAATTCCGTAGGTCTGTAATCTCATTAATATATGACCCAAAAATATGCAGTGGAGAACATACGTTATTATACGCCATTTGATTGTAGCTGGGGAACTGGACGAGGTTGTCGAGCAGGCCGTTGATTATTCCCAGGGTGTCAAGGTGTATGTGATGCGTTCCCGCCTCGTCAATCGTGCCATTATTGATCTTTTCATTCTGCTGCTGGAAGAACTTAAAGAACCCCGGCCCATAATGGCCCCCATAGCTCTCGGTCCATAGGCTCACTCTGTCATCATTCGGCTTGTACCCTGGGAACTCGGCGAACCAAGTCTGAGCGAAGTGCCACAGTGCGTGCGCAGCATGCACAGTCGTGTTAGCGGTCTTACCCAGCGATTGGCTACCCGCCGTGCCGACGTAGAAGGTGTTGTTCTGCTCAGGAACGCCGTCGGTGAAGTCCGTTGGGATCATCTTCTTAAGTTCGCCCTCCTGAAGGAGGTCTACAGTGATATTGGTGAGGACGTCGTAAGAGAAACCAACTTGAGCCGGCTGGTCAAGATAGAGCATGTTCACCTCGTTGTTCCATGACCATGGGTTTAAGTAGGTAGAGTTGGAGTCTGCGCCGATAAAGCAAGGGCCGTTTTCTTGCAGGCCGCCCATTAGGGACGAGCCACCCGGGCCGCCATTGAGCCAGATGGCGAGCGGGGCATTTTGAGGGTCTTTTCTGGACTCGAAAAACCAAAAGAAGCTGGTAGCTACCGTTAACTGGATGTCTACATCTTTGAAATCCGTATTCCATGGGATTCTCACGTGTTGATGGGGTAGTCCTGGTTTTCACCACTTATATCGGAGAGCAGACCGGGCGGAAGATGCACGTATCCGCTGTAGCTCTTGACACCGGGTGTGGTCTCGCAAATTCCAGGCTGAAGTTTTGTCAGCTATAATTTTAGAATGTCATATAGGGTTTCTTTAAAATACGTGCCTCCTTGTACGAAATTGTGACTCCCTCATGGTACTTGGATTTCAGCGTTGTAACATCCTTCACCGGCGGCGGGAACTGGCCTAGAACCACTACCGGAGCCAAAGCAAGGGCGGCACCGATTAACGAAAGCATTATAATATCAACAAATAACCCGCAACTACTGTGTGCGTGAACAAAAACGATGCGCGCACCAACGGAGGAATATTATATGCATCTTATGTGTAACAAGACTATGGAATGGAGTACAAGCGTGCCACTTATCCGGCACTATGCGATTCGTTCGCCGGTGCCTAGGTGACATATCGCTAGTTACATGCGAAGCTATGATGCTTCTGGCAGGTGCACTTGTGTTGCTTACGTTGACGCCAAAATACGCGTTTTTCGGCTGGGAAGACGCGAATCCTACCCATGAAGTTAAGGTACTCCATCCCCCCAAAAAAACCCAGTATCGTCCATCCCGTCTCAATTGAGCAGTGATAGTCGTAGTATTGGATATCCGCTCAAAACCTGCCCCGTCCCCAGAATCCCCCGTGTAGTACGAAGAGTACATTAATATGGTGCTTGCCACGAGTCCAGTGGGCTCTATGTGCATTTTCCCAAACATCGTTCACACCGGACATAACTCTTGACTGTTCGAGACAATTAACGGCCATGCTACCGCTATTACAACAGCTGAGAGGCAGTGGACTGTCGGGGATGTGGCTCCTTAAATGGATCGAATGTATGTGTTAACATGTCTTGCTTCCTTAAATCTTCAACATATATGGAAAGAACGATTTCTAAGCAGACTCAGTCGCGGCTTCCTGGGGACCTTCAAGTCTGATATATGGAAATAACGATTACCAAGCAAGCTCAGCCGCACCTTCCTCGTAGCCTTGAAGCTATATATATGGCAAGAACGACTACCAACCAAGGTCAGTCGTAGCTTCCTTAGAGATTCTCAGCGATATATATATATATATGGAAGGAACGATTACCAAGCAAACTCAATCGCAGCTTCCTCGGATATTTCAAGGCATATATATGGCAAGAACGATTTCTAAGCAAACTCAATCGTGACTTCCTCAGCTTCCTCAGAAATCTGTGAAGGTGTTCTTGCATTTCCTGTATTTTGCTCACATGCGTTCCAAATCACTTTTCTTTCTCAATTGTCTCTTTAAACCTTCCCACAGTTTCCATGGTCATCTCCCTTGGCCTCAAACTCTATCCCCCACAGAAGGTCCATGTAATGTAGCCTCCCTAGGCAGTCTATTCTCACCCTCCTTATATTCGGCCCCTACCTCTCCTCGCGCCAAATCATTCACCCACCTCCCTGCCCCCTCTATCCCTCCCTCTCGAAACCTCGTCGCCAGATAAAACCATGCAAGCGCATTTCCCACTGTCCCAACCTCGTCGCTCACGGTCCGCGCTGCCACCTCACTCATCCGATCATGCAACTCGTGATCAGTCCACAACCTCAATAGGCACCCTGCCGCGTCCTTCCAGTCCCCAGGCTCGACGAGGAACCCGTTGCGCTCGTGCTGGACCTGGAGTTGGATACCACCTACCCGACTTACAATCACCGGCCGCCCTTTCTTGAGAGCCTCGGAGACTTTCACCTCGAAGCCTTCGCGGATGGAGAGCTGCATGACAATGTGTGCGTTGGTCATGAGCGCATTGAGGAGCTGGTCATATGGCTCGAGGCGTTGGACTGAGATGGAGCTTGCGAGGTGCGGACAGTGCGCTTCAATGTAAGACATGGTCTGGTCGTGGACGAGAGTGCCGTCGGGGTCGTCGATGGAGCCGTTGCCGACGCTGTGCGGAGTATTGTCAACCATGATCTGGAAAAGAAAGGGGCTTCGCGGCAGAGAGGGGCAAAGACAGGACTAACATGACAAGTTGAGGGGCATTCTTGACTGATTTCTCGCCAACTTTTTTGGCGAGAAGGGCGCGGAACTCTACATAAGCCTTTAAGACGACCGGGATGCCTTTGGATGGGTCGAAGCGTGCTATTTGCACAAAGTATTGACCTAGAAAGTGGTGTCAGCTTGCTTTCACTAATCTTGGAAGGAGCAAAGCTTACGATCCGGAAAGCCTAATTCGGTCCTGAGATGTGGGTCAGTAGGGAAACATGTGTATAGTTGGGAGGTCTCACATCCGGATACCGTGTGCCCTTTGATTATACAGGTGCATATAATACTGTGTATCCCAATCCGCCAATGGCTTGTTAAGCCCGTCCAACCTATATAAGCATCAGCAAGTAAATTCGACCTACGGGGAGCGGAGGAAACCTCACCAGTCAGTAGTAGCGGGAAGATACGCAACCTTCTCAGCGGGCACACTCTGCGGAATAAATTCCGGTACGGGGTGGCTTATGAACATATCTGCCTGCGTAATTTTAGACCACAAATGGTCCCAGATATCCTGCTGAGGCGTCCCGGGCGTGTCGCAAAGGTCGCTGCGAATCTGGATATGGCTTCTGTATAGAACTGGCCGGTCAGGGGTGAGAAGCTTGATGAGGGGAATTAAGCTGGGCATTTGTGGGTCATCGATCTGGTAGTGTTAGGCAGGATATAAAATGTGTCATGGATTGGACATACAATGATAATATCAGCGCCGCCTTCCGAGGGCGGCCGCAGCGGCCCATTTTTGCAGAGCCAGTACCTCTCGGCATGTTCGGTGATCCAGCCGTCCACCGAAGCTTTCTCTTCTTCTGAAATCCGGACACCAGGTTCCGCGACTCCTTGGAGGATATTATGGATAGTCTTCGTGACACGGAAGACGCCCGGTTTCGGTTTCGGAACGTACCTAGGGTTTCTCAGACCGGAACACCAGGTATACAACGGGCCAATGGGGCTGTACTCACCACCGTAGATCAACGTCGACCGTTCGCGCAAAGCGCACAAGTGCGTGTCTCATCAGCGCCACGCCGCCGCCTTGCGGTGTACTACTGAAGAATGCGATTTTCGTCTTTTTCTCCTTTAGTTTTGCCGCATAATGCAACATCGCGTCCCAAGTAACCGCCTGGCACGTCTTCTGATAGTCCTCAAGCATATGCATATGGGCGCGGAATCCTGCATCAATCTGCACAATCCCGCGATACCCAACTTGAAGCAGGGGCGAGAGATTCGGACCGAAGGCCCTGATGTTGTCAATTTTGGTGCAAATAGGGACATCAGATGGGGACGTACGTAATCGACTTCCTCGCCATCGAATCTGCCTGCTCATCAACGCCCCTATCCTTCCAAAACGTAAAACCCTCCATATCTTTCTCTGAGCCCTCCTGATCGGGCCACAGCGAAAGTGGCACTAGATCCAGCTCCGACCACAGCCTTGAGCACAGCGACGGGCTGACGCGCTCGAGATCTACGGGCAGGCCACCGCCGATGTACTTGCATAGGGATTTCTTCTGGTATTTGCGTAGGGATTCGACAACGAAATCGGCGATGGGATCAGTGCTGTCGCGTGGGGTCGGTAAGGGGACGTTGTGCACGGTGAAGTCGTGAAGGTAAACGCTGTCATGGACGGCGATGGCGACGACAGCAACGTTCGGTTCGTCATCGGTGAAGGCGGCGGAAACGCCAACGAAGAGGGGCTATGGTATTTGATTTAGCTTGCTGCACGGTTGGAGGGTATTGGAAGGCAACTAATCAGCAACATACCGTAAGCGTGATGGCGCCATGCTGCTTCTCGGCAACTTGCAGCCGGTACTTGGATGGCCGTTTCTCAAACTCTCTATTCGCGGCAAAGGCTACCATGGCCTTGAGAACCGGCTGCAGTTTCATTGCCGCATGCTTCCAGACCTGTGATGGTGTGCTAGGACGACTTGGTCGATTCGATCCAGTTGGCGCCAGGACACGTTTTAAGAGCCCACCTACTTCACCCTCACTTGGTGCGGAACGCTTCGACATTGTTGCTTGGATCGCTAGCTTTCAAGATAATGACTGGTAGTTCATCAAAGTTGAAGATATTAGGCACGGAGATGACGGGATTTTCCTGCCCAATGGGTAATGGTCTGAGTCCGCCAAGGTGAGATCTCGGGTACTTGTGTCTATGTGTACGTGACCAAGAGCTATGCAGACATAAATTTGAGAAGCCTAGCAAGGTACCACTTAATCATTGAATTGTAGAGTAAGTTGAGAAAGGTCTTTAGATAATAAATAACCTCATAAGATATTTCCTACTTACGTAGTTGGAAAACGACTGATGACGACGTTTTCGGACTAGACTAACAATAAGGTCGTGTGGGGTTGACAAGGCTGGCAGGTGGTTGACCCACTTAATTAAGGAATCCGGGGTATACAGAGCGCGCGCGCTTGGAAAAGTCAATTCCAACGCAAACAGTTTTCATGCATGTCAAGTATGTAAATCTTGGTTCTAGATTATCAGATACTTATAGTTGTAGTTTATATGTAATATAATAATGATTGATCCACCACCCCCATCGTTAACCGGCCCCTAACCTCCAACTTTGTCGACGATCGCCTCATGGCTCTGAAACAACATGTATTCGGATGGAATAGCGATATTGTGCTAGATTCGTCTAGCTTTTTAATAATTGTATTGACGCCTACCGTATCCTCGAGAAACTGCCAAGTTATGGTCTTAAAGCCTTTGTGTGACTACGTTGGGTTGCTAATCGCAACGTATAATGCTATCATTTTAGGCTGATGCCGCCACAGTTACATCCTTGAGCTCACACTCACACAATATGCTTTTATTCCCGTCTTCGGGATGATAAAGTGAAACCCCCTAAATCTATCACTTCGGTGAGGGTAACACTACATTTTAAGTCCTAGTAATATCCTGCTCACGCAGCAAAGGGCAAATTTTCTGCAAATAAGAGGGTCTACCACTTTTTCAAAGGTAGAGAAGAACACACGGCGTTATCCGTTCTCTACTTCAAAGGCAGTTTTACCAGTAAGAACCGATGCACTTATGCCATAACTAGGGAGAAACTCGAGAAGCATCTCTATGAGTGCCAAGTCTGTGCCTAAGGTTGTAAGTAAGACATTATCTCAAGAGCCTTTGACAAGGCCATGAGACGTATAACTGAAGTTAATGCCCGAAAATGTAGTTTTTCCCCGATCGAAGTGGGCTATTTCCTAGTGACAACACATGATTTACATGGGTTGTGTTGACAAACCTGTAATTACTTGATGAGGCTGGGCACCAACTTCCGATGTGATGTGCAATCCTTGGCACATGTGTGGCAATGTACAGAATATCATCAGCACCACGAGGCTCACCAATTGCAAAGGAGGTTTAAATTAAAGAGGTGCACGACATATATGCAGTAACAGCGACTTAATCGCCCGTAATGTTATTGGTCTTTGGGAATTATGCGGCATTGGTTTTGATATTACCATCCAACGCTCCATCACACATGTAGCCAATTGTAATTCTGGGGCGAATTGCAGACTGAAATTCAGCCAGAGAGGTGAGGTCACAATAATAATTATTTGCTGGTATGATTCTACAGCAGAAATACAGGCTATACTGGCCTACCATCAGCAGTCATGGGTGGCCTTGGTTTCACTTGTGGATCCACGTTCCCCAGAAGCTGTTACGGCTTTCACGAAGAGCCTCTCTTATTTTCCAACATCCACACCCTCATGCAAATCGCGCTAGCACAATATATGGCTGCAAAGAGACTCCAAGAGAGTAATGAAGATGATAGGTTCGGGATTAGAATAATGGGCTCTAGGGAAGCCTTGCGAGGGCTAACTGAGCTCATGCTACTCTCGTACTGGTTATCACTCACCGATTGAAGCTTTTTGGGCACTGAGTCAGAGCCTCTGACATTTCGGCAATAGTGCTTTCACTTTGACGCCCGAGGATATGAGATATTACAGTACATGGACATCTAAATCTAGGGGGGCCGGGTTGTAGTCATATCCGCAATATGTGCCGACTTGATGAGGTGGCCTGCCCTGCCTGTCTCATGGTTAAGGACCCATCAGCTTTGAGAATTACAATATCGGAGAACTCAATTGCAGTTTGGCACTTCCTCTATTACATCTTTGATATCACAGTTAATTAAAAGTATTCCTCGAAGATGCCCGACTTGAGCATCGAATTGGAAAATGGCCATGTGAGAAAGGTAGAGGAAAGCGCAAAATTACGATGGGCCCCTTTTTCAGCAAAACAACCATCTTTCCCACGAGGTACAGATTCGAAATCCTTCATTGTTATTATAACGAATACTAATTTTAAGGCCATCTACATATTGATCGGGTTTTGCGGCGACGCATGGTTGATGTTATTGCTCTGAACAGCTTTGCAGATTCCAGTCCGTCGACAAAAGAAGGGTTGAACGCATACGTTAACAACCTGTTGGCACAGTTTGAAGAAACACAGCCAATATTCCATAGCTTGATTCCGTCATCGTTTAAACCCGGAAACGAAAATCGAGAAAATGACTGGTTTATTCAGAGCTTTCTCGTTATATGGGAGGCTGCCTGCCAACGTGGAAAGCTAAGCTTGGTTAGTCTGGCAGAAGCACTTCAAAGAGGGGACTGCCTGGAACCTTTTGAAAAATCACAAGCGAAAATGGACAAACTTTCGCTGCGATTTGTATTTTTCTTGCTTGGCTGCTCTACGACGTTATATATATTTCAATCCCGGCCCCTATCTCTGGGTTTCTTTCAGGTCTGCGGGTGCAATCCGAAGACAAACTACTATCACTCTTCGTATCTAAAGACACAAGTCTCAGAGGAAGGGGCTCAACGTCCACTGAGAGATTTTCTACAGGGGTTCGGAAGATTCCCTCTTCGAGCCTCTAAGATGCCCAGAGAGAACATCGAGCTACATGCGAGGGTGGCCATAAATCCCATCGATTTCAATGCAAAGGTTTTACAAAGCACTTGCGGGATAAGTGTTGTGTGGACGTAATTTTGAGCGCCCATCTAGATTATGATGAACGGTCCAAAAGTCTGTTCTTGTTTATGTTTCCAAGCTTTTGCCTTGCAAATATTCCAAAAACCGGGGTCAATGACCATGTTAATATTGTTCAGCGGTATGCCACGCCTTCAAGCTCTTATACTCAATAGCTAATGAATTAGATGCTGGACTGAGAATCCTTCTCCAAGTATACTTGCCTCGCAGGAGATGGCAAATTTCATGAAGGAAGCTCTCCTAACAACCCATTTAATCTTCTCGCAATTCAAAAAGGCGAGAAAATTATTTCGGGTTGCCAACGCCTCCACTGATCCCTTATTGGCAATACTCTGCTGTCATGAATGGCCGGCTACATTTCAGGATTGGAACCACCGGCCTCGTCGAGTTTATGACTTGCATGATGATTTCCCCATATTCGAAAAAAGATTGAGAATACTCAACAACCAGATTGCTCTATCACAGCCAAAAGGATTAAAAGAACTTTAGAAAGATGACAGGGACAAACTCCAGTGGTATACGTTCTAGGCCGTTGTGATGATCGGGGGTTCTAGTCTTATGCTTTCGATATGTCAGACTGGTCTCGCTACTGTGCAGGTTTGGGCAATCTTCTAGGTCAACACCTAGCAATATATATCAAATAGGATGTTGAGAGTTCAGTGCTTCTTTACTCATCAGGGTGCCCTCACACAAGCAACCATGACACTAGAAGTCGAGGCGTATAGATTGGAATCACATCTAAAGTTTTATCATTTTCATGCTTCCATACATTCTTATAGATGTTTGTGTATCCATTCATCCTCCGCTAATTCCTTTGCGGAGCTACGCTTGCCTGGCTCCCATTGCAGCATTTTTCGCATGAAGCGTAAAAAGGCCTCTCTTTCCTCTTCACCCTCGAGAGTAGTTTCCCGTTCCTCAAGCGGAACCTGGCCCGTTAATAAATTTTTATTGCGGAAGGCACCTAAAATAGCCATATACGGTTAGTATACGATACTATAATTTATTAGACATACGATGACAAGACTGTTGACTTGCCTTCGCTTGAAAAGAATTTATCTCGTAGCTCCCCTTGGGCAAGAAGACTCGATGGCGGGGGGCCAAGGAGATTTATCATCTCGGCGAGATGGGCTCGACTTCGGTACTTCTGAAACTCTAGATCATAGCCGGTGAACAAGGAACCGCCTTCGTAAATATCCCAAATCTATTCCAACAATTAGTAATTTTCGTCGCGTGGTAACCAGGCCGTGTGTCTTACCATGCATCCCACATTCCATATATCCACACTATACGTCCATGGAGCCTCTAGAATCACTTCTGGTGCTCGATAAATATTAGGTTGGACGAATTCCGAGTGGTGTTGGGCACCGAGCATGGCTGAACCAAAATCGCATAGGACCGGGGCATCCATATTATTTGGCATTCTGAGATCGCGGGACATGTATATCATTCTCCCGTCTATGTCTACCTCCTTCCTCGGAACAGGGTCTTGGAGCTCCTCCTCTTCAAAATCGCTAAAGACCGAATCGTCGTCTATGCCGAGCATGATATTATCGGCCTTTATATCTATCAAAAATGTGTAAGTAAATAATGAAAGTAGGTAGTGAGGGAGGGACGGGTGGTTGCAAATCAAGCCACGAACCGGTATGTATGATCCGGCACTCCGTATGTAGATAGTCCAATGCTAAAAACAGTCGCAGAAGAACGAAGGCTATGACTTCCGAAGGCAGCCTCTCTACCGGGTTGCAGCGTAAGAACGTCAAAATGCTCTCAAATAACGGGGGGTGAACGAGACACTGGTGTTTATCCCCAGGCCCATCGACATAAAATGTGTCCAGTAACGTTCTGACGGCGTCACGACCACGATGACCTTTCGGAGATTCTGCCATGCGCCTGTACATCTTGACCTCGTGATCCGCTTGCTGGTCCATAGACGAAGCCTGGATGGAGATTTTAAGCATAACATAACGACGATAACTATGATTATAGTTCGTGAGCATATCGGACCCGGGTGATTATCTTGACAGATGAAGAGAGAGCTCACTTCATGTCCCGTGCAAGCCATGCAGTTGAGGTAGACCCAAACCCCAATTTCCCTACAACTTGATAGCGCTCTTTGATCACTTCTCCTATACAGGTAGGATAATACTGGGACGCAACATAGTCCGGAAGGGTCTCTTCTTCAATTTTGTGGTATTCCGGTACCAGGAGGAAGTTTGGGTTGGAGAAATTCAGTGGCTTCCATCGTCGTCCGAGCCTGGGCAAAGACCGCAGAAGCGACGACAACATAGTCCGAGAAAGGCTGTATCACATGAAATAAATAGCAGGTTAATCTGATCTAGACTTGTTGCTGTCTATGTTAATGTAGTTACTAAGAGTGGCGCGAAGGATGGTATAGAACAGAAGTCAGGTGATCTGAAGAAAGAATCGCACCATAAGAAGGGTCTCGCAGCTGTGCAGGTTTGGGCCGTCTTTCAAGTCAACGCCTAGTGATATATCTCAGATTGGATGTTTAGAGTCTAGTATTTCTTTTTCTTGAGTTGGCAAGACGTCTCAGTATAGGCAATCACGACATTGAGAAGGAGACGTGAGATTGAAAAATCAAATTAACTATTTTCCCGTTTAATTTCTGTAATTTAGGTGTATTATAACAGTCTTTATGTTCCTTAGCCGATACAATCACGCCACTATTATAGCAGCCTATGTAAACAGCAGAGGGGACATTAAATGATGACTTAGAAACCAAGGTTGATACTTTTCTCATATGGAGAATATAAACTTTGCCCGATCTGTACAGTCCACTGATAAGACTCGTCAACTCCTATCATAGGTGCTATGATTACTGTGCCTGTAAAACACTTTGAAGATGGCAATATCATGTGCGCCTAAACTGGCGCTCACAGAGGTTCCGCTTCCTGTATTTCCACTGTAGAGCTCCGTCCAGGAAAAGGTCCCCTCACCAAGTCCGGGCACATCAGAAAAGTTGACGGAAAGAGTCTGGTCGCCATCAGGAGCCACCAGTCCAACAACAACACCGTCAGAGAGCGGTCCAGCCCAGTACGGATACAGTTGGCCAGAAACAGGAGAGGCGGCCCCTTCTGGGCGGAAAGTAGTTGCAGCCCTTCCGAGAGGATCTTGGTTGACGGCTAATAGGCCCTGCAATTTACTCATTAGTACCTAGTTATAAAAATGGAAATATCCAATTCGGGCCTGAATATCAGGAAATAAATCGGCCTACATACTTTGTTTGTAAACAAGCTAATGGTCTCTTCTGACAGTTTTCTGATATTTGTCCCTATGAAAATGGGCGACTTAGAAATAGCCCATATACCGAAGTGAGCTCGCTCCTCTGCGGCCGTGAGTTTGCCATTCCCAATTATCTATCAGTGAATTTAGTAATAGAGCCGCATAAAGACTGCAAAGTAAGGGGTTGGGTTTAGCTACCATCATGTCTAGGTCGTTGAATCCGTGAGGAGCGGAGTAAGAAGCAATTGGTGCAGCCTGACTAGCGATTCTCACAACGTCCTCCCAACCGCCCCAGTTGTCGACGCTCATCCGCCAGCTATTCCCAACATCCGCCCCCCAGGTCCAGACACTATCGCGCCCCCAATTGCATAGGGAATAGAAAATCGGCCGTCCTGAGCTCTGTAGTGCGTCACGCATTGTAACATACCATGTTTGCGTGTTGCCAGCAGGGTCGGTGCATGTTTGCATTTCCCCTGCGTTGCAAGGCGTATAGCAATTATCATGCTTCCAATAGTCGACACCCCAGCTAGCTAGCAATTTAGCGTCTTGTTCTTCGTGCCCTTGACTCCCGGGATACCCAGCACAGGTTTTGGTACCAGCATCACCGTATAGCCCGAATTTCAGACCCATAGCGTGGATCTGGTCTGTTAATGACTTCATGCCCTGAGGAAATTTACTAGGATCTGGGACAAGGTTGCCGGAGTCGTCGCGGGAACTGGTGGACCAGCAGTCGTCAATGTTGACATAGGTGTAGCCAGCATCTTTAAGACCAAGATCAATAAAAGCTTGTGCTGTATCGAGGGCTACCGCTGCGGTAGCAGCATTGCAGCCACCTTGGTTCTAAACAAGTTAGAATACTGCTTCAAGTTGACGGCTATTTAGAATGCAGTGAATAAAAGAGAATATTTTTAATACCCAGCTGTTCCAGCCAAGAGCGGGGGTCTTTCCAAGACCATTGTCAAGTCGGGGCTTGAGACCATTAGACTTTTCAAATGCAAGTCCAGAAACTACATCCGTAGCCGCTAAAACTAATAACGTAGACCACATGGTAGCAATTGATTCGGTGGTTGGATTTGACTAGATATAGTTTTGATAACTTGAAAATGCAATAATCACAGTGGTTGCAAGTGTGTCACCGACATTCAAATACACACCTACAGACACTGATACTTATACATATATAAGTAAACTTAATCTATTAGGTGGAAATTTAATCAACCGGCACTTGGTTGTTTTAGCCGGCAGTACATATCGATTTCCCACCGCAGATCCGCCTTCGCGTAGTGGTGGTTACAGATCTTCCGACTTTCTTCCTCCAAGGTATTTTGTTTAATACCCCGCAATCAAATCACAGCGGTTAATTGTCTAATGTTTTTTCCGTTATTGGTTGCTTTAACGTCCCCGCCCTTTACCCCTCGATTTGTCTCTGCTTGATAAGGTAGGCGCAGGTAATCCAATGTTCTCGACATCTATTTGGCGGTTCGTATTCAAAGACAGTTATGTTATAGCCCCGATGCAGAATTATATGCCTTTATGCGTAGTTATAGATGATTGTATGTCCGCTCATCCTCCACTGGGTCCTCTGCTGAGCTACGCTTTCGTAGACCTGTAGCATTTCTTGCATGAGTTGTAAAAATGCCTCTCATATTTTATCCCTCGCGAGTAGTTTCTTTTTCTCAAGCGGAACTCTGCCGATTAATAAATTTTCGGTTCAAGGACGTTGACGTTGTAGCCTGATGGGAAGGGGAGGGGACGGTGCATGACAGTTAGTGAGAGTCTGTGAATAACTAAATAGAGCCTAGTGCCTTTTTGACTTTTCATAGCAACTGTGAATCAAATACATACCCTCCATCACCTAGACCAGTATTTATCATGTTGCAGCCTATCGTGCACATATCTCAAAAAAGCAACCGAGACAAATAAGAAGGTTTAGAATTATGAATATATTACATTATTAATTACTACTTATCGACCGTTTCCCTCTATACCATAAGTCATATAAACTCATCAAGACGACGCCGCCGCAGATCGCCGCGGAGCGCTCTTCCTCTTCTTCGCCGCCGACGACGTACTCCCACTCCCAGTAGCCTTTACCGCACGCTTAGCATTACCATTAACAGACCCATTGCCGTTCAACAGCAGCAGTTCCGCAGCCCTATTACGTTCCTCCTCCTCCTTGCGCTCTTTCCGTGCCTTCTTGCGCTCCAAATCTTCCAGCTCGGACTCCTCGACCTCGGATCTGTCGTCCTTCACAATATTGTGCACAAGGAAGCGGTAGGCGCTGCGCAGGAGGCAGTACAGCCAGAAGATGTTGATAGACTGGAGCATGAGCAGCAGCCCTAATGTGATGACGAAGGAGAGCGTGCACTTGTATTGCTGCGTCTCCCAGTTAAGCTCGTAGGGTCCGACGGTCTTGAACTCGGTGAAGAGGGAGTAGATGAAGCGTAGGTTCTGGTAGTGACGGAAGTAGATCCAGGAGATGATGCTGGTACCGAAATATAGTTCCACCACGGGGCAGTCGATGTAGTGGAGTGATTTGGACAACTGCAGACATCTCATTAGCACAGCCCTTGAAAGTCCCCACAAAGCGCAAGGGAGAAATAAGAAGTCGCTTCAACTTACAGCAAGGAAAAAATCGCTAATATCATGAGTAATGTAAACGGCAAGACCAATATGCATGAAGTGAAATCGGTAGCTCAAGAAAATAAGAGTCAGGGTGATGATGTGGTGGGCCACAAGCTCATAAAAGTCCTTGCGAGGCTTCTCCAAGCCCAGCAACATGACAATAGCCTGCTGCGACCAATACGCCGCCTGGAACAAGTAGTAGAACTTGAAAATAGCCACGTGGGTCTTGTGCGGGAAGAACTCGTACATGCCGTGCGTCTTGAAGTACCACATCGGCGTCCCGCTCATGACGTATAGTCCAGCGGATCCGATAATCGAGAAGTAGATGGCTGTGTACACCTGTTCCATGAAACGGTACTGCTTTCCGCGCGAGTTGATACCACAGAAGCGGGCGAGCGGTCGCAATAGTTCTTGCATAATGAACTCGCGGGTGAAAGACAAAACAACGGTGTAGAAAGACACAAATGCGAAATCCCAAAGACCCTTGCCGTATAGTGTTGGTGCGCTAGGGTCGGCGCCCTCGAGAGGCTCCTGTGCGTAGGAGAGGAAGATGAAGCGGTGGATGATGTTGGACTCGGTCGGGTTGTAGGCATATCCGGAGAGGAAGGCGAGCATCATAATTAGAGGAATAATCCACGAGTGCTTTGTGACAACGTGCTTGCAGCGACCCAGGAAAGAAGGGGGGTTCCTGCGTTCTAGGAACCCCGGCTCTTTGCTCTGGCTGTCCGCATCGCCGTTGGGTGTCGATGTCGGCAAGAGGTCGGAGGACGAGACGCTCTTGAGACCAGCCTTTCGTGAGCTTGTCTTCTTGTCTTTATCTCCCCCGCTTGTCTTCTTGCGCCGCGGAGGGGTCTTACTGTCCTTCGCTGGGGACACCTGCTCCAGTGAAGCCAGGAGGGGCGTGGAGAATTCGGACGGAGCCATTGTCGCCGACTGAAGATTATATAATAGCAAGGCCGTCGAGGTCTGAGACTATGAAGCCTTATAGGCTGTATGATCCGGACAGATTGTCGAGGACGGTCAGGGTTAGACCCTTTCGAATGACCCGCAACTCTGCGTGTTGACTGCTTCGTGGGCCACAGCGGCAAGGACGGATTAGACGCAATAGAACAGAGAAAGGGACACGATAACAGCCATAGACTGTGTATAAAAAGCACTGCCGGGTTTTTTCTTGAATTTGCTGACAAGTCTTCGAAGATGTCAGAAATGTCAGAAATGTCAGAAATGTCAGAATTCGAAATTATTAACATGAGGGTCCACCTCGGAAGTCGCGGGCCCCCGGTATTCCGGGGTTTATCATTACTCCCCAAGGTACCTCAGCCTCTTAGGCTAACACACTAGATCAAATTTGGTAATGCGGGTCATGCCCCTGAGATTTGGCTGAGATTTGGTTAATGGGACGATTATTATGTCAGCAATTGCCGATGAGATGAGATGAGATGGGATGAGACAAAACACAACAAGCGTTACAGCGGTATTACAACAAAATACAAAGCAACTAGCCGTTCGATAAATACTAAATAGGGTCCTCTTCACCATCTGTCAATAAAAGTCGAAAAAAAGCAAAGCATTAAGATGGTATCAAAATTATAACGCCTGCTCCCTCTCTGTTATCTCGAGTTCAGCTTCATCGAATCGAGATGACTCCAACTAACACCCAGCGCATCTATTCCTCCAGACCATATATACAGTTTATCATATTGCAAACCCCCGTCACCATTGAGCCTAGTCCTAGTAACCTGACGCCATATACATCCAGGACCTGCCACTATTGAGAATAAAGAGTCCCCCCATCCTCGCTACGCCGCCGTATCTTAACTTGATTATTAAAAAGTGATATCCCCTGTTCTCTATCTTCCACCCAACCTCAAAATGAATAACCGACCCCATTTCTCGACGTCCCCTGGACGCAGATCCCTCAACACGCCGCCAGGTGTGCCCTATTACTGCTTTTTCAGTCGACTGAAGACTGACAGGCAACACATAGTGCTAGCCAGTGTATCCTATCGACAGCAGTATCGGACGGAGTAACATGACACGCCAATCACCCTCAGGCGTTCCAAGCTGACCCAAAAGTTGGTATCCACCAATTCAGGTCTCTGCGTCTGATCTCCCCAGATCTCTTGGCGCAGTATGAGATGGCCATCATCAAGGATGTCCATCAGTCGATCTGCTTCTCGCATCCAATCCTGTTTAGCAGCTCCTTGGGGTCACTATGCCTGGGCAACGTGATCCCGCTAGAGCTACCGGCCCGCTTAACGCTGTTGCGGCGCTCCCATCCCTTCAAGTTGATCGCCTCGACGCCAACTTCCTCCTCGAGTGGGTGGCCTGCCTCAATCTCGAGCTCATCGTCCTCAACTTCTTCTTCGCCCTCGTCGTCGCTTCGGATATCCTCCGCACTGTGGCCCTGGAGCACGCGCACGGCGACGCGGACAATGAAGGCGGACCAGATTAACATCATGACCTGCAAGATGAGGAGGCAGTACAGGAAGCCGAGCATGATATTGTCGTTGAAGCAGACAATGCCCGTGGGGTCGCGGAAGGGCTCGAGAAGGTGAGACCAGTCGTCAGGTACGGCGAGGGGGCCCTGGAGATTGTCCGCGGATCCACTGTAGCAGGCCGACGTGATTAACCTGGGCAAGTCGGAGTAAACGCTCCAGCAGGTCATGAGGAAGAACACGTGGCGCGTGATGAGCCACACGGTTACGAAGACCGCGAATAAGATATCGGGGATCAAGGTGTATCCGAGGTATTTGAAGCACTTAGCGAGCTGTGTTGTGGTTGTCAGTATAGGTACACGGCGTGTAATTACGTATGACTTACGGGGAAAATCAAATCAACGACATCCATGATCACCAGAATCAAGTTCCCAACGCGAGTCTGATGGTACGCATATGAAGCGCAGATAAGGACGATGGTGACAAGGTGGTGGGTCAACATTTGCCAATGATCCTTTCGGCGATCCTCAATGTTGATAACGAGAACCTGTTGGATCCAGAAAGACCACTGCCCAAGCATATATCCCTTCATAAGCCCATCGAGCTCTCTCTGGGGCCAGTCGGTCCACAGCTCGTCCATGTTGAGGAAATAAGATGACTTCCAGTAAATGTACTATAAAGGGTCAGTCGCAACGCAACACGCAACGCGCAAGGAGACTGAGGGAACATACCATTCCCAAGGGCCAGAACACAGAGTAGTATATCAACATCCACCCCTGCTCGGCGAATCTGGTAACTTCCTTCTTCTTAGATAATCCCCACATCCTGGCTAACGGCGCAAGGACGTAGTCCATAACTCCTGCGCGAAGACCGCTGAAGAGCACAATGCAGAACGTCATGAAGAACAAGTCGTCGTGGCCGGCAGCATATTTGCCAGTGTTCGAGTTGTAGTGTGAGAGCGTGAAGAATTTCGAGGTATATGGCCGGGCTTTCGACATGGACATGTGGGTGAGGAAAAGGAGGGCGATGAGGTTGAAAGCGAAGCCTGTTCAGTACACATCATTGTCAGTAAAAGTCGGTGTCGCAGCGCAGGAGGTACATGGGAGACATGAGGGGGAATGTAGACTGAATCTCGCGACATACCTGTCTGGTTATCCAGCAGCCAGCCCGCCAAAATCTGCAGCGGCCCATCGGCTTTCTTCTTCGCCTTCCGGGCGATATTCACGCTTGAACCGTGCGGCAGCATCTGTTCTGTTGTAGGCGCCCCAGGGTTCTGCATCTTGTCCTCTGTGGGCTCCATCTGCGTCGCATCGGTCTTCGGTTCGCTCATGGTGATATTCGAGGCAGATTGAGCCTCGAGGTATCGGGGGTCGACGAGGTCAACAATGGTAGTCGAGGAGGTAGAATTCGGAACTATTGCCAAGCTTCCTGTCGTAGGTTGATGCCGAGAAAGGGGTTGTTGGCGGTCGTGGGCGGGGGGCTTTCAACGATCAATTTGGAGCCGGAAACCCGATTTTTCCCGTAGATAAAAACGAATGTGTCAATTGAAAAGAAATATCGACTCGATACTAAAGTTCAACTGAAGAGGGAGGTGAACATAGGCAGATGGCGTCTTCTGAGATGTGTTGAGCCGGATCTAAAACACATAAAATGAAGATGGAACCTTTGGCGGTGAATGGGGATACATATTTCCGTGCAGGGGTCCGAATTGCGGATGGGGACTTGAAGATCCCCAATTACAGGGCACGGATTTGTACGCAGTAACGTAAATATCCCCGAGTAAGTCGTGTGACTTGACATGGGATGAAATAAAATATGTTAATAAAAATTAAATTACATTTAAGATGAGTTTAAGCTATTTTGTGAGGTTGAATTATTATATTATTATTTTTTGGCCTGTAACGCGTTGGTAGGTTTCTATTTTAAGCACATCAATTTGTAACGCACTGGATCAAATGTGAATTTTAAAATGAAGCTGAAAAATAATATTTCACGGCAAAAAAGAATACTGTAATTTATATTTACGTTTATTTGTAGGGGATTACCAGATAAGATCCATTTACATCCTCTGAACACCCAGCCGGTATCCTACTGTATTGACCTGGATGCCACCAACAGCGATGGCATGCGCCTTTGGAACCCTGATATCACTAAGACGTAGCTGAATATTGAAGAGGCGTAGATTATGACTCTAAAATGCTGCGACGACTCTTCTCGCACAAACCGCTGCTGTGATTTCTATGCAATGCATTTCACAGATCGCTTCATCCCTCCAGCCCACCCATAATGCAGTCCAAAGCACCTATGTGATCCATCGAACCCCGCTGTCCAAATCCCCCAACCCCCCACAAACCCTCTCCATCCCATCACAAACCCACACCCTACTTCGCGTACCTCTTCGTCCACTCCTTGGCCTGCTTATTGAACTCATTGCGATTATTCTTATACACCTCCGCTATCCCCGTCTCGACTGCATCATCCGGCACCGGTTCCGACAGCAGCTGTAGCGCCGCCTCCAGCACGCCCACAATCTTAGTAGACGGCTTCCACTGGTCACCCTTCAGCATGCCGAGGCACATCGAGCCGTGCTCATCGTTCGAGACGTTCGGGTGGTAGATCTTGGTCTTGAAGTTGATCTTCGGGGGCTTGAAGGGGTATTCGGTCGGGAGCACGAGGAGGAGCTTGAATAGGCCACCCTGAATGTGGTGGTTAGCTCTTGGGCAGTGCGTGGTTGGGTGAGAGGGGGAGACGTACGGCATAGGGAGATTCCGGAGGTCCTTCGATTATGACATTCCAATGATGAATATCGGAGTCTTCGCCGAGGGTGACCTGGATTCCTGGCAGGGGAGGGTTTGTAGCTTCGTTGAGCTCCTGTATAACACGGTGATCAGCGATGAAAGGTAAGTGGTAGGCTGCAATCAGCTGTTGGATACCTTTGCGATTCTCTTTCCACCTGCGCCTGCCATGATGACGCTGATGTAACGTGCGGTTTAAATTGGAAGATCTTGTGGTTGTAGAAATATTGCAAGGGTTGAAGTAGACAAGAGGGCACTGCTCGCTATTTATTACAGGTAAAGAGAGTGTCGTTATTCTAAAAATGTCTTTGTATGGTCTTCTTGAGAGGGGGGTTGTTCTTCTGCGAGGCGTTTTTGTTATGTCATCGACCCCACGTCAGGCTACCACCAGGCCCCCCCTGTCGACTTTAGCCTTTCCGCCCGCTAAATACGTCAAGAAAGTTAAGGAAGCCAAGTTCATAAATAGATCAGAAATATATCGTAAATAGAACATTCTTTTTATTTTAGAAACACACGAAGCATACGAAACACAAAGAAACAGGATACGAGCTGTGTACCCCGGGGATATATAGCCTCAGTTCCCTGACCTGCATGTATTATGGTATGTGTATATTATCTTAACCAAATGTGAGACTTCGCGTTTCAAAAACTGCCTGACCGTATACAAGCTTCGTGTTGACGGCTGCCAGAACCAAATGCCCCCCGGATATGTCGCGCAGCAAGATGGATTTAGGTCTTCATAAAAGTCGCTATTAATTGATTGTACACACATTTCGCGCGCTCCATTATCCATGAAAACCCACTGGAATACCCATTTTTGAAACCCTTTTACAATATGACCTGACACTCTCCGGGCCTACATGACACCTGCCTGCAGAAAATCACCAAAATCACCAAATTAAGACGCCTCAGAAACATGCATACTGCCCATCTATTCTCGTTGTAATACGACCACCAGCCCCATGATCCCCAGCATCGCCGTCTTCAGCCACGGATGCTCGCTCAGCATGATCGTCACGTATCCAACAAATGGGATATATCCTACAACGGAACCAATAATGTCTTTGCGTTCCAAGAAGTCCTGATCCCGCGCATATAGCTCCGTGTCATCGGCCATGTTGTTGTCGCCCTTCGTTAACAGCTTTGCGCCCTCCCTATAGAACAGTCAGTTTATGTCTCCGACATCGCCAGTGTCGCGTAGAGATATGCTCACCCCTCCCCAAACTTCCTCACAACACGATGCACAATCGGAATATCCTTCCCCCTGACATTATAAACCACGATCTCGCCAACCTTCGTCTCCTGGAAGAAGTTCCTGTTCCAGAGAAAGAGCAGGTCCCCACGCTGGAATGCCGGCTCCATGGATCCAGAGAGTACGACAACGATCGGCGACGGCGAGTCCGCAATCACAGAGAGTCCCTTCCACATCATGAACGCGGTCGAGAGAATGAGACCAAAGTTGAGAACCTGCGACATGGCCTGCCGCGGGTTTTGTAGTGCGGAAAACATGTTGGCGTGTGTTGAGTTGGGATTCGGTATCGGCGCGGATAGGTACAGAAAAGTCGCGTGGCTCAGGACGCGTCGATTTGGATGAATATAACTGTAAAATTAATCCGCTGAATCGCGTATAGCCTCTCAAGAGGCCACCGTCGGAATTGAGTGACTTGTTCGTCTTCTGGCTGTCGCTTTGCTGGTCTGGGTATCGCGAGGCTGACACTGTGTTCTTGGAGCTTGGAGATGTGGACAGAAATCACGGAACGAGACTTTATCCGAGTGCGACCTCAGCCTGGTCGACAGGTCGCTTGAAAGGAACCCCCGAAGATTCCCCGTCGGCCCTCATTTTTCTAGTTTCTCACTTTCTTCCCCTTCGATATATCCTCATGTGAATTACATTTATTTGGTTTCTGCAAATTTCGATATGAGAGAACTCAATGCACCACCGGGGAAGTCAGATGCGGTATCATACACATGTACCTGTGGAGAGCCGGGGGTTGTTCTTCTCTTCTACCGTTACTATGCCAATTCGCCCATGCTCCCAGAGCAGTACCTGCCAGAAACTATTGATCCTGAAAAGCTCGCAGAGTTCCACCGCAAACAAGGGAGGCTTTGCAATCTAAGCGGCAAGGTACGAGTCTCGAAAGAGGGTTTCAACATTACTGTGGCAGGCAGTGAAGAAGGCATTCAGAAGTACATCACAGCTTGCTGTTCACATTGGAGCTTTTCGGGGTTAGTGCTGGACTTCGATGCCTCCGTCGGCACAGAATCAAACGATGAAGTGGAAAGAAGGAGAGATGAGTTCTTCAAACCAACCCCCGGGTGCCGCTGTGTCTTTCAGGGGATCTTAAATGTCAGGGTTACGGCGGAGATCACGCCACTGGGAGTAACCAACTATTCACCATCAACGTGGGAAGCAGTGCAGGCACTTGAGCCAGCCGAATTCCACCAGAAGTGCCTGGATGAGAAGGTTAAGCTCGTTGATGTGAGGAACTACTACGAATCCAGGATTGGCTATTTCGTGTCTCCCACGAGCGGGGAGGCAGTGAAACCGCCCATCCGTCGGTTCAGCCAGTGGCCACAGTGGGTGAAGGAGCATGGGGATAAGATCACGGGGAACGACGAGGAGAAGGATAAACCGCAAGTGTTGACGTACTGCACTGGCGGAATCAGGTGTGAAAAGGGCGTCAGATGGATGGAAGAGTACATGTCCAAAGATGAGCTACGCGACCAGGGACAAATTTACACACTCAAAGGCGGCATTGCGGCGTATCTCACTTGGATGGAAGCCGAGATAGGTACAGGCAAGAAAGCGGCCGAGGACTCACTGTTCAAGGGCCGGAACTATGTCTTTGACGCCCGGGGCTCGACAGGATTACCTGGAACCGAACCAGTGTCGAATTGTCATAGCTGTGGTGTCTCTTCGGACCATCTGAGTAAGTGTGTATCGCCTGGGTGCCATTTAGTGCTTGTAGTTTGCCCGGCTTGCGAGTTAGGCAACGTGAGGTGCTGCGACGACTGTTTGAAGCTGTGTCACGAGGAGCAGTCGGGCGAAGCTGCGGGACAAAGACGCCCGAAGCCTCTGTGCGAGTGTGAACAGGCTCGGGAGAGAGAGCTTTGGGCTGGCGAGAGAGTGAAGGAGCCTAAGAAGCAGGGCTGGCGGAAGAAAAAGAGGATGCAAGATGGAAACGGGAAGAAGTTGGATATCAGGATCAAGGTGGCAGAGTAAGTGCAACTTTACGCATTAGGCTGGATATACTCCAAGCGGGCACCCGACGAGCACCAGACGCTGCACGGACAAATCACGGCGTCATAGCGGACCAAAACCGAAGCACATGAAGCCTGAAGGGAGGCGATAAAGTTTTATGGGATATGATTTGCTGAGCCGTCAGCACCATATCGGCCTTATATAGGTAACCCTGAGGGATATCCTGGGCCGAGTATAGCAAACAAGTTTTCGTGGGGTCGAGTTCTCGGACTTGCATGGGAATTTGTGAAGCGTCCCGCTTGGAAACGCTTCCGCATGCTCTGGTAGGACCGATATTTGTTATCCAGGCACCAACCGCGGACGTCGGATCATCGCATGCAACTTGTCAGCGCCAACGAATTGCAACGCACCACGACAAAAAATCCCAAAAATGAGGCGCTCAACTATTACCCCCTTCGAATAATAGCCAAGACGTTCCACCATGTTCCCCTACGCTCAATTGGGCTGGCCGGACTATCACGTGAACGCTAAGCCTCACCCATGCACCCATGTTCCAACATATATATCGAGTCGATTTCCCCGCGCGCGCCTGTCTCTTCTTTCCTCGTCACCACACCTTTAGGGTCGCAAAGAAACAAGAATCTCCGGACGTTCATTACGAATAGCTAGAGATCTCTTCCTGGGCCCAGTCAATCTTTTGTGCGTCACGTCAAGCCATCATCCCCTCACGCTCATTTCGTCACTCCTTACAATACCCCACACCATCCCGAAAGCCATTCCACAGCCCGACATCATGTTCAAACGTTCGCACCGCTCGCGCGATCGCGTCGAAAAGGTTTCACGGCTAAAGAAGAACTTGAAGGATGCATCGAAGTCGTCGAAGTTGCAGAGGTCGTTCGAGGAGGATAACCCTTTACTTGGGGCTGCGTGAGTATACCCAGTTGTCATAAATGCGGGGCGCAAGGCTGACGTTTCATTATGTAGCCCCCTCATCTCTCCGGTCATCACCTTGATGGTTGGAAAGGAAGGACGACTGTTTGCGGCGCACGAGGACGTCCTCTGCCTATCGCCGTTTTTCGCGGCGGTATGTCGGGGGAAGTTCCTCGATGCGCAGAGTAAGAGGATTGAACTTCCCGACGAGGAACCTGAGATCTTCTCATGTATTCTCGAGTATCTTTACGTACGTTATACCGCCGGCCCTTATGAAATGTCAGTATTCTAACAACTCATCTAGAAGGGCGACTACTACCCACGCGCGTTGCAAAACAAGCGTCGAAGCACCTGGGAGCTCGAGGATGCAGTGAGCTCACCCAACCCCGAAAACGGAGGTGGTCGCGGAAACGCCGAGGCCACAACCTTTGTCTCCAGCGTGGGAGAGTATCTCCTCCGAGATACCGTCATCTACTGCCTCGCGGACAAGTACGGCCTCGAGGAGCTCAAGCGCCTTGCCCTTCGCAAGCAGGGTCTGCAGAGCGGAATCGAGGTCGGAACCATCCTGCGTAGCGCCCGGTACGCCTATGACAACACGCCGGACACGGACTCGCGTCTCCGCGCCCATTACCTTGCCCTGATTATCCGATGTCGCAAGACATTTAAGAGGAGCGGCACCATGCAGACAGAAATGGAGAGTGGTGGAAAACTTTTCTTTGATCTATTCGTCGCACTCTGCAACCACGTGGATGATATTGTGGATATCGGGTATGCTCCCAATTTTCTATTACTCGACTCACTGACAAGCACAGGCAGCCTGATACTGACTTCTGCCGCAGGAATTCCCGGTCGCCCAAGACCATCTAAGAAGCGCGGTATGCAGAGTACGCAGCGGTAGATGCACAGCTTTCGCGGTCGAAATTGCATCACGAGGACCGACACAACGATATTTTTTTTACTCTTCGCATCTCCATCAGACTGGGTACCAATTCGGAGATTTTTGCGTCTTCCCCAAGCACAAACAAACTCCACTTCCCCCGCGAGGTTTGGCCGCCTTATCATGATGAAAAAAACGAAAAAACCATCCCCGAAAAAAAAAATATCACCATAATCGTTGATTTTCCCCTCATTTCTTAATACCCCCTTTGCTCTGTTGGACACGGAAAGGATTTTTGCGTTTGCTTTACACCCGCCCTGGGCCGGATTGCTACTGCGCTTGAGGCGTTGGCGGCGGACGGTTTGCGAGGGGGCGGGTTAACGATCCACTACTACTTAGGCTGGCACGACCTCTTCGTGCCGCTTTTTCTTGCGTTACTGTTGGGATGCATGGGCTGCTTTGGGAGGGCTGTGCGCTGGTCTTGATGATGAGTGCGGGATGCGTCCCTAGTGGATGTGTCGAGCTTGACCCCTCTGTCAGGGTCTAGTTAATGGGAGAATCGGCCACCTCAAATGGCGTATTTATTGAGTGTGAATGTGTGATTTTGTGATATTTGATATTTGATGTCAAGATGGAGCACGCCAAGTAATCCTGATGATGCCCCCTTAACGGTTGAGTATCCTTCTCTCTCACCCTAAAGATACATGCTATGATACTCCACACAAAATCAACTGCTGTTAGCCTTGAAATATCAGATATTTGCAAAGAGGCATTGTGCATATCCACCCCCCTCGTATCTAAAATTGCTCTTACTTAAGACCCCACACGAAATAAGTTTTGGCGATATCACATATAGGCTCCAAATCAAACTGGTCCGGCGGTACATATATCCGTAGTTCATATGTCAAAACACCACAACCTCATCCCATCCCATCATCCTCGACGTCTGTCCCATGAACTACCCCGCGACAAATGCCGAACAATTGAAGCATTCATCCGGGACGGTCCACGAGCCTTTTAATCGCAGCATCTATGGATAATGCTTCCAGGCTAAACTGACGGCACTCATGTTTCTGTCATGGGATGGTACCTGCCTGCCACTATAAGCTTTCATGCACTATGCAATCAGCCGGCGGTAGAAATGGCGGGGATCCGATTTTAGAGCGGAGAATTTCAAAGTCCATCAAAGCTTCCATGGTCGCCGAATAATAGAGTTGACGATCGAATTGAAGCATATAGCGATGATCCTGCTGATCCCATGATAATTCTATCATGGTTAATGATCACATCGAACTCGCGGCATTCTAAGATGACTGATGATCCCGCTGAACTCAAGCCGCTAGACGCATAACAAGCATTGAATGCAACGTCGGCTCACACCGTTCATGGGACTACGGTCCTATTCTCCTAATTTGAAATAAGCCACCATTACCCCACCATATAAACGACTCTACATCGACTTGGCGGAAAACTGCCTAAATGATGATCGAATCTACCGGGACCCGTTGACAGGCCTGACAGTAAGATGCCTTCATCCGGAACCCGTTTGTAGGCGTGTATAAAGGCACGACACTTCCACCCAGGTCCATGAACAAGACCAGCCACCAGAACTCTTAAAACGGATCACTTCTACAAATCCAGCAAAATGGTCTCCTTCACCTACCTCCTTGTTGCTGCGTCCGCCGTCGCCTGCGTCTTCGGCGAAGAGCCTACCAGCCCCAACCCCCGCCTCAAGAAGCGCACGAACCAGACCGGTACACATGATGGGTACTACTACTCCTTCTGGAGCGACGACCAAGGCCAGGCAACATACACCAACAAGGCCGGCGGTGAGTACGCCGTGACCTGGGGCGGCCAGGGCAACTTCGTCGCAGGAAAGGGATGGAACCCCGGAAAGGCCCAGTAAGTCGTCACACACTACCAACATTATGACCACACCTAGCTAACAACCCAGGACAATCTCCTACTCCGGAACCTTCAGCCCCAACGGTAACGGCTACCTCTCCATCTACGGCTGGACCCGCAGCCCACTGATCGAGTACTACATCGTCGAGTCCTTCGGGACCTACGACCCCTCCTCAGCCGCCGCCCTCAAGGGCACCATCACCGTCGACGGCAGCGTCTACAACATCCTCCAAACCACCCGCACCAACCAGCCCTCTATCGACGGCACCTCGACCTTTCAGCAGTTCTGGTCCGTCCGCCAGAACCACCGCACCAGCGGCTCCGTCGATGTCGCTGCGCACTTCAACGCCTGGGCTTCGCACGGCATGAACTTGGGGACGCAGCACAACTACCAGATTGTTGCTTCGGAGGGTTACCACAGCAGTGGATCGGCTGATATCACTGTTGGGTCGGCTGGCACTGGTACTACACCTACCAACCCGCCTACTTCGAGCACCCCACCTTCCAGTGGCAACGTAAGTTAATTCCTAGGAGTCTTGTGGGAGGATATTGCTAACTCGTGAATCAGTGCGCTGCCCTGTACGGACAATGTGGTGGACAGGGCTGGACTGGCGCCTCTTGCTGCGCTTCTGGAACTTGCAAGCTTTCCAACCAGTGGTACTCCCAGTGCTTGTAAATTGTCAAGCAAAACATCTATTCAAGTATTTAGTTAGGGGTGGTTGCACTTGCGGCCACCTCTTTTATATAGTCAAGTCCTTTTATATAGTCAAGTTGTCATCTATATCAATTGATTTATACCTAATGGAAATCGTCCTTTCACATAAGGATGGTAGATGTGGGTATATCAGAAACCATGCTGCGTTGCAATGAAAATGTTATTAAGTACGCGGTATTACACAAGACGTGTGTGCTTCACCTCATTATCGCGGCATTCCAAAACAAATATCCCATTCCAAAACAAATATCCCATCCCAAAACAAACCGCCTAGCAATCATAAATCTCGCAGCGCACGCTAGAAACCAGGGGTATCAAACCAAAGCACGTCACTCGCCCCCTTCATGTACTGTACTATTTCCTCCATCTCATCGCCGTACACACCCCACCCCGCAGAACTTATTAGTCTCGTCAATGCCAAAGTCGTGCTTTGGTGCGAGAAGGTTCTTTGCGCGAGGTGGGACTGTGGCTTAGCCAAAAACAAGTCCATTAAGCATATGCCCTTCCCTCCAGCCCTGCGCGATCAGGGTATCATTCTCACGCAGGATCTTGCCTAGATAAGCGATCTTGACGTATTTTTGCGGTGGTAGCTGTGGAGCTGTTAGTATTTCTTCGTTGCGCTGTTACCCGTCATGGGAGTAGGGGACTGGAGAACCAGCAACAGGGCAAACGTACATCACTTCCTTCCGCAACCATGCGCGCTAGAGTCTTCACACTATCCCCACGGCCAATGCGAACCCGCACATCAACCCCACCACGCTCACTCAGCCTTGTCGTGACCTTAACCGTCTCCCGCTCCGCCACCACCACCTTCCCCTTCCCATCTTCCTCATCCTCCACCTCCGCCCCCTCAGCCTCCACCCCCTCCTCCGCCACATTAACCGGATCACAAACCACCCACTCCGGAATCCCATAATACGCCCCTAGCGCATCATAAACCCCATCCGCCAAATCCCCCGTCGGCAGCGTCGCCCCCGCTGCATCAATAATACTCTGCGCCGTCGCGTAACCCCCTCCTCCCACCCCCCCATTCTCAGCCTCCGCATGCAGTTCCCCCACCGCTGCTCGGATGGCGCCCCAGATCTCCGGCCGCCCGGTCACGCGCGTGTCGAAGAAGGCGATGCGCTCGCGGTCGAGCTTGGCGCGCGTCCAGGGCTTGGACTTCCTGGCTGTCCATGCGTGGGTGCGGAGGGGGACGTTGAAGCGCTCGTTTAGGGCGCGGTGGTGGGAGGTGCTTGTGTGGGTTGAAGGGCGGGGTAGGGCTGTGTTGGAGGCGGTGGCGGTGTTTATGGCTGCGCGGGAGGAGTTTGGCTGTGGGGAGGGGGAGGCGGGGTATGTGCCCGCGGCACGAGAGGCGCAGCAGCCCTGGCGATGGTTAGCTAGTTTGAACATGTATGGAAGGCTGGGAAATGGGGGATATATGGTGCCGTACCATGGTTTGTTTGTGGGCGTGGAAAGTTGATATTGGGGGCGGCTCGATGTTGACTTCGTTATGGCGCCTTTGTGAGGATAAGCATGAAACGAACACGGCGAACAATAAGGGTATTCACAGCCGTAGATTAGAGCTCCATATGCATTAGGTCAACCTCCACCGCGGAGAAAGGTGTTGAACAAGATGAAAGCGCACACGATCCGTACGTGAACAGACCACTCTGATTAGATAAAGGGCATACTGCGGTCAACAAGGCTGATGGCACCTATTGAGGCCCTGGATATAAGAATATTTCAGGCTAGGGTCGAACGACAGGAAATAACCCACGGATATCGTGAGTACGTGAAGTTATTGAAGTTGATGGGAGTAAAGAAGAGAGTTTGGACGTTGGACGTCGGACATTTGAGGTCGTGACTGATTGGATCAGGCTTGGCCCTTGACACATAAATGACGCCCTTGTCACCAAGTAGCTTACCATTCAGATAAGATGGCGGAATTGGAAGGCGGTCAACGCGAAAGTCGGGCAGAATTCTGATCAAAGTAGCGTAGTCACAAAAGATATCTCGGCGGACCGGGCAGTAGTGTAGTCACGTTACTCTGTTTTCCGTCTCTATCATATTGTCGATTGTGTATAGAATTACAAGTCTGTCTTACGAATACTGGATGCCAACTATTGAGGGTCTTAGAATCTGAGGATATAATCTACGGCCAGCCAGGGTTCGGTTTATAGACCCTCCGCCTTAGCACTGCTTACCTCGTGATTGGCACGTGATCGGGTTCTGATACCTTGCTGGTCCAGCCTTGTTGCATGTTAGTTATATTCCAACAATACTCATACTCTGTGGCTCCTGCTCCTTTAAATCTGCAACACTATACACGATATAATTACTGTGTATACTCTGGTGGGTTTGGACAAAGAGTGACAATATGGCTAACAGGCGACTGCTAGAATGGATTAACCAAAAAACCGCCAAACTGCGACCTGTGAACGACATACTGCCTGTCCAACCCAAACCTTCAGCCCCGGGGGAGTCTCCTCTCATATTCGCAGCAGCTGCCGTTGACAAAAGCCCCTTCTTCCAGAAACTTCCCATTGAGATACGGCACATGATATTAATGCATGCATTCGCTGGATACACAATACACATTACGGTTAACTGTCTGCTAGACCCAGAGCAACCATCCAAACGCGCGCCAAGTCGGAAGCTGCTGATGGAACAACTGCGGTGCCATGTGTGCTCTGTGCCAGACTCTATGAGAACATTGCGAGACGGGTTGCGGCCCTCTAGCTAATTCTGCTCGGGTTATCAAAGCGGGCTTCGACAGCGATGTTATGGACAGTGGTGCACATGTCCGGTTCAAGTCCTTGAACCTGGATGCTGGAATATTGGGATAATGGGCTGGTTGTTGTCTTGTCGACAGGCGTGAGTTCAATACTTCAATTTTTTTATAAACTCCCCCATCCACCAACAATGCACATCACATGTGATCGAATGATAGTAGCACTAACTGTCGTCTTGATTTTGTTGTCTCTAGCTACGACGAGTGCATCGATGTTTCATATGCACGAAATACGATACAGATAGACAGTGCCTTTGTTGGGCATCTACCAGAGGTAATTCTCCCACAGAGACTCAGTAGCATCACGTCTTTGGAAGTGCATGAAGTATACTACACTTTCAGGATGGTGAAAAAAAGCATCTCGGAAATCCAGGAGACTTTATTATATCATTCTCTAAAAGACATATTTCACGCACTTCCGCACCTCAGGAAACTCTATCTCTCGATTGAGGGTCATGTGTATGATGAACTCGGGGCGGTACATAAGACCATAGTGGAAGTACTGGAGCAAAACTTTATGATTCCCATGGACAATTTATTGAGGAAGTCTGACCTACGATTGCAAGAGTGCAACATGCGCATTCATGTGAGCCACCATGATTGCCTTTTCGCAGGCGATGTTCGCTCGCTGGAGTTTTCGCATTTCTAAGGATATTGGAGTCGCCATGAACATGAACAAAACATACGCGTGGATGACAAAAGCCCGGGCGGCGCCTGCGATGAATCCTTGACTTTGCGTGATTCAGGGTGTCCTTCATACACCCTACAAGTGGTCCCTCAGTTTCGAGCATAATAAAGCTTCACGGTTACGGATCGGACCGCAGATATTATGGAGTTATGGATAGCTCCGATATTGGCACCACTTGTACCTCTATAGCTTGAAGCTTCCTTGGAGATTATTGGGCCATGAGAGAGGAATATTGGTTTTGGATGAGCTCTGAGGAGACCTATTTGAGCACTGTGGCGTTGCGGATCTAATTCAATAGTCGCAGAATATGCCGACGATTGCACACCGCAGCTCTCAGCGTGTCTTATAATACTGTAACTGCCCCAGTCATTCTGGCGCATTAACGCCATCCGCCATTAGCTTTATAGGCAAGCGCCATAAAAGTCTTCCCATGCTGCCCAAAGAGCATAATAGATAGTGATCCCGGCGATCGCGACTCCCTTGCAGGTGAGACACAGCTGAACTTTGCTTGGCGAGGGCTACGGGAGTGAGAAGCATCGTCCTATCGGTCACAAACCAGCCTGAATTGCTCAATATGGGGTCCTGCTACCCTTTACCAACAAATCACGATGTCTGATAATAGAAGCGCTATTAAGCGTGTCATGAGACAGTGGTTCCCTGATTTAAGCTTATGGATCGTCCCGATTGCGTATAAAGGTACCACCGCAGTTACCCACATATGCAGCACTCCAACCTGGCGTGCTGCATTTCGACTACTTGCAATTGCCCAAAATCACCACCTCGATCCACAGTCGTCAACTGTCATAAACCTACCTTGAATATCCTCAATCACGTACGCAAGCTCCACAACCCCCTTGCTATTATATTCTAACGACCATACCGCAGAAACATGAAACTCTACCTCGCCACGGTTTTCTTCATCATCCCCGTTATTATTGCGGCACCACTCCCGAGCCCTCAAGCGGGCGAGGCTCCACCGAAAATACCACTGATCGCGGGCACGTTCGACATCGTTAACGGGTTGCCTGTGGCCCTCGGGTTGCCTGAGATCGGCGGACAGGTTATACATGGCTTCACGAGTATTGTGGGCGGCATTTTTCGCCCGAAAAGGGACAACTGAAAAGTAGAAGTTTAACCGCTAGAGAGGGCTATGAATTTATTGTGGTTATGCTGAGAATGTAGTTGCGGTTGGCTAGGTTTCAATAGATCTCATGTAGTTTGTCGAGCAATTAGGGGTTCTAAATGATGCAGCGATCTTTCAACAATATACCACGATGTCTCACTAGAGACACTGTACTCAGCGTATCGTTGGGACTATAATTTCTTTTTTAATTTCTGGGACATTCGGGCTTCGGATATAAGCACGACAAATCACCCCCTCTAGTTAGGATCTTGTAACCGCCTAAACCACCACAATTCAAAACCTAAAAGTCCTCAATAGCCTCTCATATATCCCAAACCATCCGAGTAAGTTCCACTGCAGGCAAGATAGGTTTTAGCTAACAATGACAGCAAAGCAATATGCAACTCCGCCTCGTCACGATTTTCTTCGTTGTGCCCGCTGTACTCGCAGCAGCACTGCCAGCCCCTCAGGGGACCCAACCACCAAATGACGACTCAAATCAAATTCTTGGATTGCTAGGCATCGTTCTCGGGACAGATCATCTTCCCGGCGGTCAATAGTTGTGGCTGCCCATATTTAATACTCATAGAAAGTACCGTCGAATAATAAAATATTGATTAGTTAAAGACGATTTACACTCTGCTCGACCTTGCTATAATCTGTATGCCCTAGCTGCCGTTATGGCCGGGTTGCGTCCAACGAATAACTTCTGTCTTAGAATACGTCTACCTGTGCCTAAGACAAAGATTGTTGTCTCACTATGTCACAATATCTTAGCTTTTATATTGGCTTTATTTTAACCAAAGATTCTTAGCCATTCTCACAGCGCCGGTTCCAAGTCCTCAACGAGGCGTGGATCTCAACGGGCTTTTTAGAGACATCGCGAATTCAGACATATTACGTGGGAGTATTGGTGAGGGCATACAGTTAGGCCGTCGAGCTAGATGAATTCTCTTTATTCGTATTATCGCTGTAAGGTTGTGGGGTTAAACTTTAAATTTTGAAGTTCACGAGTGGTATTATGGATATATACTTTGCTTGCTCCATGGGGACAGGTCTGAATTATGGTATATGCAGTATCACAGGCAGTATCACAGACAGTCGGGTGACTTTTTTTATAGCCAGCACTACATACAACTAGGGGGCTTTCACTACGCTTTAAATATTGATACAACCCTTTTGGCCTCAACCATTTAACGCCAGAGGATGAGGTTATGCAAGACATAAACTGTGTAAAAAGTAGGTAACATGATATCGGAACCTCGGGAGGCAGGATAAGAGCCCTATAGGTCTGTCGACTGAGTCGAGCGCGACTGGGGAGACAAAGAGCCCAAATGGGTCTCACGCCTCGTGGCCAGGTTGACGCGGCAGGTTAGACGGATTGGCGGCTTCATCGCTATTGGTAATTTAATAATATACTCCAGCATAACAAAAAAGATTGCTCAAGCAACAAATGTAATTTATAAGGACGTCATTTACAAATAATCGCTATTATATAATAAGCCCATCCAAGGCAATTTCACATAATTGAAGTATTTGGCTTGGCGTATGGAATTGACCAGATGGTTTTCACGAGGATGGAAGCCATTTGATTCGCGGAAGATATTTCGTTGTGGACGAGCCCGCCCAAGATCTTATTTGCTGGGATATCGCATCAATGGGTTAATGTAGACCGAAGCAAGTCTTGGCGATTTCCGACGGCTTGGGCCTCCATGGTACATAGGTCTATTCGGAAAATGATTATTAACAAGGAGGCCTTTCTTACCAGGGCCCTTTCTTTCCAGTTCAGTAATTAACTGCATACCATACAAGAGTCACTCTATCCAATGGCACCGACAAGATATGCCCAGGTTGGCACTGGCAGCCGTGCCAGCTTCTTCTACACTGCTATCGCTCGGGATTTCCAGAGTGAAGCGACACTGGTTGCCTTTTGCGACACAAACCAAACCCGCATGGATTATGCCAGTGATAACATTGAGAAAATTACAGGACAGAAGGTTCCAACCTACAAGGCAGCCGACTTTGATCGCATGATCGAAGAAACCAAACCGGATCAAGTTATCGTCACAACCATCGACCGCACCCACCATGCATATATCATTCGGGCAATGGAACTTGGCTGTGATGTTATCAGTGAGAAGCCCATGACGACCGACGAAACGCACTGTCAGGAAATCCTCGATGCTGTGAAGCGTACTGGCCAGAAATTGCGGGTGACTTTCAACTATCGCTACGCACCACACAACACCAAGATCCGCGAATTACTCGCTGATAACACTATCGGCCAGGTGTTTTCGGTTCACTTCGAATGGCTACTGAACACCCAGCATGGTGCCGATTACTTCCGTCGCTGGCATCGGGATAAGCGTAACAGCGGAGGCCTGCTCGTTCACAAGTCGACGCATCACTTTGATCTGGTAAATTTCTGGCTGGCGAGTCAACCAAAAACGGTTTTCGCCTTGGGGGAGCTGAACTTTTACGGAAAAGAGAACGCAGAGAAGCGCGGCGAGGAGAAGTTTTACTCCAGGGCCCATGGTAGCGAAGCTGCTAAGGATGATCCTTTTGCGCTGCACATGGAGGATCACCCGGAACTAAAGTCGCTGTACTTGGATGCAGAAAAGGAAGATGGGTACTATCGTGATCAAAGTGTATTTGGGGACGGCATTAATATCGAAGACACCATGGGCGTGATTGTGAAATACCAATCTGGTGCTATGCTCACCTACAACCTGGTTGCATATTCCCCACTGGAGGGGTTTAGAGTTTGCTTCAACGGTAGCAAGGGCCGCCTCGAGGTGAACGTGATAGAGAAATCATACGTAAATGGAGGTGGTGATCGGGACTTGGAAGGTGCCGTGGATGAAATCGAGATTACGGTGCATCCCTTGTTCGGAGAGTCGTACAAGGTGCCTATTGACCAGGGACAAGGGGGGCATGGTGGTGGCGATCCTGTCCTACTCAACGATCTCTTTGGTCAACCTGCGCCTGACAGATTTAACCGCGCTGCATCGCATATCGATGGAGCCATGTCCATTCTCACAGGAATAGCCGCCAACCAGTCGATTCGTACAGGGCAGGCGGTGCAGGTTGACGGATTAGTTAAATTTTAGAGCATGCTGTAAATAAAATATAACTCTGTGAAAATAAAGTTGTCCTCTGTTTTAATTTCTTCACGCTAATGGGTCCTGTTGTATGTTGTACGACCCAAGTCCTTGGGTTAAGTGCGCGGCCTCCTGGCTCAACTCCAGCCTGGAGAATAGAAGTTTCAAAGCAGGCTAGTGTGTGGGGTAAAATGGGAATAACTCTCGGATGATTAGTGAATGCGGGGGAGTTGAATGCGGGGGAGATCATTAATCTCGGTGAATAATACACCGCTGCCACTTGCCGTAGAGTCACGCCGCAAGGTTCATATGAAGCATTATTGAATTGTTACGTACTACTACCATACTGGGACTACAATAACTTAAAGGTGTAAATCATATTCCCATCGTAACATTCAGACCCCAACAAAATTACATCACAAGTAAATATCCAAGCGAAATGTCAGTCGGAAAGCTCCAGTGGCTGAAGCCGGGAAGAGGCGGAGAAGCACTATCTCATGGCGTCTCCTTTGGAATGCCTTGGGCGAAAGGTCAATATCAATCAGGGCAGACTTTTGTAATTGAGGATGATCATCAAGTGTATCCGTTAGACTGTCGAGAAGTTGCATTTTGGCCTGACGGTTCCCTCAAGTGGACAGCACATTCCGTCAGTGGAAACATTGGATACAGTGAGACTTATACCATCAAGGGAGTCGACAGGCCCGAGGAAAAGCCTTTCTTATCTGGTGACAAAATAACAACGAGGCTGGGACTAGAGCTAAAACTCTCAACTGTGGGAAGTTCCAGCTTGTTCGACAGCTTGTCTTGGGAAGGCCGCTGTGTATGTTCAGGCGCAACTATTGTCGCATCGATCAACAAGAAAAACTATTCGACCATTGTTAGAGATGTGCAAGTGGAAAATGAGACCTTTTCAAGGATCCTTGTCAAGATTTCTGGCGTTATAGTCTGCGATGGTGTAGAACACCTTCCGTTTGATGTGAGAGTCTACCTCTACCATGACAGTTCCACTATAAGTATTGGCCACTCCTTCATTCACGACCTGGATGCCGAAGAACCCTTGACATCGTTGGGGCTTCAGTTTCATGTTCCCTTGGGAGAGACTGAGCTTTACAACAAACATGTTCGCCTTGGGGTTTCAGATGGGGGCGTTTTAGGTGAAGAAGTTCAGGGTCTGTCAGGTTTGAGATTTGGACCAACCACTCAAAATAGAATCGATCAAACGGCAGGAAAGCCACTCAATCTGCTTGAGCAAGAATGGGAGAAGACCGATCTTACAAGAGGTCTCGCGTGCATTCCATCATGGGATTCTTATTCTCTCTCTCAATTATCATCAGACGGGTTTACCCTCAAGAAACGGACTAAACCCAGCTGCAGTTGGGTCAAAGTTACTGGAGGCGGCCGAGCCGATGGGACTGCCTACGTGGGCTCAGCCAGACACGGTGGCCTGGCTGTCGGCATGGCCAATTTCTGGGAACGATACCCTACCCAGTTAGACCTGGGCGACTTGACCAAGGATACCGGGACAATTACTGTGTGGCTGTATTCGCCTTTGGCTGAGCCCTTGGATACTGCGCCTTATCATGATGGACTCGGGTTGGACTCCTATACCAAACAGTTGGAAGGACTTGATGTGACATACGAAGACTATGAGCCGGGTTTTGCCACGGCAAACGGAATTGGGAGATCGAACCAGTTTTTTATCAAACCATACTCATCTACACCTTCCAATCAAGAGTTAAGCTCTTTCTCATCGCTAGTGAGAGATGCCCCTCGGTTGATTCCCAACCTAGAATATATGCACTCAAGTGGCGTTTTCCATGGGTGCTGGACCCCCGATTATCGAACCTTGGGCTACTCACCGTCAAATGAGGAGTTGGATATCGAAAAAAATCTGGACACACTGTTTGAATTTTACCATAAACAAGTTGAGCAACAAAGATGGTATGGATTCTGGGATCATGGCGATGTTCAGCATACTTATAATCACTACCGGCATGCATGGAGATATGATGTTGGGGGGTTTGCATGGGATAACTCAGAGCTATCAACCGATCTATGGCTGTGGCTCTACTTTCTTCACACTGGTAGAGCAGACGTTTTCAAAATGGCCCAAGATATGACGCAGCATACTTCCGAGGTAGATGTCTACCACGCCGGAAAATTCAAAGGGTTTGGAACTAGACACGGCGTCCAACACTGGAGCGATAGTTCAAAGCAGCTTCGCATATCACATGTGTTGTTCAAACGCATCTATTTCTTTCTAACAGGCGATGAGCGTACCGGTGATCTCATCGAGGAGCTACAAAGTTGCCAACATGCTATTTTAACACTAGACTCACATCGCAAGGTGCAGCTCAAAGGGGATACACCAGACGGGTTTGCTATGGCAAACATCGGCCTTGATTGTGGACCCTTGGCTGCTTCCTGGCTGACCGCTTGGGAGAGGCGCACAAAGGGTTGGATCCACGCCAAGGAGCTTCTGGTTACCTTGTTGGATGGCATCTCCGGTCTTTCACACGGCATAGGGAACAATGCCATTCTACTGAATCCTGAGACTGGCGAGGTCCGCGAATGCCCTCCTCCGACCCCGGAGTACTCCATCTCGCACTTATCTATGTTATTTGGGTTTCCGGAGATATTCAATGAGTTACTAGACTATGCCAGCCACGACCATGCCTCTACTGTGGCTAACTTCAAGCTCAAAGCATTGCTGCCTTATGCCAGAGCATATAATGGGGGTCATGAGGTCCAGCGACAGGAGTTTGGCTTTGAATTCCCGTCTCATGCGACGTGGAGACAGAGTCACTCTACGCTGACAGCCATAGCCGCAGTGGAACAGAAAAGCGAGAAGCTCGGAAGGGAGGCATGGGAGCAGTTCTTTGGGACGGACGGATACGATCGGACACACGACTGGGGTATCGTGAAGACCTCACCGCCTGAGTATCCCGCAAAGGGTGAGGAGGCTCCTTGGGTCACCACAAACATGTCTGCTCGCTATGGCGTCAGCGCAATCTTCAATTTGGCAAACATTAGAGAGTATCTGAAATGAGCTAAATATGGATTTTAATGGTACTCCAATATTGATAGACGAATTATTTCTAATAAAATTTATGTCTATCAAGGTAGTCTATGTTTTGTCTAACAGTGAATCTGTAACAGAATGCGTACAACGTGCGAGAATATGCTCATGCCACCAAACTTATGTCTACCTTGAGTCCCAGGTATTATTAGGCAGCGATGAATCTCTGAAGCCAACGATCAAGTTCCGCAGTCCACGTCAATTCCGGGTCGTCAATTGCCATGCCAATGCCGTGGGGGCCATTTGGCAACACAAAAAGCTCAAACGACCTCTGATACCGCGCCATGGCAGTTGCAAAAAGCAGCGAGTTCTGCACAGGAACCGCGCCGTCGTTGGCCGTATGAAAGATGAATGTAGGCGGCGTCGTTTTAGAGACACGGTTCTGCGCGGACATATCCTGCACCAGTTCGAGAGAAGCTTTGTCGCCGAGCAGATTTTGTCGCGAGCCGGGGTGGGTAGTCGGATCTTCCATAGAAATCACCGGATACGATAAAACCGCGAAGTCGAGCTCTACCTCAGGCGTCGTGGCGGTTATGGCAGCTAGGTGGCCGCCAGCTGACCATCCCCAAATCCCAAGCTTGCTGACGCGGCCCTCGGCGCGGATCTTCTTCACAGCGTTCAGAGCTTCTTCCATAGGGGCTGGATAGATGGGAGCGGGAATATCGCCATCGGCACAAGTATATGTGAGGACCCAGGCGTCAAATCCACGCTCATTCAACCATTTGGCTGGCAAGGAACCTTCCTTCTCATATGATACGTAGGCGTAGCCGCCCCCTGGGGCTATTAAAACCCCGGTATTGTTCGGGTTGGGAGCTGGAAAAAACTGCAAGCTCATCGTCATTGAGTGTTCATTGTCGGCGAGATGAGTGAGTGTTTGTTTAAATTGCCGCTAGAACTGTTGATGGGGTTGACAGGCTACTTATGGATTTGGTGACTTCTTAGTGTGGCATAACAATGGGGCCTCCTGACTAGCTAGTCCCGCAGGTATGGAGCACCGTCGGCGCAAACAACAAACCCCGGTACATGGATGGCATTGGCTTTTGGTGGCTGGTGGCGCATGACCGACAGTCCGGACTCGAGATCCTCACGAAATCTTCACGAAATCTGCATCGACCGACATTGCTATTAAACGGTTGGTATAAGCGACGAGAATTAAATTGAGTGAACTAGTAGAGAGCGCGACAGAAAATATGTGGCTATGGACGAAACTCAGGGACAGGACCCTGAAAAGGGGAATTAAGCAACCTGTTAACGACCTAGCTAGGGAAAACGCCACGCATCCAGACCCTGCCCTGACCGTCCATTGTAGCACATATCTTCCAGCCCATAACGCCCCCTTATTCTTCCCGGGAAACAGTTTGGTTCGCAAGATCAACCTTGGTCTTGGGGAAGTCCCGCGCACTGACGCCGTTCATGAAGAGAATATCGATCTCAGCGAAGGTCCTGTCCTTCGTCTCAGGCAGGCGGAAGTAACCCCAAATAATGCCAATGCACATGATGCCACCGTAGAAGAAACCAGACTTGGCACCCCAGTTCCACCACGCCTTCTGAGTCGTACGGGGCATAAGCTGGCCATAGATGATGACGTTGACGTTGTAGGTAGCTCTTGCGAGGGAAACACTCTTGGATCGCAGGTAACTTGACGGGATTTCGGTGACGACGGTATAGATGACAGGGCCACAGGTGAAGAAGAAAACGAAGTATTGGAGCAGAAGAAGGGCCCCGATCACGTTGCCGTACGTTACAGGGTTGTTGGTCGGGATACCCAAGAAGCCGATGAGGAAAGTAGTCGCAGTTACGAAGCTGATACCCGACAGGATCAATGTTCGGCGACCAAATCTTGGAGTAAGAAACCATGCAACAACAACTCCTACAATAGCTAAGGAGTATTGGCCGAGTCCGAATTTGAACGCCTGAGAGGTAGGGAGACCGGCTTGTTGGAGGAAGTATACGACGTATGACAGCAGCGGAACGCATAGCTCTTGAATGACATAGGTAAAAACCGTAATCTCAGTTCGTCGACGGTTGACACCCTTGAATAGATCCTTATAAGCACTGGACGTGTTCATCTCGTTCTCGATCTTGATGGTGTAGACAATCATAGATAGGGTATTCGCGATTTCCTCGTCGTCGACATCTTTCTTTCGGAGTTTGCGCAATGCCACTTCGGCATCGGCAACTCGGTTCTGTCGTACGAGCCACCAAGGAGATTCGGGGGCACACAGAATACCAATGGCCAGAGGAATCGGAAGGACCCATTGAAGCGCAAAGGGAATTCGATATGCCCACTGTCCTTCCATCTTGAGGAAGGCAGTGAGTACTCCGGTGCCGAGCAGATAGCCGATACTCCAGCACATAGAGACGAGACTGGTGAGGTAAGGGCGTAGCACATTAGGGCAGACCTCGGAGGCGTATGTCGTGGTAATCACCTGGAAGACTCCCCAGGGGATACCGAGGAGGACACCGGCGCCGAGGTACATGTAGATGCTGCTGGCAAAAAATTGGATGAACACAAAGCAGCACATGAAGAACAGGCAACCCAGCATCACCTTGCGGTAACCGAATCTGTCTGCGAGATAACTGTTCATCGCCAGGCCAATAATCTGGCCAGCGCTAACACCGCCATTTACCCCAGCTTGTATATCAGCCGGAACTTGATAATCACCACTGGCAGTGAGGTTGCCATATCTCTTTTGAAATGCTGGGAAGGCGAAGAACGCGGTGATGAAGGCTTTATCGAAGCCCTCCATGATCAACGCTGACGAAAATAGAGCCGAGAAAAAACACGCCGTGGGATATTTGCGAATGGCCTCCCTCAGCGACATCTTATGCTCCTCACTCGTGGCTTGCTGAGCGCCCTTGAGGACGTCATCTGGGGTAACATATTCCTCTTCGTCTTTGGTTGCCATGTGTACAACAGAGGTAGGGTCGTTCTTGTCTTCCTGGTGGGCAGTCTTCTCGTCCTCGTGGGAAGTCATGGTGGCGATTTACTCGACTGGCGCAATTGGCGCCGGTGGTTTGTAGCTGCGAGAGTTGAAGGTGTATCCAAAAACCTTTTCCGGATGACATGGGACTTTATATCTATCCGGTCAAATGCCCAGCCATATCGCCCCAATTTGCGTGATATTGCCCTGCTGTCGCATGTTTGGCTTGAGTTGGTTGATCCACGGCAGGTCAGGGTACTGGTTGGACGGGACTTGAATTCTGGGGAAGTGGCTGACTTTCGGTGTAGCAATACCCCGATGGACCAAGTTAGATTAATGCCCCATGCGGGGAAGGACCAATTAACCCCGCAATTTCCATAACCTTGTCATGGGGACCGCGGCTCGCGGGACTAGGAACACGGAAAAGAGGAGAGGAAAATAGCGATAATAGGACGATAATAGGATCATACTCGAGTACCGCGAGAACCTCGGGCGTAGTACGTGGCGCGGAATAACTTGGCTATGAGTCTGTGCACATAATAAATTCCAACGAACAAGCCCCAGCCCTATCGACATTCAGCATATTGTTGGTGTCTCGGGTTTTAGATTGTATTGTTCACCGAGATGTTTCTATTGAAATAAGGGCTTGAAATAAATCTCAAAGGACGCTCTAACTGCTCAAAGTACGATATTAAGTCATCTGTCATATTATAGTCTTCTTCGAGTCAGTCCCCACCCATTAGCATCGGCTATACCGTCTCCTACCCCCTACAACCTTGATCCAATCGCTGTATTATAGCCACATGCTACTCCACCCTGCTTCGCTATTCTTCATCACCCCCACTATTTTTACAGCTCCGTTCCCCAGCCCTTAACCTGGGGATCTGCGGGGAAGCTGCAGATTCCACGTGTGTTTGCATTCACTGACTCGGGGAACTGATCAGCGAAGTCACAGTAATGTAGTCCGACTATTTACCCATGCGGCTTATTTCAATATCTTACGGCGCTTAGGGGTTGGTAGGGGTCATGGGACAATGGATATGCTCGCATGACTGAGGCCTGCCAGTGGTTGTTACGGGTGGCAAGGTTGCCTATTTATTTCAGCGCTGTTTGGGTAGCAGCTGTGGAGTTCAGCTATAGGAAAATAGTCGAAATTAAAGTCAAACATCCTCTCGCATTTTTTATTCGTCCAGTTATAGCTAGATATAGGCTTCGGACTTGACGAGTAAAGTTGCAAAGAGGATTATTCTCATGCATTGCAATTTTCCTGCAGAGGGAAATTAAGTTAAGCGCCATTTTGTCCAGGAGATATGCAAGCTGTGGACGGACCTACCAGCATTATTTTCTGTTGACATGCACTACCTCCCATAGTGTTTTAGACTCGCGCTTCGATCTCAGGAATATAATACTTTGCCTTGGTGGGCTGGCTGACGCTGTACTTCATGCTCCGAGGTGGGACTTCCAGTAAACGCTATCGCCACCTGTAAGACCCCCTTTCCAGAATTGGCCGAATCGTCATTTCGCTGGCCACAGTCGTCGAGTATGGCTTTCATTCCACCTCATCATTCATCCAGGGATCATGCAGGAGTCCCGCCGCACTCTCTCTATCCTCTGGTGCCCACTGCAGCATCTTCCGCATGAATTGGAGGAATAGCCCCTTTCTCCGACCCTTGAGATTCTCTTCGCTGCTCTCGAGCGACGAGGCTGAAATATCAGGGGGGTCAAGCAGTTGTCCTACATGGATGTTAGTTACGTACACTTTCACTACAGGCCAAACTCGGGTAAATGGAGCGCGAACCTTGCTTGTCGAAATACCTCCAGCTTTCTTCGCTACGCTGGAGGAATTCTACTGGTGGTGTACCCATGTATTCTACCATCTCGGCAAGATGATAGCGATTTGAGTATTTGCCGCTTGGATCGCGCCCATCAAACATGTGTTTGTCCTGGAACAGGTCCCAGATCTGTTAGGGGTTAGCGCGTGTTTCCCATGATGATGGAGTTAGTGATATACCATCACCCCAACGTTCCAAATATCTACAGGGTAGCCCCAATCCATCTCCAGGATGACCTCAGGAGCACGATATACCCCTAGCTGTATATCTTCATTATTAACTTCATCCCCAAATCTTGCTACTCCAAAGTCGCAGAGAACGGGTGGGCCATATGACTTCGGGAGACCGAGCTTCCGGGAAGCGTAGATGGTGCGATCAAGTCTAATGGCCTTTGCGCTTGGAGAATTGGCTTCAGCGGCTTCAAATGCAGTGAGTATAGATTCATCTTCAATACCCGACAAGATGTTGCTTGCTTTGATGTCTACATGTCTGTCAGAAATCCATTGTCACAAGGCACGAGAATGACCCACCTGTGTGAATCAGATGACAAGAACTGTGAACATAGTCCAAAGCTACAAACAGATGCAGCAGCATAGCGCGAAGTAGCGGCTCTGTAAACCTGTGCCGAGGATTTCGATGCTGAAGCTCAAACATGCTCTGCCACAAAGGGCGATGCACGAGGCATTGATGGTACCCCTGAGGGCCTTGAACGCCAAAAGAGTCTAGCATTGTCCGAACATATTTCCTACCTGGGTGGGAGCTATCAAGCTGCTCGAACTTCTTGTAGATGCTAATCTCACGATTCTCGTCATCTGCTATTTCACCTGTGTAGACCTTCAGAGTAGCATATGAGATTTTCCTGGGGAGGTTAGAGGGCCCAAGACTCAGAGTGATCAATGTACTTGCTGTAAATCTCGTGATAGCCACACAGTAGAGTTGTTACCAAACCCTAGTTTTCCTAGAACCTGGTACCTGGAGTTGAAGACATGGCCAATGTTGACTGGATAATAGTCGGCAGCATTGTAATTTGGCAGTCTCTCTTCCTCAATCTTCTTTATGGGCCTGATTGTGGAAGACAGGCGGGCAATTCGCGGTGTGTTATATGGCAGGTGGGGTAATAACGGATATACCCTCCTGATACCAGCGAATATGGGCATCAGGCCAGCTTACACGTTTGTCTGAAATCGTGGCCAATAAAGATACAGCAGTTAGCGGTTACCATTTGATGTTTAGACCAAGGAATTCTAAGAGAATTGCGATGATAAATAAGTTCATCTGTTACAAATCTCAAGCTTCCGACAAGGCGCAGAGTTGATGGTAGGATGTTGTTCAGGGGAACAGGGACGCGTTGGACATTCCGGGGTACGGGGAACCACAGGCAAAATTGTATGTGATTCTACAGTGACCGTACTCACTCACTTCAGCCCTAGAGCAGGAGAATTCACGCAGCACAGTATATACAGTACGTAGAATAAATAGACAAATTAAAATATTATTTGTAGGCCTCAGGGAATATCCTGTATTCCGGAATATCTTCAACAAATACAATGGCGTTGGGAGTCTCGCTAGATTTCGTAATTTGGGCCATCAATATATTATTAACAAAGTTTTATATTATTTATTAGATGAGTGTTGAACGAAACAACTTTGCATACGCATCCCTCTGAGGATAACCCCCTGTGAGCAGATCTAGTCGCGACGCAAATATTACAGCTCCCCGTGACCAATAGGAGGACCTCCTCTATCATTGACATTGATTCGTTGGACATCTAGAAATATTTCCTTGCTAGGGAATATATTTCCATTCGCGAGTTCTTTGAGAACCACGTCGAACTTCACTCCAGCTGAGTACACAATTCCAACCTTGATTTAAGTTAGCAGTTTGTGCGAGAAAACCCAATAAAGACTTACTATTATCGCAGAAATGATGAATAACGCTCCCAGCATAATAAGAATGAGGTAGGGGATATCCGTCTTCGACTTGTCATCAATGGCCTCAGATTTGTCGATCACTACTCCTCTATTATTGGCCAGTTGAACACGAGACTTCGGATCTTTCGAAGAATAGATCGATTCAATGTAATTCTCAACTTTGCCACAAGCAATACTGATATTGAGGTAGTTCGGATCCTTCGGATTGTTCTTCTTTTGTATGCGCCGAACGTATCTCTTGAAGACCCCACAGACTCTCCTCAGATCTTGTGACGAGTCCATCAGCAATTGTGCTGCATCACCCTTCGTGATCTTCACATTGGTCTCAAAGACCCGCGGATTCTGGAAAACAAGCTCGAGTGTAGCAATAGCCATTGTCTGTGGAATACCCACGAAGTTGAAAACGCCCTGTTCCTTTATCGCCTCCATGTAGGTGAGGCAACCCTCCGCGTGTTGCAGAGCATTTAGAACCATCTCCGAGCTGCAATTAACAGCTACTTCGCGGTATCTGGGGTCAAAGAGGTCTTCAAAGTTCTCCACGTGCTTTGACCAAATTTCCCTGGGCCAGAATCGCCTTTTGTCATCAAAGTCCTCGCGGACGTCACGAATAACGTTTGTCTTCTGGAGGAACTGAGACATTGCCTCCGAGAGCTCAGGCTGATTCTTCAACGCAGGGCTTGCGAAGCCGTCCTGCAAGAAGAATCTCGTAAGCCCGTCCCCAACGAGCCCTGCGACATAATGACAGTATAGCTCGTATTCCTCGACCGTGTTGACGCTATTAGCGTTGTTCTCTGCCAATCTGGCATAATCGGCCATGCCATTCCCCATCTGGTTTGTGATGTCTTTTATGATATCCCTGTATTTCGGGTCAATGAGCCTGAGCTCCGTGATCACGTCGTCGAAATGCACCAATAGCTCTCGATCCTTCTCATTGGGGCCACTCTTGTTGAAATTCCAGCCATCTTTATCGAGGACCGTTTCAAAGTTGCGCAGCAATGGCTCCTTCTCCTCGAGAGATATTGTCATATCATCCTCAATAGTATCCAGGCCCCGCAGCACCAAATAGAACAAGGCCACTGGAACGACCAAGTCAGGGTGGAGTTCTTGGACGACCATGACGAAACTCCGACTTGTCAGCTTGAGCCATTTGAAACAATCTTTGAGCGTCGCTGACTCCTTGGAGGGATCTCGAGTGTAAGCTGGTTTATGTAGCAACTTCCTGTAGATATTTTAGCTGTTGTGCCTGCCTATAGATCGCCTTGGGGTATCTACCACTGTATGATGGGTCTTAACTGGGTAGGATGCACCGAAAAGTACAGAAACTGGCTTAATATTCCCATATCGACAATTTCAAACTTAGTCCCAATGAGAGATGGTTCTTGAGAGACCACTGTAAGCCGCGATGACGATGATAATGGTGATTTTAGGGAAGGCGCGATTAACGTAACTTCCTAAGAAGGAAATATCGAATTGGAGTGCATGAAGGAGAGAATGTCTCGCGGCTGGGGATATCAAGGCTATGCCCCATTTTCTTAATCCGCATCTAATCCTCACGGGTTTGCATTCCCCGTGATAAGTCCGCGATAATAATGATGATCACGGATTTATCACGGAGAGTATGCGGGGAATATGCGGGGTTAACCTCTTAAAATATCTTACACTAGTTACTTACTAAAGCACCCTAAAATAGTGAGTGCCACAACTCTAAATAAGCTATGCACGCCAAATGTCAAAAATTCAGTAATACGGCCGAATATCCCAACGAAAACCTCATGAATGCCTACACTGTAGTATCACAGTACCTTGTATTCAGCCCCGTCATGACATACTCAAAGCGTGTTTGTCTACCATGTAGCTTTCCTGGCGTGTCAGTTTACCCATAATTGGTTATAACAGGAAGCTACGATTGAACGCTTGCTTAATAATCGTTCTTTCCATATATAGGAACTAAAACTCTTAGGGAAACTGCGACCAAGGCTTGCTTGATAATCATACCTTCCGTATATATATAACTTAACAGTAAGGGAAGCTGCGATTAAGGCTCTGCTTGATAATCATACCTTCCATATATATAACTTTGTAAACCCCAAGGAAACCGCAAATGAGGCTTGCTTGGCCATCGTTCTTTCCATATATACGACCTTATGATCTTAGTATATTCTTTCAATCAACATTATATGCGTACTGTAGCTCCGTCTTGTTTCCATCTACAGATTCTAATATGCCAACATCATATTACCTGTTGTAGCACTAGTCATTAAAGAGCCTCCTCCATCACAGCGTCAGCTGATAATTCTCCGTGACCCATCCTTCCTCATCATCCTGAGCTACACCAGGTTGTATCTCACCCTCCCCACCATTCCACAGCTTCCTCGTCAGCGTCACAGTGATATGCTGCTGATCCTCACTAATCTGCACAAAAGTATTTCCAATTCTCACCTGTCCCGGCAGCTCATCCGCCTCCACAGGTTCCCGGACCGCCACCGCTTTTTTCTTCTTCCCACTACTCGAACGCGTCGAGGTGCCGAGATACGATCTCGGCTCGTTTCCCACATCACCGTCCACGTCATCATATATTTTTACAGCGCCGCTCCCTAAAATACCTACCTCCTCCATCTTTACTACCTGCGACGCGATCTTATGCGCCAACGCACTATCCCAGAACCCCTCGCGATGCCGCCACGAATCTAGTGCATTTAGTGCGGCATGTCGAGTCGGCGAGTCGCGGCATTTGATAGCCACGAAGTATAGCGGGAGTACGACTCCCCAATCCGTCAGGAAAGTCGGCATGCGCTCTTTCGTGATAATCTTCCGTCCCGGTGTCTCCGGACTGGACGTAGGAGTAGAGAAATCGGAAATCAGAGACTCAGCAAGCGCGACGATGTCTTTGAAACCCGCGAGGTGTTGGTCAAACAGAATATTAGAGTTTGGAGCGAGGCAGGCGGCAAGATGGATAGAAGATGCGATGAGGTGCGCGCGGAGCATCATGGCTCCGCGTCTGTCTTTTGGGGATAACTCGGCTTGTGAATTCGCGAGTTTGAAGAGGGCGTTTAGATATACATGGTGCAAGTCGGTGAGCTCGGCCTGCCGCGCTACTAGTTGCTGATCGTTCTGAGCTCGCTCTTGGGGAGTCTGTTCCACGCAGGAGGCGATGAAGTGGAAGTTTTTGCTCATGAGGATGTCACATTGGTCTTTTGCTTCGGAGATGCTCGTAAATGGGGGCAGGCTGGAGCCTCCTGGTGTGGTTCTATCGGCCTCATCGAGGACTAGACGTGGACGTGGTGTCGGTTCGCCGAAATGTGCGGCTTGGAGGTCAAGCTTTTGAAAGGCTTTTAGTATTTCATCCTCTAGTTCGTCGTTATTCCCTGAACTTGCGGCCTTTCCACCTTCCAAGATCTGTAGTCCGCTTCGGAGATGCGTCAGGCTCTCCTCATAGCGTCCTCGTAGAAGCTCGATATGTATGAACACCAAGCACGTGACCAGCGTAGTTAGTCTTGCATTCTCTGCACCTGCACACATCCCCTCGCTCAAATAATGAATAGCAAGATTGTAATGTCGCGCTGCAAACCGGTGCCTCACATCCCCTGCGCGATCTTTGGAAATAGGCATACCATACGTCTCCTCCGCCTCCTGGAGCGAACTCAACGCCACCGCGGCATGTCGCAGCGCTTTCTCCGACTGGCTCAGCTGCAGGATGGTGAACTCCCAGAGATCCGAGTCGAAGAGCCACGCTAAATCGCGCACAGTGCGCGAAGCAAAGAAATCAAACGACCGGCGCTCGAGAATGGTAGCATCGACGAGAGGCAGGACGCGACGCCGCTCGATTGAAGTTTCTTGGACGACCGGCGGCGACTCCGGTGCGAACCACTCGCAGGTCCGTCCCGTTGACGCGCATTTCCCGCACGCGGGATGTCTCTCATCGCATTTAACTTTGCGGATCCTGTATCCATTTATTAGAATTAGAGTTTACGGGGAGACGTAGTGGGGCTAGCGATGGTACCCACCTACAGGTGCGACAGCCCGACTTTGATCGCAGGATCCTTGCACGTGGCCTCTTCTTCGTATCGGCCGCGGACATCAGAGGCGCGCGGCTGGGTTAAGGTGTACTCTTGGCTGTCATCCGTACTCGACGGCGACGGAATAATTTGCGGGTGGTTCTGTATTGTATTATGTCCACGAGATGCAAGCTGGAAAGGGGTCGTGGCGCAGTGGCAGAACGCAGGGGGTGGGGGAACCCAGTCAAGCGAAAGCAAGGCTGATTTTACAACAAGTCGAACGAATTGAATAAACTGAAAGCGCACAAATATGTTGTTTGCCTTGGTGTAGGAACAATATTTTCTTCTTATACAATGGCGGTTCAGGGTATCGAATAGGGGATATATTGTCCCTGGACTGTCAGCATCGTTGAGTACGCACCGAGGTGACGTTCACGGCTATTTTTAGACGATGAAGAATTGGCGTCCAACGGTGGCTGTACGCACCCCCTTAGCCGAGCAACAAAATGGTACGTACCGCTATTCCCACACCCTCGCCTATAAAATGAAAACGAAGGAAATTGTATAGGATTAAGTAAGATATTATTTACTTCTTTGCTCATTTATTATCCACTGTATACACTTTATTCTACCTAACTTTACCTCTGGAGCTAAATCTTAAATTTGGAGTATTATGAATTGAGTGAATCAAAGAGATTTATGCCAAGTATCAGTAGCGCTTGATGGCAAAGGATATAAATCCAAATGTTCTCTTCTCCCATCCGCTTTGTACTGCAGGCTTACTATATCATAGACGAAAGCAAAAGTACATGATACGCAACAGTGACGCGGCATGTGATTTGAATAAATATGCCCAATTATGGCTATGTTTCCGACATGCTTCTCCAACATGCAGTCAGACGTGAGGTTTCTCATCGTGGCTTACTACTCGTCCTGTCAGATAATGCGTCACCTGTGTTATGGGTGTACGCCTGGCTTACAGTCGGCTTAGTTGGATGTCTATGGTATAACGGAAGTCTGATAATCCTACTTAAAATCTAGACCTCGTTGATATATTATCGAACACAGTACGTCTCCGTCCGGAGATATAATAGATGCCAAGTATGAGCTGAGCTACCCTGGCGACCCTGGCGATCCTACCGGTTAAATTGTCTGTCGCTATCAACAACCAGGATGCGACAACAAACAAAGACAAGAAATCGCAAACGAGGCTCTTGAATCATTAGTAAAGTACAGTGAACTTATCCTGTGCATGTGATAAACTATTCAGTACGCAAGGAATCCGATATTTGTGCCACAGCATACTCTTGACCAGCGAGTGTTTACCGATTATACGTCGCTACCGGGTTGTGCCTGCCTCGTTGTAGCCTTGTCGTGGAACAAACGTGTGTTCTCGATCAAGACTCTTGACTTGCACAACACCCGAGGGTAAAACCCCAGTTTCGACTCTTTTACACAATCAACATAGACAAAGTCAGCAAGTTGCTGTCTACTGTTATTACGAGCGTCAGAAAAATACCCAAGAGACAGCCCCGAGAACGCTGCAATTTCGAGCTCTGAGTTGACTGGAAAGAGCGAACTAAATCTGCAATCATGGACAACAAAGAAGAAGGCGCTGTTTCGGGCGCTGAGGTAGTCAACCAGGTTGAAGCCAACGAGCCACTTCGCATTGAAATCTCCTCGACCACCAAGGAAGAGGGCACCCAAGAAGAAGCCGACGATATCACCCCCACCGCCACACGCAAAACCGCAAGCACCGCGCCCTCACTCATCACAGTCCCCTCCCTGATCAACGGCATCGAAGAAACCAGCACCTCCATCTTCCCTGTGATAAGTCCCTACACCAACACTCCCTGCTGGAATGCAACCGCCGCGACCCCCTCGGACGCCTTGCGTGCTGTCGAAGCAGCTTCAGCTGCCTTCCCAGCCTGGTCGGCTACCAAGCCCACCGTGCGTCGCGACATTCTGCTCCGCACGGCTGATATTCTTGAGAGTCGTCTCGAGGAGATTTCGGAAATCATGCGCACGGAGATGGGTGCTGATGTGGGGACATCGCAGTTCTTCATTGCGCCGTTTGGTATCCGTATGCTGCGCGATCTCGCAGGACGCATCACGTCAATCTGTGGCAGTGTGCCAGTTGTTGAAGAGGAGGGCCAGAGCGCCATTGTTCATAAGGAACCGATGGGTGTTATTCTTGGGATTGTGCCTTGGTATGTCCTCGCATTTAAATACTGCTATTAAGAAGTAATTGCTGATCAAACAGGAATGCACCGTATGTCTTTGGGATCCGTGCCGCAGCTGGAGCACTTGCGGGGGGTAATACCACCATCCTCAAGTCCTCTGATCTTACCCCTCGCTGTTACTGGGCTATCGGCCGTGCATTTACCGACGCAGGCCTGCCACCGGGATGCCTCAATATCCTTAGTTGTCGACCAGAAGATGCCCCCAGCGTCGTAAACACTATGATTGAGCACCCAGCAGTCCGCAAGATAAACTTCACAGGCAGCACAGCTACTGGCCGCAAAATTGCGAGAACTTGCGGAGAGAACCTCAAGCCCTGCCTGATGGAGCTTGGAGGCAAGAATAGCGCGATCGTATGTGAAGATGCGAATATTGAGGTGGCCGTGAGAGAAGTACTGGCAGGGACTCTCATCAATGTATGACCCTAATAACATCCATATATTTAATTTACTAACAATGGAGTAGTCTGGACAGATCTGCATGTCAACTGATCGAATTCTAGTCCACTCCACCATCGCGCCAACGTTTATCAGCGCAATTAAAGGTGCCCTCAATGCAAGCGCTAACCAGTCCTTCGAGCCACCAACACTTGTATCCACTGCGTCAAAGATTCGCGTTCAAGGGCTGATCACGGACGCTCTTGCCTCAGGAGCCCATCTTATCCATGGCTCCGTCGACAACGATAGCTCCCCATCCACCAGCGCCACGTCGGTTCGCATGGCGCCAATCTTCATCGGTGACGTCGATGAAAAGTCAGCTCTTTGGCAAGACGAGGCCTTTGCATCCCTCGCCGCCATCAGGGTTGTTGATTCCGATGCCGAGGCTGTTAGGATCGCGAACCAGGGCGGCTACGGTCTCTCAGCCGCTATCTTCACCGAAGATCTACGCAAGGGATTCAAGCTGGCAAAGCAGATCGAGTCTGGGTAAGTCACCCCCACATTCTTCGTTGTATTGGGATTGGAGCAAGGGGCGGCATCGATACTGACTGTGTCTTACAGGGCTGTGCATATCAACAGCATGACCGTTCATGACGAGGTTGTGCTTCCATTTGGCGGGGTCAAGAATAGCGGATGGGGACGCTTCAATGAGAAACAAGGGATTGAAGAGTTCCTTGTTACAAAGACTGTGACGTGGAAGGATTAAGTAGTCGTGGATGTGAGTCGCTGATACTACAAACGCATTATTGTACCTGTGTGGGAAAGGTACATCGGTATATCGGCTCCCCACATTGCGATCTTTACAAGGTGCTAGTTTAGTTCGTGCGGGAACGGGAGCGCTATGATAGCGCCCGGTCCCTGAAATGTCTCATTTTAGTGCAATTGAGGATCATCAAATATTATTCTGGTAATGCATCTTGATTTCTAATGCAGTTATGTGAGTGTAAGAACCCAGCTAGTTACAAATGAGTTACCCTTCGGCAATGCAGTAATGTTCTGTCTTGAGTACATGGCTATAGACTCTAGTCTAGCCAGCCCTTTATACCCCGTAGTTTCCCTTACTTACACCCTATCCGGGACCACTGAAACAACAAATCAGCAGCTTCGCATCCTAACAGCGTGGAGATCTCTCTCCACATCCGCCATACGAATGATACGTGGCTGCTCAATGATCTTCTGTCCATCCTCCGTGGCAGCAATCGTGGTGCTAATACGGTTCGTGTACTTCCTGACCTCGTGTCCCTTGAACAGGACAATCATCATCAGTCCATCCACCAACAGCACAAAGATAGCACCCATACCCCACATCCATCCCACCCCAACAGCGCCCTGCCACTTCATGATGATAAACACTGACATCAGCCCAAACGCAATACGGTACGAGTTCAGCGCCACGGAAGCCTCGACAGGAGTCTGCACGAAGCACTCAACGATGTAATTGTAGCAAACCGGCAGCGCCAACAGAGCCGCGAACCAGATCAAAAAACTCGCGAGCGCCAAAACCATGTAATGGAGGTGAAACTGCAATCCCACGCCATAGATGGCAAGGCCGATCGGGAGCAGGAAACCGGGAATGATCGTGTTGGCTAGGCGGTATTCCGGGCGCCAGATTCCGCCGACGCGGCGAGCGACGGCGAGGGGGATGCGGTCATTGGACAAGTAACCGTAGAGCTGGGCGGTGATGATGCCAGCCCACGCGGTCATGGTGAAGAATGCCAGTTGGAGTGCTGAGAAGCCGTAACCGCCGGCAGAGACAGGGGCCATCATGTATATTGCGAGGGTGGAGGCTTGCATAATTGGGAGGCCGAGGGCGACGAAGACAAAGGTTCCGATGAGGATGGTGATTGGAGTTATTGTGATTTGGAGGGGGACAATGAAGCGGCGCTTTGGGGGGGGATTGTTAGCTTGATTGTTTTGGGAATTGTAGTGTATTGAGAGGGGATCTTACAAAGACAGCTGCGCGCTTATCAAGGGTACCGGCCTGAGTCTTGACACCAGGGAAGAAGGTTGCAACGCGGTTGGCGAACCAAGCCTTTGGAAGTGGAGGGCGCTGAACGGCATTCGGACCACGAGTGAAAGTGGTATCCTCAACGAAGACAAAGACAAGGATGGCAGCAGCACTGACAGGTCCGACAGTCCACCAGAACACGCCGCTCCATGGTCCATACTGAGCAATGAAGCCACCGAGGGTACCTCCACCTACGACAGCGAAAATGATGAGCACCTCAAAGATCGCAAAAGCCTTTCCGCGCTGGTGAAGGAAGAACATGTCCATGATGTAGCCGGTGCCGAGGATAGCGGGGATGACGCCAAATACGCCGCAGAAAGCACGGGAGATAGCGAATGGGATGAAATCATTGGGACCGGTCATCTTAGCAGCCCAGATCTGGCAAGCCAAGGTCCCAATCAAACTCCAGAAGATTACAGAGCTGCGACCGACAAGGGCAGCCAAGGGGACCAGGATGAAGGGGCCCAGCATCCAGCCAGCGAGAGCGGCTGCGACGGTGTTGAGCATATCGGCCTGAGTCCTGCCAACATAGTTGGGGATTTGCAGGACGAAAGTCAGTTGGTTAGAGTTGGGTGACATCTGGCCGGCAAAGCCGGCGAAGCAGATGCATGCGAAGATGATGAGCTTCTTGGTGATGCTCCAGTTCTGTAGATCGAAGGTTAGAATTCACATCCGCTGGTCCGTAGTGTGTTTCAAATGACAGATCGATCTAGGACTTACCAATGGGTCGGCGGCATCATCACTTGGTTGCGGGATGAGGATAACAGGAACGTCGTTCTCCCTAGTCATCGTCGTCTTGGGGGCAGCAGCGGCCATGCCCGACGGGGTGACGGTGGGGGTCAAAGTAGGGGTGACCGTGGATGACTTGAGGAAAATACCCTCAGACCCAGAAGTCGCAGCTGACGGGGGTACAGACATGATTGTCGTACTTGATGAACGAATACGGCTGAGGTTGTGGGATCGACAGGAAGCTGGAGGGGGACAAGATGTAGGCAGGAGAACGAGAGATGTGGAATGCGAGATGCAGAATGCGAGAAGCAAACTGCAAAAAGGTGAAGCTGAAAGGTGGAGTTTTGAATTGAAGTGTAAAAGAGGAACGGAATTGAAAGTTTAAAGTTTTAGAAGAAGGGGGTTGTGAGTGGTGGTGTTGGGGGTTGTAAACATGTTAGTCCTTCTCACTTACGCGTTCCCCCCCTTGTTGTTCAAGGCCGCCACAGTTTTAACATTTTAGTAACTACAATTTGGAAGAGGGAGACGCTCAATTTCTACTTTCCTCGGCTTTTACTGTACCGTTAGTGATTAATATGTGTTGCACGAGGATATCAGACTTATTCAGCCTGGCGCTCTCTATGGTCTGCACGGTTTCTGTACCTGGAAGATTAAAATCAAGAGTGATGGTGTGCAGCGATATATATTAGGGTCTTCAAGTAGGAGCGACTCCATCTTGCCATAGAACATATACACCCATATATTTATTGCGCTGCCAAGGTTTGTATAATTGATGGCCTTTGACTTGGTCGGGTGTCGTAAGTTCATATTCGACCCGGAGACATAGAAAGGGAATACAAAGGATGATCCTCGTGCACTCACACCGATGAGAATATCGTCAATCACTTCACGCTACCTTGCATTTGTCGGGTTACCCTGCTTACTTTATACACAAAAAAATACATCGATATGCAAGAAGACGCAATCAAAATGCAGGAAAACCCCGGAAAGCCTTACCGCCGTGTGCGACTCCAGAATCGGTATGACCATACTTTGTTGGGCGGCGCTGACATGCTGCAGCCAACCACATCAAGCATCGGCTTATACTGGAAATGCCAAACGAGGGCTGAGATGTCGTGTCTACAACAAACCAACTCCCTTGCGTCCCACGTCAAACAATGCCGTGCCCCATCGTATCGGCTGCACGTCGATACTCGATGATCCTCCCGACCCATGGGCGAGTAATCCAGCTCTCCCCATCTACAGCAAATCCGCCCGCCTCCACCATTCCTCGCTGCCGCTGCACGCATATATGACAATCCTTACTGCCGGTTCTCTCCAGAGCCCTGGCGCCACCTTTCAGCCATCAATCCTCTAGCTGTTTGAGAGTTCTCTCCAGTTGCCACCACCATGGCGATCAGCGAGAGGGAATGGAAGATGATCATTATTGTCTCGGTGCTGGTCGGTCTCGCCACCATTTCTGCTATCTTGCGCCTATTCGCCAGGTACAAGCTTCGCGTCAGGATTGAGGCGGACGACTATCTGTGCTTTACGGCTCTGTTTCTATTATATGGCATGCTAATACAATTAATTCTTTGTGGGTGTGCATTCCTTCCAATTGCGGAACACTGAAGCTAATTCTTTGTTGAAAAAGGGGTTGCCATTGGCGGAAATGGCACTCATATAAAATATCTCTCTCCCGAAACACTATTAACTTTTGGCAAGGTACGTCTCCGTTTCCTACAAGGCTTATAGCAGTGCACTAACCGGCTCAGATCTTCATCGCCAACCAATTCACGTACTTTGCTCTGGTCCCCATCCTCAAAATCTCATTCATCAGCTTCTATCGCCGCATCTTCTTTACTTCCCATCGCTTCAACGTGATCTCCTGCACTTTCATCTGGATCATCGGTATTTGGGGCGCTGGCATATTCCTCATCTGCGCTTTACAGTGTCGGCCGCTTCGGGGTTACTGGGATAAGAGCATCGAGGCGCATTGCATCAACGGAAATGTTTTCTTCATTGTTAATCAGGGCTTCAATGTAGTTATGGATTTTGTCATCCTGGCGCTACCGCTGCCGATTATCTTTAACCTGAAGAGGGCATGGCAGGATAAGTTGGCGCTGACCGGAATATTCGCTCTTGGGGGATTGTGAGTATTTTCCAAGACCGATGAGATGAAGGAAGAAACTGATTATTGGCATAGCGTTTGCTTCGCGAGCATTTACCGCATTGTTGTTTTGTTCTATATTGACCCGGCAGACCCAACCCGTAAGTTATTGCCGCTGGGGAGATACCCTCAATATTCCACTAGCTAACCGTCATAAACTCCAGATACTGTCTACCGGGCCACCCTATGGACACATATAGAGCCCTCAGTTGGCCTTATTTGTTCCTGTCTCCCCACGATCCGTGGACTCTTTCCTGCCTACCGTTGGCACTCGCGGAGCTCTCCCTATCCGCCGGATCACCACGACTATATTAATTCTTCTTCGAATAGAGGAGCGGAGCACCTCGTACCCAGCGACCTGTCAAAGAACTCAGTCTACATCATGATGGAGGATGGGTTGGTGAAGCCAGAGCAGGATCACGGGTGGGTCGAGGACCGGCATGATATTGAGGAGAATGAGGGAAGGCGCGAGGGAGGGATTGTACGGAGGACAGATACACAAGTTGTCCAGGGATTGGTATAGGTCTTGTTTATGAAGGAAGCCTTGTTCCATAGTTTATACCTTAAATGATGATATTGTAGAATAGTTAATGAAGAAGTAGACGAGGAACGAACCATATACAAATGGCTCGATTATCACGTGGGTGGTACATCTACACGCGCCATGTTTGATCAGCTCCCAACTGTGGTCAAACATAATATACACTACTCGGTATTAAACTACCCAAGGATAAATTTCCTGCAGAGAATAACATATATTTACTTATTGCACGATACGGTCTCACGGCTATCACATCTAGGAGATGGCCTCGCTTGACTCGTCATCCGGTCCCACCTTCCCACTTCTCGCTCTCCCCGGCGAAATTCAAAACGCAATCCTCGCTGGCCTTGATTTCCTGGACCTGTACACTCTTCGCCTAACCAACCGCTACTTCTACTCCTTAATCCCTCCGATGTCAATCGAAAGGCTTCTGCAAATCGAAGAAGAGTTTATGCCTGACTGGTATTTGGCCTGCGTCGAATGCAAAAGACTTCGTCCTGTTACCAAATTTATACCTGGCACGTTGGGCTTGTTCAAGGGGTCCATCGAGCCTACCGTATGTATACAGCGTTGTGAAGAATGCGTGCGTCAACATTTGAACGAACTGGACCCGTGCTGGATGCAGTATAACGTTCCTATTGTATGGTGCGTAAAGTGTAAAAGGGCTATTCAGGCGCGGATTGATATCCAGGTACAACACACTCTATCATGTCAGCCGCAAGATTCGAAGAGCAATAAATTATCCTAGAAATGGAAGACGACACAGAAGATACGAAGAAGCAAGATTGCTAAATTTACCTAAGGGCGAAAGAAAGTACAGATAATACTGAGAAGCAAGAGGATGAATAGCGGCTGAAGGTTAAGAGAAGGCTAGAATGGCGTGACCACGGCAACTACATATATTATTTTGGTATGGACGAAGCAAATGAGGAGAGCTATGTATGAGTCTAATATTTTTGAAGGGGAGGATCCGATTTGGGCTCGACCCATGCAGGGTATACGCAGCAGCAACATCGGATGAATGCTGTTATGAGTCCTCCACTCCAATTACTATGTATGTTTTATATTCAGTTGGCGTCTGGTTCATTAATTATAGTCCCATGACTCCAACCTCGGTCTACCTCTATCTAATTCTGTTCCTTCTTCAGAAATTCAACATACTGCCCAATGAGATCGCGCATAGTCTTCTCAAATGGGACACACTTCCACCCAAATGCCTTCTCCGTAGTTGACACATTCAACCTCCACTTTCTAGTTGGCATCGAGCCCCCCAACTTCAAAAGCCCGCTCTCTACTTCATCCGGAAAGTACTTCCTCGCAATATCAGTCATGGAGTCCCACTCAATCCCCTCCTCTCCATCAGACGACAGGACATAATCCGCATTCCCTGGCACACTGGGCTTGATGGCATCCACGTGCGCCCTGGCCACGTCGTCAACATGCACTGGCGTGCCAACGAGTGGCATATCTAGCTTTGCTCCTTGCAGGACTGGTACGAGCATTGCCCGGGTACCGACAAGGAGGGTAGAGTTGCCTGTGGCGAGGTCCTCTGGTCCGAGGACCACAGATGGGAGGAGTCCGACGATGTCGAAATGTGGTTTCCTCTCCTCGATGAACTTATTAGTTGACAAGCGCGCAAAGGCTTTTGAGGCCCAGTACGCTTCCATTGCGCTGTGGAAGGGTCTTGTTGGGTTGGAGTTAATGTCCCTTTCTGTGGTTTAGTGTGATTAGTATGGTATCCATTGGGTAATTGAGGTCAGTGGAGGCTCACCTGTGAAGACTGTCTCGGTGTCTGAAGTTCCGAGCCATTCCATGGGGATGAGAGAGACGGCAGATGATGTGACGACTATCCTTCTCAGAGTGGTGATGTGGATTGCTGCCTCCAGGACAGCCATGAGGAGATCTCGCGCTGGTTTGACAATATCTCGCTCGTAGTCATCCGTCTACAGATTCCCGTTAGTCTAAGATTTCCGACATGATTGTGGTAACCATATAATCATACCTCTTTCGCAAGCGGCGAAGCCAAATGCACTATTGCTTTCGCGCCATCGAAAACCCCAGCGAATGCATCCTTTGCAACCAAGTCTGGCACCACGACAAAGCTCAAGTTTTCGGCATTCGTGACTTTGGGATGGTTTTTAAGCTTCTCTATCTGCTCTTCTCTGCGGACAATGGCGCGGACTTGGTAGCCTTGGGCAAGGGCCATATACATCGTCTTGAACCCGATGTATCCAGAGACACCGGTAATCTTTAACGCAATTGTGTCAACAAAGCGACCAAGAAAAATAAGAGGGCATGAGACTCACCACTATAAGATCTCCTGCCATTGTGTCGGTTGAATGTCTAAATTATATAGTCTTTTCTGAATAATCAAGCTGTATTAGTCGAGAGGTGTGAAAGATGATTGATGCCTCATTACCCCGCGAGGGGCAATGGCATTTATAAACATTTCTTTATCACCGAAACTACTTTATCGCCGAAGCTAAAGCTCCTCTTCATGCATGGACCTGACAGCTCCGATCGAAAATAGAAATAATAAGAGTAGTCCAAGTAGTCATCACCACAGTCATCACACTTGTCCTAATTAGGAATGGACCGGTTTGCGTAACGAATGTGTCAGCCATTCACAGGGCAGCTAGCAGATCACCACTAAACCGGAACTCCGGCACAGATGGGGATAAGGTTGCTGCCGACGGGGAACACTATTGGTAGGTCCAATCACCGAACAACCAAACAATCCGTCAATACTGGTACTCTACGAGATAATCGTCACTACAGCTTACGAATTTGTTTGTTAGAAAGCACGTCGTATGAAATAATGAACAAATTCTCCTCCAGAAACTCCACGAGTAAGTTATATAAAGATAAGTGTCAAGCCGTTGTATTCGTTCTCACATATCCATCCTCTCACAATCAGTCTGCCTCCGTTGTCTTACTTTAAATCACTTCTTGTCTCTGTCATTCCTTGTTCTGATCATTCCTCAAACTCTCCTCAACCATGTCTTCCACAACAAGAGAATACGATATCGTGGTGTTGGGAGCCAGCGGTTATACTGCCTCAATCGGCGCCGAATACATTACGAAGAACTCTCGCACTGACTTGAGATGGGCCATTGCTGGCAGAAGTCGTGGGAAGCTAGAGGATTTGGCCGAGAAGCTAAAGGCTATCAATCCTGATCGCATTCAACCAGGTACGCCTGATCACCCCAAGAATAACTCTTCCTATGCTGAATTATAACTTCCCAGGCATCATTGTTGTAACAATGGAACAGCCAAGCCTTAACGAGATGGCAGCAAGAAGCACTCTGGTCATAAACGGCATTGGCCCCTATCATCTCTATTCGACCCCGGTCGTGGAAGCATGTGCGACGATGGGCACGCATTACGTTGGTTTGTGAGTCGAAGCCCCCAGATATCTCAGGCAAATAGTTTGCTTTAAGCTAATATTTCCACCAGCTCATTGGAAACTCCGTGGGTTGAAGAGATGATCTCGAAGTACCACAAAACTGCAACTGAAAATGGGGCAATTGTATAAAATTCGAACTAGATTCTGACGACGGACGGGTTGCTAACGTGATTTTAAAAGATTATCCCAACCATCGCGCTCTGTCCTTCGGATGTCGTCTCGTTTCTAGTTGCTAAGACTATTCATGATCGCTATGGGGGTATCGGCACGGGCGAGGTCAACAGCACAGCCAAGCTCGAGTACGCATTCTTCACCCCCATTCAATTGTTTTGGTAACTAATAAAATTGAAGTATTCAGGGAATGAGCGGAGGTTCTTTAAATACTGTGCTGAGTCTCATCCAGTCCTACGGTATCGGATGGATTCTCGTCGGAAACCCATGGAGCCTATCCGCCACTTCTACGCGCCGGAAGCCAAACCGCACCCCTCTCCTCTCTCGCATCTTCGGCTACAGATCGATTCCAGGCTTTGGCGATGTGACTACCTCTTTCCTCGCTATCTGCAACGAATCGATTGCCCACCGCAGCTCCAGCCTCATGCCCAAAATCTACGGCCCAGACTTCAACTTCCACGAGTACCTCCCCACAACAGGCCCCTTCGCCGGCATAGTCGCGCATTTAATCCTACGACTAGTCATGCTCATTGTCTCCTTTCCTCCTTTGCAATGGCTCGCAGCAAAATACCTCATCCCAGCGTCAGGAACCGGCCCGGACCTTGCTATCGCGGCGACTGCGGAGCGCCAGGAGTTCGTCGCCATTGGCGCCTCGCTGAAATCGAAGGGGGAGCAGGTAAGTGCGCGGTACGTATATGAGGGATCTCTATACTACTGCAGCGCACTTATGGGGGTGGAGGCAGCTTTGTCTATTCTGGGAGAGAAGACGTATGCCCATGATATTGGTGGTGGAATTTTGACTCCTGCTACTTTGGGGATGCCTTTCGTCGAGAGGCTTCGCAATGCCGGGATTAAGATTGAGGTCGATGCTTGAGATTTTTTCTTTGTGGTATTTTCATAGATTAGATTTGTATTATTATTATTAGTGATTTTTATTGGAGTTACAAAGTGGATTGGGAAATTAGAATGGGATTATTATTTATAAATTTATTTTTCATGATATAACTCGGTGACTCAGAATATAAAGTTAGGCTTTCATCAAGAAATATGTCAGAAAGCCTATATTGCTTGATTTGTAACTTGGCAGTGCTGACAAACTACTCAAATATGCTAAATTAGCTATCTTAGTAGCAGGACCCGGAGATGCTCGCAGTAACGTATGCACTCAAGGCGCTTCCTCCACACTTCAAGCCCTTAACGAATTGCCCTGCAACAGACTCGGCACCCGCTGGGCTGGTGTGCGTGTGGTCAACGGGGTAAAATGCGTTAACCTTGGTTGCGCCAAGTGCCTTATACTCGTTTGCAACGTACAGACCGTGGTCGACGAAGGCAGCCAGGCTTCCCAGGCTGGTTACCACACTCCTTCCGTAACCGGTAAATCGAGGAGCAGTGTAGCTCCAGGTTCCAGTCTCCCAAAGGTTGTTAGGCGTTGGGGAGGCGATGACAACGTGGGCACCCTTGGCGGTCATAAGTTTACTATGAGTTCGTGAGTTAGCAATATGAACTTTGACTTAGCCGACAGATATTTGCTTACCCAGCTTGTAGCAGATAGAACACGTAAGTGTAGACTTTCTCCCCAGTTGTTGGGGAGATGCAGACCTCAGAACCACCTCCAAAGCAGTCGGTGCGACCATTGTCGGTTGTGCTCAGGGAGCCACCATCATTGTGTCCAAATTCGCTGCAGAAAACATTATTAGCAAAACAAAACATCTATTATAGGGTTCTAGACAACTACACACATGAGAACGTAGTCGCCGGCCTTAACAAGGTCTGCAATGGCTTGGAATCTCCCCTCGTTCCAGTATGATCTTGCAGATCGGCCACCAATGGCTTTGTTCACAATGGTGATACCGGAAAAGCTATTCTTCAGATATTCTCCGAATCCTATCATCGCAGTTTCGTTAGCCAGCTATTCTCAACAGCCATGAAAGGGAGACTGGTAAACAAACCCTGGGTGCCGCTACCACCGCCGCCACTGGCCATCGTCGAATCTCCTGCAAGGTACAGCGTTGGAACAGCCCATGACTGAGTCGCGAGAGCAGCAACGAGAAATGGAGCAAAGATCTTCATCTTGATTTATTTTACTGGTCGGATGAAACTGCTGGGCTAAACTTTAAGCTGTAGATTTCCAACGTTTTCTCCTTCTCTGTCGACGGATACTCCATCTTTATGTATGTTCCCATGATTTAATTAAGGCCCCGGCATATTATGGCGGGGAAATGGGCCAAGAAAAAATTGAATTTAACTATATTGTTTATTTGGCGTGCTCATTGCATCCGCTCATGCGGCGGAGGCATTACCCCAGGTTACTGCTGTTAGATTGGGTGTTCCGCTGGCGCGATCAGCAGACTAGAGGAGAAGTTTATTGTTTCTTAGAACCGGAGTCTTATTAATCCCTAGTTCAGTTTATACTTCTGTGATAGATGGATTTTCCTTGTTACAGTGGGGAAGGGGAGGGAGCTATTCGGTTAAATTAATGAAGTAAATTAATGCTTGCGTTGTAAGATCCACCAATCGAGGGAAGAGTACAAATGGCCAATTGAAAGTCTTACTTTTATAAACAAGAGAGCCATACACAACACTCTATATAGAACCGATAAAATGAGCGTACAGGAATCAGAGGATGTGGAGAATTTAAGTTGGGATTAGAAGTGTATCAAGGTATGTGAAGTAATATGAGGAGATGACGGATTTACTCCAGCTCCGGCATTTCTACGGCAGACGGCCAACGAACCGCACTTCCCCTATGTTTTGCTTCGTCGTCTCTTCTTGGCACGTTCCATCATATTTCGACGTTTGGACGACATGTGCAACACCACGCGAGAGTGGAGTGCTTCAGTCCCAAGATTGCGGCAATAATAGTAGGTACAGTACTACTGTGCAAGGTAGTCCATAAAGTCGCATGATATTGGCTTGCGCGACTGGAGAGTGTTGGCCTAGAACGAATCTCGTGCTTTTAGAGTTGGTTAGGCCCCGTTTCACAACGTGACAGCCAAGAACTTCCAAGAAGATCCAGACATTGCTCAAAGTTCCAGGTCGCTGTCTGGGACGTGCCGCGCGTCACTGTTATTGCCCACTCATCTACTCCTGCGCCCTTGGCAAATCCTCACCGTGGCCACGCTCAACCTTCATAGGCTATTGTTGCCACAACTGGTTACCCTCTCTGGCGTCAAGTGAGGCGATGGCGATCCTCTTCAAAAGCACAGTTCATGCCCGCCTAGAGCCCCATCAGTATGAGACAGGTCCATAGCTGCATGATACAGGTCCAAGCAGCGTGCGACAAGCTTCCAGCCTGTTAGAAACGCCCTTTGGCGGCTATCATACCATCTCATCCCCAGTCCAAAGTGGAGACACATTTAACCTGCCGCCGATTCAGATGGCTGGTAACTGTTTTCCTTCATCTTAATATGCCTCTCCACATAGTGAAATATAAGTACGGTTGACAGCTCTGAACATCGGATTCTAGCCCAACTTTTTTCTTCTGATGTTTATTATTTCTTGACTTGGCGTTGACCGTCAGCTTTTTTTTTATATTCTTCCATTTATTTTATTCCTTTCCTCTCTATTATATTACAAGCCGCCTCAAGGAATTTTTCAGCAGTAGCCCTGGTGGCCCATTGCTGCAATCGAGCATTATATGTTATATGCAAATCTAGGCTTCCAGGATAAGGACCGTTCGTGAAAATGTCGGAAAGATCATGTCCTGTGTCGGCTTCGGTTGGATCAGTATGTCCTATGGGCAACGGAGCTGGAGAGAATGGTCGCGCACGGGGCTGCAACTTTGCTAGCTTCAGCCGTCCAGAAGATATTCATTCTACCTTTGGTGTACGTCCATATTAATCCTCCTCTCTCGAAATCAATTTAATTAACTCTTCTCAGATCCCTTCGGACGCTGATGTCACCGATTTCTTACGACAAAGGTTCGCTTTTATCCAAATTGTTTATGACTCTTGCTCATTTATTACAGAGAACGTAAAGCAATCAATGAGTTGCTATACTCCGATGTCCCTTCAATGCCGGCCATTAAAGATTTGCAAAACGCCCAAGGCACCAAAAGTCTGGACACCCTAAATGTGAACGACCAAGATCTGCTCGCCGTAGCACTCGGCGCCCCGGCTCGGCAAGTTCTCCTAAGGGCAGAAGAGGTTGGGCCCCGGACTGGTTGGAGAGATGGTTATCTAAGCAGGGAGCATGGCTTCTGTCCGCCAGATGCAGATGAGGCACCGAGTGCGTTGGCAAGATCGCCTGGCCGAGTTTGGTCCGATATGTGCGAGCGTATGCCAGGCTGTGTGGCAAGAGGCCGGGTCCGACAATCTATCGCGGCACTTCCTCTCGTTGAGGGAACAGCAGATGTTATTCCGGATAAGGCACTTTGGGCAGCATTGGTTACTCTTGGTATGCTGTGCTCCATTTACAGGTACGAGGAAACGCACAATGGCACCGAGGGTGTCAATGTCAGCACAAGGTCACCTACACCCAACGTGGAGATGAGCGATGACTTGGGTGATGAAGTGAAGGGAATCCCCAAATGCATTGGCCTCGCCTACGTCCAAATCTCGAGGCGGATGGGTCGATCAATCCCACATCTTACATTCTATGACCAGGCGTCATATAACATTAAGGTCCGCGACCCAACCTCCACCCACCCCTATATCGGACGATTCGACAACACGGACTTGAGATGGCCAATGTTTGGTATACGGTCTGAGATTGCATTTCTCAAGGGATGCGCCGACACATCAGGTAAGTTCTCAGAGCCTCCATCTATTACCTGGTCTAATAATTTCCAGCGTCCTTTCAACACGGAGTAGACGCAATTGCAAGCTGCCAGGAATTCGTCATGAGCAAGAATAAGGCCGGCCTGCTTCGCGCGCTCATTCGATTAAAAGAAATCCTGGAGCGAATGCCCAATGCCTTTCACTCCATATCTCTGAACCCGAGCTCTGGGGCCAACTTCGTCTCGCCCCCAGAATGGGTCCGCTGGGCGAAATTTTCGGCTCCGCTCTCTAAGCGCTGTCCAGCAACTTCCGGTCTGCAATTTCCACCATACCTGCTGATGGACGCCTTCCTCGGCCGTACAAAGTACGAAAGCTTTCTCGGGGAAGAGGGACTCCACCTTCGGGCGTGGTTGCCATCAAACTGGAGAGCTTTCATCGCCGCTGTCGAGTATCATTACAGTATTCCCGATTTCGTCAACCAATCAGGCGACCCCAGACTCATTGGCGCTTTTGACGGCATTGTTGAAGCTTATACCGGCGAACGCGGATTTATGGGAACGCATCGCTACAAAGTATTTGGCCTTCTTGAGATTGCTGGAAAGACAGGAAGAGCAGAGACAAATGGGAACTCCGGATCTGCCGAGGTTAATGCTAAACCACATGAAGAGACACACAAGGCTTTCTCCGACGCAATGAAGGAACGCCTCGAGCCGCATCGTGGTAACCTTCATCTAGAACCTCACGAGATGCGTGGCTCATTTGCCGAGTGCCGATATAAGTCAACTGTCCTGAGCCGATCTCTAGTGGACTCCGACCCGGAGAGGTCGATTGCTAGGGTCATTATTGACATTCAGGATACTGGTATCACGTTTCAGCCTGGCGATCGCCTCGCAATAATGCCTCTCAACAGCTGGCTGGAGTGCGCAAAGGTTGCAGCTGCTCTCGGCCTTGACGTTATGCTTGAAAGCCCCGTTTCTCTTGATAATCAATGGAATAGATTTGCAGATCACCTTGGTTCAGTATCAAGGACGCCAACACCACGACTTACCGTAAAGGATATCCTACGCCGGGGTCACCTCGCACCCCTCACCAAAGATCTCGTCATGAAACTTCATACATTGCTCCGAGCATCGTCGAACACCGTTCTTCAGATCCTTGCAACAACCGAGTGGCCCGTGCGAGCTTCTCTGGGCGACCTTCTCCAGGCAGCTGTCACTGATACTCCTTCCAAAATTTGGGATCAAGCATTTGACATCTCGGGAAATCTCTCGTGGCTCCCCGAGATAGTTGCACTTGAGGTCCCAAGAACATACAGTATCTCGAACTACCCCGACGAATTGTTGCCTAGTACCGTCGAGCTTACTGTGTCGAGGTCTGAGTACAATATCTGCCCTACTCTCGCTGGACCAGAGCCCGTGGTTCGATATGGAGTCGGGAGTGGCTTCTTAAACCCGCCTGTCTCCGGCCAAGACGAATTCATCACAGACGACGAGGAGATACTTATTGGCATCTCGCGGCCTCTTTCTTTCCAACTGCCGATTGATGATGCCGCTCCGTGTGCATTCTTTGCCGGCGGTAGCGGTATTGCGCCGTTTAGAAGCTTTTGGCAATCCCGTGCCGGGCGCTCCGTTGGAAAGAATCTCTTATTTCTTGGTGTACAATCGCGAGAAAAATTCTGCTACGAGAATGAGCTCCGAGAATACGTCAACGCTGGCTTTATGGAAGTCTACACCGCTTTCTCGCGCGATTCTCGCGGTCTCAACTACGACAGCTATTTGCGGGACTTGGTAGAGAAAGAGACAACACCACGATATATCGACTCTTTGATTGTGGAGCAGGGATCTACGGTCTGTGACCTTGTTATGTCGAAGAAACAAGGCGGCTTAGGAGGCTATCTATACGTCTGCGGCTCCCTTTCTGTGTTCGACTCCGTCATGTCTGGAATTCGAAAGGCAATTTACAACCACAGGACAGCCAGCATGGAGTCTACCAGCGTCATTCTTGATACTGCCTTTGCAGAGCGCCGCTTCATGCTGGATGTGTTTATGTCACCGAAACCACTACCATGCAACATACCGACGATCCTCCCTTCCCAATTGGCAATGCACACAGGGCATCGCCCGAACAGCCGCATCCATATTGCAGTACATGGGAGTGTGTATGATGTTACAGACTTTTGTCCCATGCATCCTGGAGGGACGATGATTATCCAATCGAACGCAGGAGTTGATTGCTCAAAATCTTTCGATCTCCTTGCTCATTCAAATAACCCCGAGGTCTCTAGTCTCTTGAATAAATACTTCATTGGGCATCTCACGCCAAAGCCCAATTACCGTAAGTGCGAGGACATCAGCATGCTCTACGATCTTTGGTCTGATTATTTGAGGACGTCGGTTGAGACGCTTGTGGGAGATCAATTTGAGACTCGCGAATTTATGGACTCGACAAATATTTGGTTTCAAGGTAGTCTCTTCAACATGGGTGGTGTGCGGAGTTTCTATCAACACCAATCGAGGTTGCTTCAAAATGGTTTCTCGGCTCTATTTGGCGCCAAACTCCAAGAGCTTTATCTTAAGCTTTCTTTCACTCTCGCAAACAGTGGAGCAAGCTCTGGCCAACTTCCAGATGTTTTAGGCGTCATTGGCCGTGCGAAAAGCTCACCGGATGCGATGATAACCTCAAATGAGGTTTCCCAAATCGGGAAATTCACTTGTGACAGTGAAGCGGCTCGTTTCCATGAAAGAGGCATCATAGAATATGTCAAAACATCTATTCAACTTAACTTGGAGCTCTTGGAGGGGATTCGCGAGGAAGCATGCTGTGGTATGGATGCATTTGATACTATCATGGATCTTGAGGTATCATCGGAAACTCAACGTCTCACCGCGCTGTCCACATTCCTCCTACAATTGACCGAGCGCATGGCCATCAGATTGGAAGGATTCTATTCAAAGCTGGCCCAGCATTCCGTCTACCATCCAGAAATGGAGCACAACCCCGCAAGGACTCGGTGGAATTTGGTGAAACGCAAAGTGCGCGACGGTTCGTTCTTCGTTCTGACACAAAACGTTGCGATCAATACAGGGGCCAGTTACGTGCCTCGCCGAGGCCAAGAGGCTGTCGAGTTCGACCACGTTATTACTCAGATCCAACACAGCATTAACAAAGCGCCAATTCAAGTGAGGAAAACAATGGAACTCAATGAGCAGCATATTGCTCGAGGACGCACAAATCCAAACGGCGTCTCGGCGAATGAGTCTCATGAAAATAGCCACGCCATGAACCGCATGTCATCTTTCGTAAACAACAACATGCGCGCCATCCGCCGACTCAGCAAACTTCCGCCGGCGGGAGTAAGCCTTGAACAGCTGATGAACACATACGGCAACTCAGCTCATCAATCTTACGACCGCCACCCCGCAGCCATGCGCAGCCTGACGCCAAACCAAAGTCGTTCGCCATCAGTTTCTCGCGAGCATGATGGTTTCGATCCTCATCAATTGAGCAAGCTCAACGTCCGGGGGCGCTCGGTATCAAATGCCGGTTCCTTAACGCGGGGCTCTAGTCACAGCAGTCATGTCTCTTCTAGTAGCCACATGGATTTCCATCTTCCCATGACAATGTCACCTGCTCTCACGCCTCCTTCTTCGGCGCCACAGTCGTCCGCCTCCTCTCCTGTGTCTCACACCCCAGCATCGGCAGCTCTCCCATCGATGTTTAACAAGATGAACAGGCGGCAGAAATCCAGCGATATGGCCCCGACTCTCGCGAGCCTACCTGAGAACCGTATGCGAAAATTGATGCAAGGTAGTGCGAGTAATTCTGGGGGTTACTCGTCAATGCTGCCCAAGGATAGTGGTTCTCACATGCGCGCCCGCTCCACAACGGGATCACTCAGAGCGCTCAAGCTGCCCGAGATGCGAGTTGCGCCAACATTTTAACGTAGTTCTTTCAAGTTAATCATAGAATTTTTAACGCTGAGTCATGCATAAGTTGCCCGTGAAAAAAACGCTAAAACTATATTTTATAAGCCGTCTAGCCCTGATATGTGGAAGTACTTGCGGTCATGCTTAAAAGTGCGATTCGGTAATGAGCCTGATGATACTGTCATCTCTTGGCGATGCATTTGCTACGAGACATTCGCGTTGTGTTCGTCTCAACAGCCCCGGAGTGACGGCTGGGAGGATTAGCGGCAGTGAGGCTAGAGGCAGCTCCTCCTCCTTTTTGACAGCATAGGCCATCATCTTCGTTGAGGACTATAGAGACCCACAAGTATGTTCCTCCCGCTCTATCTATCAATTCTTCAACTACGTTATTCTTTAGATCTGCAGGAAAATGACGAAGCTCTGTGACTCTACCCTCGATAACAATTCCGAGGTCCTTAGGTCTGGCCTTAAACTCCATGTAAGTGTCTCCAAGCTCAATGTTGATGTCCACAATGGGTCGGCTTGTGATGAGCAGTTTCATAGTTGGAGAGAATTTTCCTCTGCTATTTCGGTCGTAGAGAAGTCTCTTCATCCGACGGCTCAACCTCTGCCGTGTCTTTTCATCCTCGCTTTCATCTAGGGCGTCGAGGACGCAATATATAGTCCTTTTAATGGGAGCTCGGATGATCTCTTCAAATACCTCCTATAACTCTTCTTCTAATTCTACCGAAGGATCGCACTCAAAAAAATGCACTTGACAGTTTAGAAACGTCGGTAGTTATGGGCAATTGCTTGATTAGCGACCGCAAGCACGACTCAATGGTCCGAAATTGCTCGTCTTAGTCGTAAAAGAAGAAGTAGATGATGCTGTCTTGTTCCTGGGTTTTCGCTAGCCGATCATACAAGTGGTCCAGGATGAACCTCAAAAGAAAAGTTTTTCCTTGACCAGGAGCGCCTCTGACCCAGAGAAATGATGATTTATCTTTGATAGCCATGTATTTACCATTTTGTCACGTAATAACCACTGCAGAGTTCCCCGGGCCGGGCTCTCGGCTCTTCGGAAGGAGGCATAATCTGGTGCATTTAGAGCCTTCACGTATCTTGTCTGAGCAGCTGAAAATGCTATTTTAAAGTTCCATACCAAACCTGCGCCTAACCTGGATCCACTGATTGTCCGATAGCCCCTCAGCCGATGATTTTCCCGCCATATTATCTAAGTGCGGTTCTCATCCGCATTTGGTGTTCTCTGATGTACTCCAAACGTTTTGTTAAAGGACTTTCAAAATGCATCGACAAATAACTTAGCTATGACAGCATCTGAGAAGCGAGGATTGATAGAGGGAAAGGCAAAGGCAAAGGCAAGCGCCTGTTCGCCCTGAGGTCGGCGGCTCATGCGAGGTGTTTAACGAGAGACCACTACCAGAGGAGATAGCATTGTACTGTACATAACAAGGCACAAAAACAAAACTCCCAAAACTAACAGCCTTCAGCCAGTTATGGAGATGCAACAGACCCATAAGTTTAATTAAATCATGATCTGTAGACAAGTACATTGGCGGATCATGAGTAGCCACAGCCTATAGGATGTGAAGTTGATGCCAAAGCTGTGGAAACTTTACTTCGACGGGCTTTCTCTGACTTGCGTAACGAGAGTGGAAACTGCGACAAAGGATAGAATCGCCTTGTCACATACGGCGAGGTACGATGGAAAGGGGTCGAACAGGGCTTTAGGGCCATGGTAATATCGTTTAGCAACGCAAAATTGACTAGTATTGTTCGCCAAATATCACCCAACCCAAACTCTCAGTAAATGCCTCCTCTGCCCACTTTCGCTCTCTCATGAGGTGCTCTTGATCTCGCCTTGCCTCATCGATACCAACTGGCCAACTGTCTGCCATGTCCGTAATCAATTCGGCTACCTCTAGTGGAATTCCATGTGAGATAAGTATGCCGTGAACTTCCTCCGACCACCAGACATGCCCCTGTGGAGGCACGTTTCTTGTCGAACACACGCGGTAATGTGGATCAACCAACGATAACATTACGAATCGGCGGTGCCCTGGGATGGTCGCATTAATTATTGTAACTGGCTCAATGCGGTGTTGCAGAGTATTGGGCCATGTAATGAGACGTCCTTGTGGTGCGGATATAGACCCAACTTCCTGCATGGGCGGTATGGAACAACTATGGGTGGGTTTAAAGCCAAGCATTGCCTCGATATCGACAACATCAACTTCAAACTCACTTGGTTGGAGTGCCCCATTACCTCTATTGTAGTTATAATCCTCCTCTCCTGCATATGTTCGTTGACGAAAGGAGATTCGGGTTTCAGTTGTGTTCTCAACGTCGAAGAAGTACATGGCCGTGGCTACGATATGCTCATTCAAGGTATCCATATGCCAGCCATTAGTATATGACGGTTCAATGCTACCAATCTTGACGATAACTTGTAAGCCTTGATCACGAAACGTATCTTCTAATTTGACAGAGTAAAACTCGTGATCTGGGTCTGGTCGTATAATGACGCTTTCTGTCTCGTAACCACCCCACTTCCCTTTAATCGCCGCCCCATTTCGACCATCCTACCAATCATTATATGAAAACGACATGTCAGGCTCTGGATGATGTAGTTTGTATGCATTTTTCCATTTAGCATTGACGTGCCATTCTGTATGGAAATGCTTATCCCAACCTTCCGGAAGGTCTGTTGGTTGATTTGAGCCGCGGTTTGGAAGTTTGAGGAACTGTTCAGCCTCTTTCATCGCCTCTTTATAGGCGTTAGTCTCGCAGCCTTGGTATAACCCATCTATTATTGATGACTGAGGATATTCTGGTTCCCATGTAAGACCATATGTCCTAATCCGTATTGGCCAACGACCTTTCTCCCCTCTAACAAGGCACTCATTCCACGGCTTGATTGCTAGTGAAATAAGCTTCTCAATACTGTCATACATAGACTTGTGCCGCAGAGGATGCAGATTATTGATGTATGAAGTGATGTGGGCATCCGTGCCCGACTTGTCGAATTCAACCTCGCATGGCAGCAGCTGGAAATTAGAAGACCAGTAGAACCGTTTGAGTTCATCAAGCTCATTAGTACAAAATACTACAGCATCGCCTTCTTTTATTCTCAGCTCAACACCAGAGGTATCCATTCGCTCATCTAGCTGCTTTGGAGCGGGCCTTCCGCTTCCAATCAACTTAAAGCCATCTCGTAGGCCTACTCGGCCCTCCATCAACACTGACGTCTTTCCGAATACTAAAGGGAACAACGAAGGGTCGACAAGCATTTGATCTTGATCCGAATACGACTTCTTAAGCATCGGCGCAATGCCATCCTTTAGCGCAAGACGTAGACAATCAGAAACGAGCGCATCTGATTTACACACTGCGGACCCGGCGTCGAAAAGGCGAATGAGTTTGTCTTCCTCAAACATGGACGCTTTGTCACGAAGCTCCATGATACACCAACCCCATGCCCTTCCGCTAATCAATCGCATTCGAAGCGCCACCCGGACCTCAGCGTCCTCTTGGGCCTTGAATGTCTCTTCGCGCCACTTTGCAACAATATCATCGTTGAATACGTCGATATTCCAGTCACGCTTGTCAGTCAAGTCGCTCATGAGTTGCAACATGGCCATCTCAGGTGCAGTTAGGGCAGGCCTTTGTTCCAATCCGCTTACGGCGTCAGCAAAGCGATCGTCGGCGCCGAGTTCCTCATAGAGGGATCTCCCACCAAAGCCAGGAACTGAAAGTGGCCTTTGGCCGCTATTATCCATCCTATATTCAGCAATCAATATTTGATTACAAGGCGGCGTGTCGAATTGTCAGCAAGAAATCCTCTCCCGTAGTATGTTGGGAGTGAAGTCAGGAGTGAAAGTTGGCAGTCTACAGCCTGCATCTTTTTGGTGGAAGCAGGACTTGAGCTCCGGGATACGGTGATTTTTGGCCCTGGAATGGCAGTTTCCCGACCGCACCGTCCTACTCCCGGATTGGCTCATCGGTGCGACAGAGCATACAGTCACCGGAACCTGTCACAAACTGAGTCCACAACGGGATCGCTCAGAGCGCTCAAGTTGCCCGAGATGCGAGTTGCGCTAACATTTTAACGTAGTTCTTTCAAGTTAATTATAGAAATTTTGACGCTGAGTCATGCATAAGCTGCCTGTGAAAAAGACACTAAAACTATATTTTATATTAAGATTACGTGAGATTTCCAAAATACGGCGGAATTATATGCTGTATAGCGATTATGTAACCCTATTTTTGGATTTCCAACATCATGCTCAGTAATGTAGATGAATGGATCCGCGTCACGTGTTACATGCCAAGGTTGAACAATAGGAGCTACTGTGGTGCTGACAAAAGGGCATTGAAGAATTAAAGAATGCCCCAGTATCTCGATTATTCGAAAGTTGGTTTGTGTGATTTGGTTCTATATATGTTGTATAAGCGGAAAAGAACAATCCGCCCGGTTTTAATTTGAACGACTTCCAAGCTTCGGTCTGTTGTACTGTCGCACCCCGCTCTTACAATGGTCAACAGTGGCCAAGGCGAGTTTGAATGCGCCATTTGTCACCGCCAATACGCAGCGCGTAAGTTGTGACCCGCTATTGTAACTGACAGCGCTTGTCAGATATTTCAGTGTGCTAATTGAGAGCCATAGGTTCATCATACACGAGGCACACAAAACAGTGCCTTGAGCAGTCTGAAGTGACGCCGCGGCAGAAATCCTGCCATGAGTGCTCCAGTGCCAAAGCCCGGTGTGACCAACAGCGGCCGCGCTGCTCCCGCTGTGTAGAGCGGAATGCACACTGTGAATATGTTTCCGGGAAGAGCATCAACCACGCCAAGCAAGTTAACTCTCAGGATTCTAACGCTCAGCTTCCTCATAAACAAAGGAGTGATGAGATTGGGGATTCATTTCTTGAGGCACTAGGAGCAGAGCAACAGACATGGGACGCCCAAATTACCTCAATGGACTATCTTCCTCCAAATGGCCAGGGCGTGTCTGATCAAAACGCCCCAGTAGTCTCTGAACACTCCAGCAACCATTCCACGCCACGGTCCACCGCTTCGACGGGCTGTCTCAGCGCAACACTATCAAGCCGGACCATTGACACAGCAGCAACCTCAAACCACTCACCGAAGGATTCGAACTACCCTGAACAGACAAGGCAACTAGTACCAGATGAGGATTTTAACGTTATCCGCGACCGGTGGCTGTATCCTTATATCGAACCCTCACCTCTCTCGTACGCGCTCAGGGAGCAGAGCATGTTCTATCTATGTCGAGTCTTTCGCACTTTCCCCCGCATGATGGCTCGAAGGGAACGACTTCCCCCAATGATTCACCCCATGCAGGCAACCCAGGAAATGAAGCTGCCTCTCAAAAACTGCTTTTCGATTACGAGGATGTGGGAGGGCGGCGCGGAGGAAGCTAGTAGCTTAGTCCAGGGGACCATTGAGCGAGAAATGGAGAGGTTGTTTGCTGAAGTAAGCATTACTCACCGAACCCCTTTTCCTACGATGCAACTGTGCTATAGGTCAGAAGAACATCAGCTAAGGCTTAATCTACAGTACCGCACCTACGACGAGGAAACTCTTATCACAGCCTTTCAGGCCCTTGTTATCTACGCTATAATCCTCCTCTTCCCAACGCCACAAAAGCCCACCACTAAGAACCTGTCCCTGCAAACAGTTGTCAACCTACAGGAAGTGGGCTACCACGTTGGACAGACAGGCCTTATGCTGCATGCAGAGGCCTCGCATGTGCGTCCCACGTGGGACGCGTGGATCCTTATGAACGCCAAACGGCGCACAATGAGCGCCCTGTACTGCCTGGAGTGGATATACGCGATGCTCAACAAGCTTCCCACTTTCCCCTGCAAGGAATTAGGCTTTATGCCAGCTGTGTGCAGCAAGGCCCTGTGGCATGCGAGGACCAAGGATGAGTGGGAAGCGATATACAACTGCTGGCTGGCACGGTGGACTGTGGGTGGGGGATACTTAATGCGGGAGCTAATGGCGGTCGAGCCTGGGCCTGAGCTTGATCTACGGACGGAGATGTGGCTTGAGGAGGTTGATGAGTTTGGCATGATGTATATGAGTCTTGGTATGTGTTATCTGACGGATCTAAACGTCGATCTTGTGCTAACTATAGTAGTGAACGCAACTGAGGTCCCTGGTGGAGGAGGTGAACTACGACCCGAAAAGCAGAGCGTCGAGACCTGATCAGTTTTCGGGCTTCACATAGACTTCTTTCCTGTTGCATTACGGTATTAATGATTAAATGAGGATATATACTATTTGAGGCGTAAATAACAGTTCATACGAGATAACTTGGTTGATAATGCTCTCCAAACCCATATGCTTCAAGTGATAAATGGCTCTATCGCGGATGAAGGACGGAGGTCGAAGCAAAATAATTGATAACTAGACATTTACTCAATACCTTTAGGATTTGAAGCTATGTGATCATCATGCAGGAAATCTACAATTGTTCCCATCTGCAAAAATGCATGTTGTTTCCTTTTTGGCAGGGTTGATGCTGACCGGACTTCGGAGTACCGGTTTGAAATGGCGCTAAAGTTAATATTGTGGGGCCTTTCCCGTCCACAGATTTATAACCGATGACTTGCTTATCCAATAGCTGACTGGTCTTCGGTTTCCAAGTCTTCAGTTTATTGATATTTATGCTGGGATTGGAGACTGAGGAGCGATTCCTTCGGGACAGGGCGGCGGATTTGGTCCAGCGACATAGTGTACAGCTCTTTAGCTAACGTAAGCATGTGTATTATTATCTTGCTCCGGCGGTTCAGTGCATCTACTACGGGAAGTCCTGTATGAGTTGCAGGAAGTCCGGGAGAATACAATTAACACGGAGAAGACGAGTTATAAATATGGCCTTGGACGTCTGGAACTGAAACTTATCATCTTCAATATATTCTCAACTTTCCACACATATCACAAGTTAACAGCTTATTGTTATCATTTTATCACTTACTTTTTACAAGCATATCGCCAGTAAACAAAATCTCAATGGCTTCATACCTAGTCACCGGTAGCTCCCGTGGCCTTGGCCTTGCAATGGTTACCCACCTTGCGAATTCCACTCCATCTGATGCGAGAGTCGTATTCGCAACGGCACGTTCTCAGAACCCTGACCTCAAGGAACTCGTTGAGAAATCGTCTGGGAGAGTGGTGTTTGTCGAGATGGATACTACCGATCAAGCCAGCGTCGATAAAGCTGTGAAGGCTGTCGAAGTTCAAGTTGGTGATAAAGGCCTGGACTACCTTGTCAACAACGCCGGTGTTGGTGGATTTGCTCCAGAATGGACGGAGAAATTGTGAGTAGCCCATAATCAGCAACTACTGGTAGATCTAACTTTTAGATAGGGCGAACCTGAACGAGGAGTTCAATGTCAACGTCACCGGCACCCACATCGTAATCACCAAGTTCCTCCCCTTGATGCGAAAGGGTCAGGCCAAGAAAATCACGAGCATGTAAGAACCGTGTTATGAGTCTACTCCCATTTCAACCGCTGATCTGTTGTAGTGCAAGCACAATGGGCTCCTTGGCGATGGCCGAGCCCTTCGGCATCTTTCCGCTCCCAGCATACAAGATCTCTAAGGCGGCATTGAATGCTCTAACCGTACAGTGGGCACTGGCACTCTCTAGTGAAGGATTTGTTGTAACAGGAATAAACCCCGGGGTAAGACTCTCTCTTTTCTTTTCGAGGAGTACGATACTAATTGGCGGGAATAGACTGTTAAATCTGCGATGGGAGGCGGAGATATTGCGGACCTTACTCTCGAGCAGGGCGCAAGAGGGGTTATTGAGGCTCTAGTGAAGGGAGGTGCCGAGAAGAATGGAAAGTCTTTTATGATTGAAGTCGCCGGGTGGGAGAACGCCACTGGGGTGCATCAGTATAATGGTAAAACTATGCCATGGTAATGAAAGGTATAATGCTAGAGCTCAGCCAGCCGGCCAATGCGTACAATAGAATAGCTAGTGTGTTTAGATTCCATTCTTTATATAGAAACCTATGGGGCATTCTACATAATCTGAATAACTCCGTTGGGCGTAAATAATAAATTGTTGACGAGGTACATATCGCCCCTTTTTAGTGATATTGTCTGCTTAAACTTCTCCGCCAGAATCTAGAAAACAGACACGAGATAAAATATTAAATGCTAATAACATACTTATATGCATGATCCTAATATCGGACGCCCTTCCTATTGAGAAACAGAGCTGTAAGGGTATAACTGCAGTGTTTCGTTGGGGGTAGCTGTTGGGTTACTAGGTGGTTGCTTTGTTGCATAAGTTTTCAATCGGATAGTTGAGGTTGATATGCAGGTCGTCTACAGAGCAGTTATGGACCTAAGAAATGCGTAATCCTGTTGGTTCTCAACTGGCTAGAATTAAGTCGAGCGGCGCATGGCGCGCGGCGGAGCAGTGACACGGTATCTAGTTACTGGGTATAAAGCCTCGATATTCCGGCTATAGAGTGTGTTGTTGGATTTGAAGGCCGATGCAGGCTCGGAGATGAAGCCAAAAAAAAGGCGGACATAATAACAAGACATGGACTGCCTATGCTGGAAATCTAGGAGGATAATTCGCTCTGGGACGAGCTAAAGGGCAGGGGTAACAAATCGTTGTGACAGCCTAGGATATCACATTCGATTACCACTATTGCCACTAACCAAGCTCGCATGTCCTTCAATAGCGTCCTTCAATAGTCCGGGGTATAATAGTCTGGGGTACAACAACAGTCTAGTTTAGGGTATAGCAGTCTAGTTTAGGGTATAACAGTCTATGGCAGGTGCGTGCCCTGGTTGACATTCTATTTTCTACTCCGTACCTTCGGCTGGCTATACTGCCCAGATATATTATATACTATTGTATTTAACCCAGGTGTTGGTCTGCAATTTACCTCACCGAGTACATGAATACAGTACTCTCACCAAAAAACAAAGTTATGAAATACTACCCTGGTGTAGGCACATTGGGCAGTAGTGGAATCTCAGACCCCTCTTTCCGCTCCTGTCAGGCCTAATTTCATCCAGCCAAGCGGAACTGCCGACCTTAACCCTCTGGTAAACAATGTTAATGTGATGCTAGTGCGATGTTGGTTCCGATCGCGTTTTTGGATGATAAACGCTTCAAACAACATCGCCACATTTGCCATCTCTTCCGTCTCACCAGCCCGCACACACAAAGAAATCATACAACAAAAGTCCTTGGAAACAATGCACAGCTTTCTTCTCGTGTTTCTTCTCCTCTCGATATGGCGTGCGGCTAAGACAACATTTCCCCAAACTGTCGATCTTGATCTCGTTTTTCCCCGTGAGAATGAGACATACGCATCTGGGGGTTACTTCCCCTTTGTTTGGGGCGTCCAGAATGCCGCCGCGGCCTGCCGGGAAGGTTTGGCGTTATGTGGACAATCCATCAACTGAGCCCTATGGGTGACAATACCACCAGTCTAGAAGGCTATAAGATTACGGAAATGACAGGTAGCAAGTGGGACAACGACGACGCTACCTCGTCGCATATTATGAACAATACAGAGAGCCCATTTCTGTTTGTCGATAGCTTCGTGCCAAAGAACGACACAGCTACAAAATGGCTCTTGTCCTGGCACATCGATTTCGTGGGGAATTGCTCGGTGGGAACTCGATCTCGAGAGAATTGGAGTAGCGATCCGAGCCAACAAATCCAGTTTAACACAGCTCCTGGAGGAAAACTCTCGGATATCCTGACAGACGATACTACCTGTTCTTCTTACTCCGCCTTATTTGAGGTTCAAGACACAACTACAGACTTGTCCAATGATGTCTGCCTCGTTCTCTGTCCCGAAGACAAATTTCCCACTGCGAATCCATGTGCGTTTAAGGTGGATAAGGCTGTTGCGGCGAGCGTCGCGTCAGCGATGATGCAGTCCGCAGGCTGCACCAAGACCTTAGGACAAACTCCAACTGCCGTTTGGCCAAATATCACAGGCCCCTGCGTGAAGAGTGCTGCTGCTGGGAGAGTTGGCCGAGGAGGTACAATCCTCATGTTCTTGTTATTTCAGTGCTCGTCATCATTAATTAAATACCCTATTTTTTGTCAAATATATATATATTTATCGGTTTAAATTCCGAGACTCGTATGAAGTGAATGTTAGAACCAGCACATGACACTGCTGACTAATCCAACAACCAACATCGCGTCCTCGAATCCAGCAAGGCGCCTTTATTCCCCACCTTTACCACCAACCTTCCTTATCCAAGTCAGTGATTTCATACTTTCTATCAATACTAAATGGAAACCCCATCAATAATTATATCATCCAACAAGACGTATATCTCTCTCGGCGTACGGGTTGGTCATGTCGTTCGACCTAGACGCCCTGTCTGACAGCGAGATAGCTACACTTTGCGAGAACCCAGATATCAGAGTCAATAGCACCAAGGTTGCGCGGGGTCTGGCAAAACTCTCGGACGATATTGCTGTTAAATATGGAAGAAGCATCACTGATGAAGAGGTTGCAAATCAGAACTTTGCATATGAATATTCTCTCACGAGTGAAATAAAAGTTCCGAAGATTCATCGATTTTTCAGAATTGGCTATAAGGCCTACATTGTGATGGATTTCATCGAAGGGGTGACGCTAGACGAGATTAATTGCCGTGAGCATCCGGGGCTCATAGATCGCTTGGCTCTGGCCATACATGGCCTCTTCTCTCAAATACCCTGTGGCCCACCTGGTCCCACAAACGGCGGAATCCCTCGAGGTTATCTCTTTTCGGAAGATGGCGCGCTCACAACTTTCAACACGATTCCAAAACTCAATAAGTGGATGAATAAGCGCCTCCGGGCTAAGGATGGCGAGCCCGGGTTTGATTTCACGGCATCTGAGTGCGTGTTCTATCACCAAGACCTTGCCCGTCGAAATATCATTTTGCGTCCGGATGGTTCGTTTTGCCTTATCGACTGGGAACATGCGGGCTTTTACCCTCGTATCTGCGCGGCTTATTGTCTCCAATTTGTTAGAATATTTGATTGGGAATTCGCCAATGATCTCTTAGAGGCGTTGGAGAAACTCTGGCCAAAAACTGAGAATCGAGATGAGTTGCTCAAGATGCTAAATCGAGTGTATCAAAACAATTTGAGGTATTCATAGTAAGTTGCACAGCAACATCTCCCATTTCAAGATTCTAACTATCGATAGCTTCCCATCAGACCATCCCGCTAGGTTCGAAAATTTCTGCAAGAACAACGGGATCGCCATCCCATCCACAGGAAAAGCCACAGAAATTTACCCTTATCCGCCACCCGATTTCCCATCGCCTCCTTCTTCTCCCCTTGAATGAAAGTTACACAAACTGCCCTTCTTCGATTGGGGATGGGATTCTATTAACTCTCCTGTTGCTATCCCTATGATATTTGTGTCTCAAATGGTTGTAGAATTGTGCTGTTACGTTCCGACGATCAGGAGTTGCAATATCAATGTAGTCATATGCCAAAAAGTCGTTAAAGAGATACCAGCTGGTTAAATATTAGCCTCTAGTCCTACATAAATGGATATAATGAATGAGTATGCTTACACCCAATGTCGACATCCATTTCCATTGCCTGTCATTCTGTACCTGTTGCGACGCTTGTTGACTACCAGGTTGCAGAATTCGTACACCCTTTTGCCGGGTACTACAGGATAGTCGAAATATGCAAGTTCAGAACGCGAGAGGAGATAATCGTGACCGGTAACGCCGAAGCTTCCAAGTTCGTCTGATCCATCCACATTGCTCATATTTAGGCGTACAGATGCCGCTTCGTTGCCCGCTAGAAGCAGGAAGATAGACCAGTGGTTTGCACTCCTCCCGTCCTCAGTATACTGTGCATTTCCACCTGTATGGACAACAACTCTAAGCGTGGTGACTTCCGAACTCACATATTGAGAAGTGTCGTAGAATGTATCCAGGCTAATTGCGACTCGCTTGGCTTCTTTCTGCGAAGAGGAAGAGGAATCGTAGTCGCTTGGGGATCCGCTAGTAGCCTGAGTAGACCTGCTACCACTAGCTGATTTCTTGCTTCCTTTTCCGAACATGGTGGCTTGTAGATAGGTAGGGTGGTATGTGAGGTGGTTGTCAGATTCCGTAGTAGCAAAATGAGAATTGCGGCAGCGTAACAATAGTATCGATAGAACAGTGACTGGCGATGAAAGCAATAGATAATGTAACAGAACACCCGATATAGTTACAATGAGTAGTATGACAATATTTGCGATAGAACTGTAGTTGTAATATATGAAAAGGACTCAGAAAGACTGAAGGCGGCTGGTGAAATTCGAGGAAGTGATGCAATTCAAAGGATTATTATTTCACAGAGCAGAGAAATCCGAAGGCTTATATCCCTTTTCACATACATAGTATTAGGGTTTCTCTATCTAATTTTGGATTAATGAAGCGCTGGTAGCAAAAGCCCTGGGCCGGTTCATCGTCGGCGGTTAATCCGAAACTCATCCTGTTCGTACTTGGCCGCTGTTGGTAGCGACCTGTGCCGCCAAAAAACATCACAACTCCTATTACCCCACCACACCGAGCAGGGTATCTGACGGCGGTTACTGCCTCGGAAGCGCTTGGGATTGAGGAATATCACTCTTGGGACCCCAAATGGGCGCATCGCACCTCAGCCACCAATCGGCTCTATCCGCTGGCTCAGCGACGGTCAAAGGCACAGCCCCGCACAGGGCCTGCGCTGCCGCCGACTCATTGCTGAAACTCAAGTCGGAAACAAATAGAACAGTCGCCAAATTCCGACAGTTTGGGAATAGAGGCGGGCGCGCGTAAACGACGTCCAGGTGTTTACGCGCGGTTACCCGTCATCCAATCACCACGGCCGTCTTAACGCTTATTGGGCAACCACGACTGTGGTAATGGCGCCAGCGAATAACATACGATTCCCATTTGGGATAATTCTACCTCTGGATAATGCTCGCACCTGACATTATTATCTATTTCCGACCATTCTGTGCCTTGAAACAAGGAGATTGAGCCCGTCCTATGGATTGTTGTTCCTGTTATCACTTTCTGAGCAGAGCAAGAACCCTTGGGGATATACGTATAATCCAACAGAACAAAACAACTTTACAATGGCCTTGGTTGCAAATTCCTGGAGAAAACTGATGTCAGCGATTTGGAGTGATACTGTCAATAACGAGGAAGAACCTGAAACTCCACCAGACCTACTTCGCCTTCCACCAGAAATAATATTATCAATAGCAAGCATGCTTCCTGCACAATCTGCTGCCAGTCTTGCTCTATGTTGCCCCCAGCTGGGCCAAATACTGGGGCCTAAGTCTTGGAAATCATTACGGCGTGCGCCGCATGATGACCGGTTCGAATTTCTATCAACCCTAGCAAAGGATCTTCCCCAATTCCTTCCATGTCGGAATTGCCTCCTACTTCATCACATTAGCGCAATTAAATGGCCCCGGGAAATCTCATACGCTCGAGGCCCTCCATGCACCTCTGAGGGTTCGCCGGCTACGTATCGGCATCTATATGGTTCTTTTTATGAGATCATTATCCCCAAATTCAGCTGGCGATGAGGCAGCACCGTGACGGAATTGATATTGGGTTCCCACTTGAGGCTTTTCGCTACTTGGAGGTTTGGCAAGGCGAAGGGTCCCCATGGAAAGTTGTTCTTTCGTCAGCCAACGCCCAAATAGTCTCCGATGAGTTCATCGTACGCTTCAGATTTGGACACTAGTTCCGTGGAACCGAAGCGACACGTTTGTCGAAGAATTGGAAAAATATAACCTTTGGTACAATATCTGTGCTCACAATCGAAGAGCAGGACGTCGAGATGAAAGCACAGTAACAGCTCTTATGATATCCCGAGTTCGACAGCTGGAGAAGGCGGAGAAAAACTGCCAGACCCGCACTTTCCAATGTCCCTACTGCTATATGGAATATATGGTTGATGCAAAAGACTTTGGGGAGCGAGGACTCGCGGTAATTACTACAAAATGGGTCAATCTTGGCGCTGGCAGAGAGACACCTGATGCCAAATGGAAAAGTCATCGGGATCGATATGGAGATAGAGATAGACGGGAAATCAACCAAACCGATGAGCATCGGAGAAGTCTTCGGGAAGACTTTGAAAACCAGGCAGAAGTGTCACTGGAAGATCTCACCGCTGATAACGAGAAGAAACTGTTTTCGACAAGGAAACCTCAGGTGGTTACTCGAGCGCCGGATGGTTGTATCTGGCAATGGAGATACGGGACACGGTGGTACCTAGATCCTTCAGGGACTACTGGATCCGCATGGGAATATTGGTTGTAATAATTAGCGGAAGTTCTTTCACAGCTTTGCTTGAACCTATGGCACTTGCCTCTTCCATACAAATATTTGCGTCTCGAGTGGTGATTGTGGGAACGAATGATTATTAGAGCTTCCCTCCCAGACTGACTGGACGGATATAAGAAACCGACAGCTATAGTATGCTGCCGAGCATTATCAATACAGGTATCTATTACCACTTCCACCCTATGTACACGCCCTGGCATTCCGGAGATGCCATCCACAAGGGTATCATTGCATTTCTCCCTCCCGGCTCCATATCACCCTCCCAGAGCTACCTTCGTCCTCACACCATCCCCACTCCCTACTCATCGTCCAAAATCCGACTCGCCAGCGGCCCAAAGAACGGGACCTCACACCGATCAAGCGTATCCGCTACACCACCGTCAGCACTTCCCTCTCACCCACAAAGCCACACCAGAAAGAGCACTCACCATCCTTATAAGCTCTCATCGTCAAATACCCAATCATCCCCACATCCCCCACCAACAACACCCAGCTCAAGAAACTCGACCACGCAAACACCAGATGCACCACAAACATCGCACTAAACAGCAGCGCCGACTGCCACGCATGGAACCTACACAGCATCAGCTTCACCCCTCACCAAGTCACCACCGCCCCAGCTGCCCCCCTCCAGCCACACCCCCCAAACTCACCTCACATAATCACTCTTCCACTCCACCAACAACAACCCCACTGCCCCCGCCGGCGGCAACGCCAAATACGCCAAACACGCCTCATAATCCAACCTCAACGGCAAGCTCGTCTCGTAATCATGCAGCGCTTCGCGCCCGCGCCCACCCATCTCCACATCCCTTGTATTCGTGAACCCACCACCACCACCGCCCTGTGCCAGCGGCGGACTACCAGATTGCGCAGCCCATGGGTTTGCGTGGGATGTTTGGAGGGGAGGAGAGGCGGAGGTGGAGCGCCGGTCGTTGGGTGGTGGTGAGAGGGTGCGCGTTGCGTCGGGGGAGGTGTCTTGTGCTCGTTAGCTTGGTTTGGTTCATTTCCTGAGCGCCGGGGTTTCGTAAGGGGTATGGGCGAACCTTGGTACGGTGCGAAATCCATTTTGGCAACGGCGACGACGACGAACTCAGCAGCAACGGCCCTGTTGAAACGGGAGCGAGCGTGGTAGAAAAACTCAAACGTGGACTTGGGAACGGAGTGTTGGTGGGTTGGGCGGTGGTCGCGATATACTTTGACAGTTCGTGCTAGCTACGCGGGTTGCGCGGCCATGGGGCGTGAGGTGGGGCAAACAGAGCAAACAGGGGGGAAGGGGCGATGATGGGGGGTGGGTTGTGGCACGTGCGCGATTGGGGGTGGTGGTGGTGGGTGCTATGGGTAAATAGAGATCGGGGGTTGAATACCCCGGTGCTGGGCACGAGGACAGACTGTGCATGAACGATGGGAAGGGGGGGGGTTGTATGTTGATATATGGAATGGGGAAGCATAGATATATAAATCAGGGGAGGATCACAGAAGCATATTTACATTGACATTCACTGGGCCCTGGCTTGGAATAACTTCACCCCAAAAGCAAAAAACTAGTTGGTCCCCGCGTCCAAAGCGTTCAATTGCCGCATCACCAGAACGGCTAATCGTACTGTATATGGTATGGAATTGGAATACACATCCACCATCCCCGTTCTCGTCTCCTTTTCATCACTCCCCTCCCCATCCCGTTCGCTCCCTTCTTGAAAAAGACGCTCAAAAAGATAACACCCCCTCTCCCATTCACGACCCCCCACTTCAACGCAACGCATTCCCTCAGCCCTCTTCCCATCCTGTAGAAAGGTTTCCAAAAAAAAATGGTAACAAAAACTAAAACGTAAAAAGTTAAAATAGACAAATCGAAATCGAGTAAACAAAGCCCGCCAGCCTCCTGCCTCACTCCTCCTCCCAAACCACCTGAACCCCCTTGGTGGGGAGCGGGGATGGGAGGGGGGGTGGTGATGGGAGGAGGCTGGGCTGGGGGGAATCAGTTTCCGTATATGCACCGCGCTCATGTTATCCTGCCCTAAAATCGCCTTATGTCGTGTCTCTGTGTGTGTGAGTGTGTTCACCCTGCCCGTTGTCGCCCTACTCCGTGTGTCCCTGCCAGAGGTCCTGTGCCATCCGGCTCACCTGAATTCAATTGCGCCGTAGGTCCCGCGGTCGGGGACGTGCTTGAGCTCGAGCTGTTGGAATCTAGGGAGTGTTAGTCAAGACCTTGAACGGCTGATGCTGATAGTAAAGGGATACGCACTTCTCGCTCTTCGCATGGAAGTAAATCCCGCTCACGCTCCCACTCCGCTGGTTAAAGCAGATATAATAGAAGCCCTCGAAACTCGCCCCCGTAATCGTGCGAACCCGGTGGTCCGGGACGAGGAAGTGCTCCTTCCAGCGCATAAAGATGTTCTCCCGCTGCGCCAGGTTGGGGATATGCAGGTTCCCCCGCCGCGCAGCCTTGCTGAAGGGCCGGAACGCCTGGAACTTCGACCAGTGCTCCAGGTCCACTTTGTCCGTCGAGCCCCAGTCGTCGTGCTTGGTGAGGAAGGAGTACTTCGACCCGATGATCTCGCCCTCGAAGTAGGTCGTCAGGGTTGGGTGGTCTTCTGTCAGGCCTGGCCGCGGGTTGGGTTAGCATCTATCATGTATGTATATAGTTCGAAACGTTGGTTGGGGGGTCGCACCTTGTATGCGCAGGTATCCGCACAGCGACGACTCTCTCATATCGACATGTTTAATCTCAACCTGCACCTCATAAACCTGTCTCTCCGAATGCTGCGTGCCGCGAAACTGGCTTCCCGACCGCAAAAACGACGACGGCGACGACGGCTTCAACTGTATCAGGCCAACTCGTCAGCACATGCCTCCCAAAAACCCCTCTCCATCACATCACGAAGCACTCACCCGGACATTAGAGAACTCATAGCTCATCGACGGCGAACTCCCTGCATAACTCCTCCTCAGCACCGGCGCCTCCCTCTCCTTCTCCTCCCCCTTCTCCTCCACACTAACAGGCGACAACATCTCCACGCTCGCCCGCTCCCCCGCCTCAACCCTCTTCATCATCTGCTGTCCATCCGGCGGCGGCGGCGTCGGCGTAGCGCTCTGGCTCCCACCACCACCACCCACAGCCTCTGACTCCTCGCTACCCTCGACCGCCACCCACGCCTCCCCGCGCTCCTCCTCCGGCGGACACGACGCGTGGAGCCTCATCGCCTCCTCCGCCGCCGCCGCATCCACTCGCACTGATGGCGTGCCTGGCATATCGATATCGGAATCGCTCGCTCGATCGAATCGTGGCGCCCACGGCCGAGTCCCGCTGGCCCCGTCGCACGGTGTGGAGCCCGCTTGGATTCCGGGGTATCCTGGGTTCGTACTGTACAATCGCTGTTGGTTGGTGAAGGGGAGGGGGAGGTGTTTTAATCTGACGGTGCCGGGGCGGCGAAATGCATCGCTCGGCTGATGGGGTGTAGGGGGATTGTTGAGGGTTGTGTAAATGTCGTTGATGGGATGGAGAGTGTGTGTTGTTTATAAGGCGGGTTTCGTGGGGTTTTTGGTGGCGGGAGTGGATGGATGCGATTGTCGATTCTATGACCCCCATGGGTGCCAAGGCTGGCCTGGGTCCTGGCTTACCAGTGGTTGGAGGGAACTAAAAGGGACGGATGGGGGGGGTTCCAAGGTCCAATCCCCGCAAATAATGTCTTTCACCCCACGGACGGCTCTTTTTTTTAGACCGATGGTGAAAAATTATGGTAGGTACAGTGTCGGAATTGGATATATAATATAATTTATAGATCATTTTAGAGATAGAGTGTGCAAGCATCACATATAGATGAACATTAAAAAACGTCAATGTGACAAAGTGTCAGAGAGACAAAGTGTCAGGGTGGCAAAGTGTCAAAGTGTCAGGGCGAAAGTGCTGGAAAGGCAATATTCCTCCTCCATGCGGATATCTACATTCATTTGATCATGTTTGGTCTGCTTGCTCGGTCCCTGTGGTCCTTGTACAGCTGTACAGCCTCAAAACGCACGCCTTTTCTTGTAATTCCCCTGATCAACCTTCAATGGTATCGAGAAACACGATACAAAACGCCCCGTTTCTCCTAGCAAAATGCGCAAATGCCACACAACGCCCCCCTTCTTCTTCTTCTTCCCCTTCCCACTGCTCATATCGGCTTGATCTTGAAGTGAAGGCCTATCAGCGAGAAGACGAGCGCCTTGAGGTCCTGCACAAGATAGTAGAAGACGCGGAGGCCTTCTGGGTCGGCGGAGTCGCTGACGTCGACGAGGGATCCGATCTTCGCTGTCTGGATTGCGCAAGTGTTGTCAGTATTCCATCCCAGCACATCGTGACGCAAAGCGCAGCAGGCATAGCTTACCTCAAACGAGATGTGGTCATTCCCCAGTCTGATCTCCAGCTCCTGTCGCCCGTCCTTGTTCTTCTGCGGCCACTTGCCATCATCTTCCCTGTGTCATCGTCAGCACATGTATATTGTGTGTTGTAACCAGCCACCCTTTGCTTGACATACTTCAGGATCTCGCTGGTCTTGATAATGCGTTTGATCTCGTCAATCATCGTCGAGCTGACGCACACTACACTCATCCTGATTAGCTATACACCCAACCAGCAGGGGCAATCGGCCAGACGCACTCTCTTTCCGGATCAGGGAGTCATTGCGGTAGTTTGAGTTGTTCGCATATCGCGCCGATGCGCTCCTTCCATCGCCGAGCACGCGGAAGTCGAACTCTGGAGGAAGGCACAGTCAGTGGATGCGCAGCGGGAGAAGGGGCGGGCGTGTGAGAAAGGCACCTACCTAGGAATTCATGGCCGTGTCGACCTTGGTGTCCTGAGCTGTAGAGTGAGTTAGACAAGACAGAGCTGCGGGGTATATGGGGTGTATTGGGTCAACGGGGAGGGGGTAGAGCAAGACATACTAGTATCGGACATAGAAGGGTTCAGAGTTTGCAGCACCGGTGGCAGCCATGTTGACTCTGAGTCTATAAGCCTGTGCCTATAAACAATTGATGCAGCTAGAGAATGAGGTTGAGGCTGCAGAAGGGTAGATCGTGGATATATATTAATCGCAGAAGGTCGAATTATTGTCTCAGCCCTGTCAAGCTTTCGCGACTGAGACCACCCAAAAGACCTAGTGGACGGTTCAAACACCACTATAAACCACTACAACCACCAAAATGACACCCTTGCTCCCATTTTGGCGGGGCAGAAATCCCAAGGTACCACTCCACCCACCAAAACCGCCGCTTTCACGTGACTTGAATCGAACACATCGCTTAATTCACGGAATCTCCAACGTGGTTCTAACTAAGGGGATAGAGCCGCAATTAAGAGAGCTTGCGGTTGATTGTTTGTTGATTCTCTGTTGATAAGCCTCACCTCACCAATATTTATACCCTTGGGGACTCCGACTCTACAATCTTTTAACTACAACTTCCTGTTGACGCCGATCCCTCCGTCGACAAACCCTCCGCAAACCGACCGACCGACGGCCACTGCCCGCGCATCGAACTGAAGCTGGGGAAACACGCAAGTCCTTGACCGACAAGGAGCAAAGCCACAGCCCACAGGTCCGCCCGATTCGGGGAGCAAACACACACACAATGGCCTCCTTCCTCGAGAGCTCCTACAGCTTGGTGCACCAGGATAACCTCTCTGATGTGCCCTCCATGTCCGAGCTGCGCACGCAGCTTGAGAAGGGGACCGACGAGACCAAGATCGATACCATGAAGCGCATCCTCACAATTATGCTCAACGGCGATCCAATGCCCCAACTTCTTATGCACATCATCCGTTTCGTCATGCCCTCCAAGAATAAGCCCCTCAAGAAGCTCCTCTACTTCTACTACGAGATCTGCCCCAAGCTTGACGCCGGCGGGAAGCTCAAGCAGGAGATGATCTTGGTCTGGTAGGTTCACCACATACATCTTCAATGATTCATAGCTAACTATAACTGCAGTAACGGGATCATGTTCGACTTGCAGCACAGCAATGAGTATATTAGGGGGAATACGCTCCGTTTCCTGTGCAAGCTCCGCGAACCCGAGCTCATTGAGCCCCTCCTCTCCTCGGTCCGATCCTGCCTCGAGCACCGCCACGCATATGTCCGCAAAAACTCTGTTTTCGCCGTCTCCTCCATCTTCCAGCTCTCGGAAGCCCTGATCCCCGATGCTGCCGACCTGCTTGCGGCCTTCCTCGAGACTGAGAGCGATCACACATGCAAGCGCAACGCATTCGCCGCGCTCTCGAGCATCAACCACGACAAGGCCTTGGCATACCTCAGTAGCGTCTTCGACGGTATCCCCAACGCCGATGAGCTAATCCAACTCGTAGAGTTGGAGTTTATCAGGAAGGATGCGTTCCAGAACCCCCAGAACAAGGCCAAATACCTGCGCTTGATCTTCGATCTCCTCGAGGCGGGTGCTTCCACAGTGGTATACGAGGCAGCGTCCTCCCTAACGGCATTGACGAACAACCCGGTCGCGGTGAAGGCAGCGGCTGCCAAGTTCATTGAGCTGAGCATCAAGGAGGCGGATAACAACGTGAAGCTTATCGTTCTCGACCGTGTCGATCAGCTACGTCGCAAGAATGAGGGTGTTCTGAACGACCTTACCATGGAAATCCTCCGCGTGCTGTCTAGCCCAGATATCGATGTCAGGCGCAAGGCCCTCGAGCTGGCCTTGGAGATGGTGTCAAGCAAGAACGTGGCTGATGTTGTGCTTCTCCTGAAGAAGGAATTGACAAAGACTGTTGACCAGGAGTACGAAAAGAACAACGAGTACCGCCAACTCCTTATTCACTCGATACATCAATGCGCCATCAAGTTCTCCGAAGTTGCCGCAAGTGTCGTTGACCTGCTGATGGATTTCATCGCCGATTTCAACAGCACCTCGGCTGTCGATGTCATCTCGTTCGTAAAGGAGGTTGTCGAGAAGTTCCCCAAGCTCCGCCAGACTATCGTCGAGAGACTGGTCTCGACCCTGAGCGAGGTCCGCGCCGGAAAGGTTTACCGTGGCGCACTCTGGATTGTTGGAGAATACTCTACGGACGCCAATGACATTAGAGACGCCTGGAAGCGGATACGCGCCAGTTTGGGTGAGATCCCGATACTGGCTTCCGAGCAACGGCTACTGGATGAAGGATCTGAGGGCCAGGAGGAGAAGGAGGCGGCCACGAACGGCACCGACAAGCCATCAGCACCCACCGGTTCAAGGAGGGTCTTGGCAGACGGCACATATGCGACCGAGAGCGCTCTCACAAGCACATCCGCAGTACTGGCAAAGTTGGAAGCTGTCAAGGCTGCACAAAAGCCGCCGCTCCGTCAACTTATCCTGGATGGCGACTACTACCTCGCCAGCGTGCTGTCGTCAACCCTCACAAAACTTGTCATGCGCCACTCGGAAATCTCCAAGGACGAGGCACGAACAAACGCCCTCCGCGCTGAGGCTATGCTGATCATGATCTCCATCATCCGCGTTGGACAATCGCAGTTCGTCAAGGCTCCTATTGACGAGGACTCAGTGGACAGGATCATGTCTTGTGTGCGATCGCTGGCGGAATTCGCGCAGAAGAAGGAGCTCGAGACTGTGTTCCTTGAAGACACCCGAAAGGCCTTCAGGGCTATGGTCCAGGTTGAGGAGAAGAAGCGCGCGGCGAAGGAGGCGGTGGAGAAGGCCAAGACTGCGGTCCAGGTTGACGATGTCGTTCAGATCCGCCAGCTCGCCAAGAAGAACGCGAGCGATGGCGCTGATGAGATTGAGCTCGACCTCGAGAAGGCGACTGGAGGCGACACTGCAACTGAGGATCTCTCGTCGAAACTCAGCCGCGTCGTCCAGCTCACCGGTTTCTCGGATCCAGTCTACGCCGAGGCGTACGTCAAGGTCCACCAGTTCGATATCGTCCTCGACGTCCTGCTCGTCAACCAGACCACCGAGACACTGCAAAATCTGTCTGTGGAATTCGCCACCCTCGGTGACCTCAAGGTTGTCGAGCGCCCGACGACACAGAACTTGGGTCCCCACGACTTCCAGAACGTCCAGTGCACCATCAAGGTCTCATCCACCGACACTGGTGTTATCTTCGGCAACGTGGTCTACGACGGCCAGAGCTCCACCGATAACAACGTCGTCATCCTCAACGACGTCCACGTCGACATCATGGACTACATCCAGCCAGCCACCTGCACCGAAACGCAGTTCCGCACCATGTGGACCGAGTTCGAGTGGGAGAACAAGGTCAACATCAACTCCAAGGCGAAGTCGCTGAGGGAGTTCCTGACGCAGCTTATGGCGTGCACTAATATGACGTGTCTGACCCCCGAGGCTTCGCTGAAGGGCGACTGCCAGTTCTTGAGTGCGAATCTGTACGCGCGCAGTGTGTTTGGTACGTTTTTATCCTTCTTTCTTCCGTTCTTCCATCCTTCCTTCACTTCTAGGGGAGTTATCAAGTATACGGGATATTTACTAACATATCACAGGCGAGGACGCGCTAGCAAACTTAAGTATCGAGAAGGAGGGTGACGACGGCCCCGTCACAGGTTTCGTCCGCATCCGCAGTCGCTCACAAGGCCTGGCACTAAGCCTGGGTTCGCTAAAGGGCCTCAACAAGGTCGGAGAGGTGGCTTGAGCAGGGCCAGCTGCTGGGTAGTTGAAGAAGAGGGGGGTTACGGAACATACTAGAGCGCCTTCGCCGGCTGCAAAATGGATGAATTATGGGGACTGTGTCATGTCTGGGTATGTTGGGAGGGGGGCTTTATGATTGTGATGGAATGGGGGAGGGGGATGTAGTGCTAGAAGCGTTACATTGGTATATAATGCGAGCCACGCCGTTGTTTTGCGAAGAGAGGAGGCGCAAGAAAAGAAGCATTGGGCGTTTTTTTATGTAGAGACGTAGTAGGCATTTGCAATAGTAAAGAATTGATAAATGAAAGGGATTCGACGATGTGTGTGCGTGTGTTTATTTGAGGGGGAATTCACTTGTTAGAGTGTTGTTGCTTGCAGGATGAATATATATAACAAAGTAAGTAATTGTTCACTCATTATTCACTCAAGCGGCCTTTCACATGCAAGACATTTCTTTGTACTTTATTCCTCGTATTTTAATGTTTCCCGTTTAATTAATTTATTTGCGTCTATTTTTGATCTATTTCCCCAGATCACAGGACAGGAACCCAGACCATCTAACCTCTCGGCGTTATTGTTCCGACCCGTACTACTACTACTACTACACTACTACACACCACTACAACCTTCCTTAGTAAGGTAGCCTGGGTAACGGCCATTGCGGGATTACTACCTACCTCCTCTTACTCTTATATTCACTGTCTTTATCTTCTCTCCTCTCTCCTCCTTCTTCTGTTCCTTCTTGTCTCCCCTCCTACTCATTCTCAAGCAAGAAATCCAAAACGAAAAGGCATATATACAGCATGCTTAGACCACCACACTCGCTATAAGTAATGACCGACCACCACGCAACACCCGCATCGCCCACCCGGGCCTCCAGCGACCCCTTCATGGACCCCGCTGCCCCCGACGCCTCCGGCGATGGAGACATTGACTTCGCGCGCGACACCACCCTCGTGGTCGGCAAAGATGCCAGCCTCACCCTCGGCACCGAGTCGCTGATTGTACTTGGTGAGCACTCCTCCTCCTCCTCCTCCCCTCTCCTCGCGCCCCTGCGCCGGACAGCCCGGCATTGGGCAGCACAGACACGATCCATGGAGCCAAACTAACGGGCTGCTTCGCGCCCAGATGACGATATTCAAAAAGACGGAAAGACGTCGTGCTGCGCGCTGTGCCGGCCCGGTACGCACCCCCGCCGCGCGCACTCGTGACAACAGCGAGACAGCGAGCCACCGCACTCCAACAAACAACAGAACTAACAGCGCAAAACAGGAAGCTCCAACACCCGCGCCATCCCCTTCTACAACGTCCTCTGGGCCGAAACCTCCGACACCCTCCTCACCATCTCCTTCGCGGCCCCCATCTCCAAAATCGCCGTCCGCCCAGAATTCCTCACCTACCCCCTCCCCCTCGACCCGGGACCAGCACGCATCTGGATCGCCAAGCTCCTCGACCGCGCGTACGGCGAGTCGCAGAAGCGCAAGCGCGCGAAGGTGCTCCTGAACCCGCACGCGGGGAAGGGCAGCGCGGTGAAATGGTGGATCAGGGATATTGAACCGATTCTCCGCGCCGCGCACGTCGAGCTCGATGTACACACCACCTCGAGCCAGGGGGAGGCGGTCACGATCGCAGAGAAATTGGATATCGAGGCCTTTGATATGGTGGTCTCGTGCTCGGGGGACGGGCTGCCGCATGAAGTTTTCAATGGGCTTGGAAAGCGCCCGGATGCTCGGCGTGCACTGGCTAAGATCGCGGTCGTGCAGATGCCGTGCGGTAGCGGGAATGCGATGAGCTGCAACTTGACGGGCAGCGCGAGCCCCAGTCTCGCAGCCCTGGCGACGGTAAAGGGTGTCGTGACGCCACTGGATCTCATCTCCATCACGCAGGGGTCGACGCGCACGCTGTCCTTCCTGTCGCAATCGGTTGGCATCGTAGCCGAGTCTGATCTGGCGACTGAGAATATCCGCTGGATGGGACAGGCGCGCTTCACCTACGGCTTCCTGACCCGACTGCTGAAGAAGAGAATATACCCGTGTGATTTGGCTGTCAAGGTCGTGATTGAGGATAAGGCTGCTATTAGGGAGCATTATCGCCAGGAGAGTGAGAGGAGGGGTACGTTGGGCGAGAGACGCGGGAATAAAGATGAGAACGATGATGATTCGGCGGCCAGCACGAGCGCGGCGAATGAGGAGGGATTGCCGACGTTGAGGTATGGGACGGTCAATGATAAGTTGCCTTCGGACTGGGTGAATGTTCCCTATGACACGTTGGGCAATTTCTACTGCGGTAATGTAAGATACCTCCCACCATTCCCATTTTCGCACACAAGGAAGTTTGTTAACATAAGCAGATGTCCTACATGGCCGCCGACGCAAACTTCTTCCCCGCCACCCTGCCAAGCGACGGCCTCATGGATCTAGTCTGCATCGATGGCCGCATCGCGCGCACCGCCGCCGTGGACCTCATGCTCGCCGTCGAGAATAACAAGTTCTTCGACAAGCCGCTCGTCAGCTACCGCAAGGTGCTCGGATACCGCATTGTTCCCCGCGAGCAGGAGTCGGGATACATCAGCATCGACGGGGAGAGAGTGCCTTTCGAGCCATTCCAGGCGGAGATTCACCGTGGGTTGGGGACTGTGTTAAGTTGCTCGGGGTGGAAGTACGAGGCGCAGGGCCCATAGTTGGGGGGGTGTCTTGTACAAGAGGGTAGGAGATGGGGAATAAGGGATGATGATGGATAGGATAGCGTTTGGAGATCAGTTTTTCGTCGCGTCGCGTCATGGCATGATATACCCAGGAGTTGCCATAGTCGAGGACGCTTGTATAATAGACTTGTGTAGATTGTACAGAATGCATTAATCGTCACCTCTTGCCAACACCAGACGCCGCTGTCCCTCCCATGCACTCCACAGCCTATTCCATCCTCCAATAATCATCTGCTCAAGCACGCACATCACTTTTTTTCTTCCTTCACTCCGCAAAACCCCCCCATCCCTCATCCTCCTCCATAACCACATCCTCCTTCTCATTCCCCGGCAACCTCTCATCAGCAAGCGCCTCCTTACACTTCTTCCTCACACTCTTTGTCGGGCTCTCCGTCCCCAACACCTTCAGCGGCTCCAGCAGCACCTCGAGCTCAACCCCCTTCCTCTTCTCCCCCAACCCCCCCGCCCGCTCCAACTCATCCACCCAAACATCAATAACATGGTACCTCATCCCATTCGGCACGCCCCTCGCCTCCGGCTCCAACGGTCCCTCCCTAAGCACCCTCATCTGCTCCTCCACCACCTCAGCTGTCCACCCCTTATCCGCGCACTGCGCAAACGCAGCCCCAACATACCGACGCGTCAGCAGCAGAAACTTCTCCATCCTCAACACATCGATGCGCGTCCACTCCCGCGCCATAGTAGTCCAGAACGCAGCCGTGAACGCGGTGCGGTTACTCGTGTGCGTGATTGCTGGGAGCGCGGCGAGGGAGGCGGCGAGGGATTGCTGCGGGAGCGGACGGTCGGTGAGCCACATTGTGTAGAAGAGCGCGGTGTGCAGCTTGAGGAGGGCGTCTTGGGGGAGGGAGCGCCGGCCGGAGAGGTAGGTGCGCAGGGAGTCGAGGGCGTTGGTGCGGGTTTGGCGGTCTAGAGGGGGGGGTTAGTGGGGTGTTCTACATATGTTTTGAACAATGGGGGAGGGGGAATTACCGGGAGAGGCGAGTTGTTTGACGAAGGGGGTTTGGGAGAGGTCGGGGGTTGAGGTTGAGTCGGTCATATTTGCGGTTTTGGAGGGACTTTCTTATCTCTCTTTTCGTCTGGGATGTAAAGAGAAAGATCGACGTTATCTGCGTCTAGTTTTCGAGGGGACGTATATTCTCGAATCGCCTACAGCTCGTCGCGCTATTGAGGAGCTGGGATTGTAAGAGCGAGGGGGTTCTGGGCTTCTGTCGCGGCTACGACGGGGCGCTGAGGTGGGGGAATGGGTTTTGAGGTGTCGGCGATAAATAAATTTTGGAGGAGAATTTGGCGCGGGGACGCTAGGCGCGGGGCGCTATGTGCGGGAGTGGCGTGCAGTAGCGTAGGGTCGATTGGGCTTGGCGGGGGGAGGATGGGAGGATGTTTATTTGATTTATTTATTTACGGAGGGATAAAGGTGATAATATTATAATAATTTGGATGAACTGAATCTGAGTATGCTAGATTTTAATTCTTGCTTGAAAGCTGAATCAAAGAGTGATGTTCGAATAAATTTACTTCTGGATTAATATTTTATTCGACAGTCAAAAAATATTAAATGCTAACAAGTTATCTCTCCCTCTGCCCAATGAGCTATTTACGGAGCATAAAAGCTATAAAAAAGAATGAGACCTGCCCTCTGATATATTTAGTTCTCGAATGTTAGAATCATGTCTTTGTCTGTCGCCGAAAGCAGTCTTGCCATGCTCTCGACAAAGAGAGCTGGTGACAATGAAGCTACATTCTCCAATGGAACAACCTCTTCTTCAGAGTCTACTATTAAATGCCTGACCTTCCTCATAAATTAGAGCCATGGCATCTATCCTGTTTCCTCTTCATCGCCTGTATCAATATATATATCTTTATAAATATACTGATCACTTAATAGCATGGTCAAGGTCAAGCGAGCACCTAAGTCCATGATCGGGGTCAACCGAGGCATGGTGGCCCGTGCACGGGCCCTCTCCGCCTTGTTGTCAACCTCCCACCTGCAACTTTCAAAGTCCAAGACTCGACCTCAGCCTCGCGACGATCGCGACCGTCAACGCGACCAGAAGCACTCAACGAAGATGCCACTTGATGACATGAGGGAGAGACACCGTCTGTACCATGGGACGACGAAGGTTTGTGATCTGACTTAAATTTCACATTTGAAGCCAATATTAACTCATTGCCATCCAGCCTGCCGAGGAGCTTGACCTGAGTGTGCTCAATACAAGACGTCAAATATCCAGACATCCGAGCGTCGCCAAGGCCCCATCCCAAGACGAGAATGACGACGTTGTGTTTTTATATGATACAAAGGGTCTGGAGAAGGAGAAAATCGGATGTAATTTTTGCGAGCTGGCCAAGTTCAGCACCCACTCCGACTATCCAGTCACTGTCACCAACAACGTCGACAAGGCCACGTTCCCCGAAGGATTTCACTTTATTGAGCACTCAATCCTGCGCGAAGGTGTTGCACGTGCAGACGCGGGGTTCAGGATGGGCTGCGAGTGCGGGGAAGATGGGGATTGTGAGTATCGAGGATGTTATTGCATTCAGGATATGGAGGCAAAGAAGAACAAGTTGGGGCAACCAAAAAAAGCGAACGCATATCTGTCGAAAGGGCCAAAGGCCGGCTGCTTGCGGAAGGATATACTCGACAGCAGATTGGTGCTTTATGAGTGCCACGATTCTTGCGCTTGCTCCAAGGATTGCATCAACCGCATTGTCGAGCAAGGGAGGAAGGTGCCGCTGGAGATTTTCCGGACATCTGACGGACGTGGATGGGGTAAGTGTCTTTCCCACTCCCGCACCTGCACCGGCATACATACTAACCTACCCAGGCGTACGATCAAGCGTGACAATACAAGAAGGCCAATTCCTCGACACGTATGTGGGCGAGATCATCACGAGCGCAGAAGCGCAGCGTCGCCGGGAGGATAGCCGTGTCGCCCAGCGCAAGGACGTCTATCTGTTTGCCCTCGACAAGTTCTCCGACCCCGAGTCAATCGATGAGCGTCTTTCAGGACCCTGCTTGGAGGTTGACGGCGAATTCATGGCGGGGCCAACCCGTTTCATCAACCACTCCTGTGACCCCAATCTGCGAATCTTCGCGCGCGTGGGTGATCATGCAGATAAACATATTCATGATCTGGCATTCTTTGCGATCCGCGATATTCCGGCTGGAGAAGAGCTGACTTTTGACTACGTGGATGGTCTGGAGGGTGATTTGGCCGAGGATGGAAAGGTTCAGAAGCACCATAAGGATATGACTGAGTGCTTGTGCGGTGCGCCGGAGTGCAGGAAGTTTTTGTGGTGATTGGGCGGGCTGTTGGGCAGGATTTACCTTGGGGGGCGGCGTGTTTGAGCATTTACGGCGTCATGATACCCGGTGTTTGTTGTGTTGGAGTACGGATCTTGACATGTTTGGCATGATTCTCGGAATGTATGGAGCTCGTTTTACATAATAGTGTCTACTATGATATACATAGATCCAGCGACGTGTAAATACACAGTTACTCCTGAATGGAATTCAAGAGATCTAATTCCATGATTTTAAATGCTGATATAAATCGTGAGCTATGCAGCCGCACGAGTATATGGCGCTCATCCCACAACTCGTCACCCCTTAAATTAACAATGATATACAGCGATCCAATGCCCTGTGACCTTCCTACTCATCATCACTATCCTCCTCCAGCACTAACGCCCTTAACTTCTCATCCCTCGCCCAATCCATCCCACTCCCCGCCACAACCCCACTCGCAACCCCCTTCATCAACCTCCACTTCTGCCGACTCCTCCTCACCTCCCGCTCCATCTCCTCAATCTTCCCCCTCATCTCCGGATCCGTAATACCCCCCTTCTTCTGCCCTTCCACCTGCTCCGCAAGACCCACCATCCTACCCGCCATCTCCGTGTTACTCCGCGATAGCACCAACCTCTCCGCCTCGATGGCTGTGAGTGCTTCCCTGGCAGCAAGCACTTGCGCCGCTGTAGCTGCTAATTCCGTAGACACATCGTCGCGCTGCTGGATCAGCGGGAGCAGATCCCTGTGAGGTCAGTCAGTTTGGTACAGTTACATATGGGAAACGCGGGCAAGCAAACCGTTCTATAGGACTAGCATTCGACCCAGCATGCACAGCTTTCAGTATCGGATTCGCCATCAGAATACTCTCCGCAATACTCTTCTTCAACGCATACCGCGCTTTGGCTTCCAACAGCGCCTGCTGCTCGGCTTGAAGGTCTTCATCAGTGACTTCGTCGGTGGATGCTGCGGGGTGTTAGATCACGTGCATCTATCGCGAGGGGGGGTTTGACTTGCCATTCTGCGTGGCTTCTGGGGCGCTGAGGAGGCCGATCTCAAGCTGGAGCTCTTCGAGGCGGTCGTAGAGGTCCAGGATTTGTCGCTCGAGTTCGGAGAGTTGGAGCTCAGTGAAGCTGTCTTGTGGGGCGTCAGGGTTTGTGATTTCTAGACCAGCCATTCCACTCGCGGCGGTGCTGTCAATGTCTGGAGCGGACATTTATTTATTTTTGGTGTTATTCCTCTTCGTGTGTGATATGTACGTGGCTGTGAATATGGCGGATAATGTGAAATATGAGTCTTTATCAGTCAGCATAGGCGTAGAAATGACGGATATCGACTTTTATGCATTTCCCCCTCCAAGACGACATGTTCAGCACAGTAACCCCCAGCATAAACAAACACGGCCACAGTGGCTGACGCCCTTTAGCGCAATCGCAATCGCGGCGCGGGATAATTTGGTGCCTGTGTGGCGGCGTGTGACGGGGTACGGGTGACGGGTGGACTGACCCTACATGCCTTAGCTCCGTCCTCCCAGGTCACTCACTCACTCATTCCTACCTCCGGGCAACCTCTTCCTTCTCTCCCCAACGCCCACCTTACAACTCCTCTCCTCTCTTCATGTTACCTTCCGAAGCTGTAGACTGAGCCCGGCGATATGGCGCTGCAAGTCTACATCGCGCATACGGGCGCGCGCCTGCAGACCGAGCCTGGCGCCTTCGCATCGTGAGCGCTACCTTGGAGGTCTGGGATGGGGGTGTACAGTGTGCTAACGTGATGGCAGGTTGGATGGGTTCAAGGCGTGGGTCGCGGATAAGGGGGGTGTGAGTGTGCAGAATCAGATATGTTTGACGGGGAGTGGGAAGTCGGTGAGGACGCAGTCGTTGTTTACTGAGGTATGTTACGTTGATGTGTTGGGGGACGGGAGACCCTGGAAGCAAGCTATGGTTGTGTGGCTGGGGATGGCGTCGCGATGGCCTCATACGTTATTTACCATAGGTGCCGTTGCTGTTCGACTTGAATAGCAGCTTCATTTTGGGAATGGGCTTATCATTTGCATCGATACAAGCTACAAACGCTGACACTGGTTCAACCACAGCACGAAATATTCGTATATAATCGCCTCATTCTTAACGTCTCCTCTTCGAACTCGGCCATGGAACAGGTCTCGCAGCTACCGATGCCCGCTACATACGAAATAGAAAACCCTCCCGATACTATAGCAGACCAAAATGACCTAGGCGCATGGAAAGACCTCTTCCACGCGCGGAGAGAATGGGCTTCCAAGGTCGTCAACGATAGTGAGCGCATGTCAAGGGAGGCACAGAAGCGGTTTGGTGAGATAGACGTGATTGCGCGCTCTGTCCATGCCGCTGTTGTCAACCTGGGGGGCCATGTCGCGGGACTTGAGCAAAAATTCCCGCAGACACAGAAGTGGGCGCAGGATATCGTAGATGAATACGATGTTAGGATTTCAGAGCTGGAGCAGTCGGCGAAGCTCTTGAGGACGTTGCCGGTGACAACGACCATGTTCCGATTTATTAGCGGAAAGAATCCAAAGGGTGGGAACCATCAGCCGAGCCTGGCGGACTTGATCGATATAAACGATATCCAGCAAGCAGGCGCCGAAGCCAGTGATGCTATATCAGCGTTAAGGACGAACCTGGATGATATGACGCGCGATCTTAAGAGGATTGACTCTGGCATGGATAAGATTACGAAGAAGGAAAAGGACAGCGTGGGGGCATCTGCTATGGCAAAAAGCGATGAGCCGGCAGGTCTCCTGGCGGATATCAAAGCCATTTTAAATAAGATAGGGAAGGATTACGAAAATCTGTTAACGTACGCGGATACGCAGAAATCGATATCACAGGCCTCCAAGACTGCCCTGCTCCATACCAGAAGCTTCTTGCCATCCCTCTCGAAGAGGTGCATGGAGATGAATGAGATTCTGGCTGATGCAACCAACATGCGCAATAGTGCTGCTGTAGAAGCTGTGGAGATCATGCAGGGGATTGCTACTCTTAATACGTTGTGCACTGAGGTGAACCGGAGGACTGATGGCCTTGAGATTTCAGATGATGGGCAGAAGTCCCTGGAACTCATATTACTTGTTGCACGGCTTCCTATTGTCTATGCGTCGTTCGTTGCCGAAGCTATCCGTCGCCGCGAATGGTCTGACAAGATGAAGAGCGACTCGTCTACCCTCGCGAACGAAATGGCCTCATTTCAGGACGAGGAAGGACGAAGACGTAAGAGGTGGCAAAAGAATACGGGCTTCTATTTCTGGGATGAAAAGCCCGAACGTAAAGTCCTGGGCCTCGAGGTTAATCTTCTGGGAGACGAGGATCAGCTCCCTCTAGTGTCGAGGCAAGATCTCGAGGATCTGGTTAACAAACTAAATTCCGCAAATGTACATCCTGATATTATCGCCGAAGTGTCTCAGATTGTTACAGATTTGAGCGCTCCCACAAAGCAACAAGCTAGGCGTGCAAAAGCGTTCAAAAATGGAAGTTTCCATGAGGCTTCAATGGGCCGCAGCACCTTGCTTGTCCGTGGAGACGATGATATCATCAGAACTCTGCAAAGCGAGAAGGCTAAGACCGAGACCAAGCTTAAAGGTGCGGAAAGCAGAGTGAGGAAACTCGAAAGCCTGCTGCACCAACAGAGTCATGCCTCGAGGACATCGTCCGGAAACATATTTCCTCTGCCTTCGGATGAACATGATGGAGCTAACATGGCTTCATCTCCTCAGTTCCGCGACGAGATTTCCAGACCTTCATCTGTCTCGTCCCGGCGCTATTCAGCGAACAAGACCCAGGATGACCGGGCTGCCACACAAAGGTATATACATCTTGAGGCTGACCTCATCGCCGAACGTGAGCGAGCAGCTGGTCTTGAGAAAGAGGCCGCCGCGAAGTCGGCGATGTTAACAGACCTCAGAACCCAGTTTGAGGAGGCTACATCGACCAAGCAGGATCTTATGCAGAACCTGGAAGCGCAGCTGCGGGAGTTTGGCACCGAACGGAAATCTCTCGAGGACGACAACAGGCGCCTCAAGAGCCAGCTGGAGGATTACGAGGACAGCATAGACCGGTCCAGGGAGAATGAGAGGCTGACGTTGGATGAGCAACTGCACACTCTGCGTACCGAACTCAACAAGGTCCGAGCTGATGCTGAAGCTGAATCTCAAAAAGCCCAAGGCCAGGTTGACTTTCTCCGCGGCGATGCCCAGCTACAAAGAGAGTCAAATGATAGCCTGCAGAAGCAACTGAATAAGGCAAGAGAAGAGAATAAGGAACTCAAAGATCGCATTGATTCCGCAGAGGATGGTCGACGAGAAGCAACCGCATCGCTTCGTGGCGTGCACTCCGTTCTGTTCCCCGCCTCCGATGAACAAGCTCAAACTCAGTCAACGGTGCTTGCTGAAAATCTATCGTCCCGTATTAAAGACCTTGTCACCCAAGCAGGTGTGCACGAAAGAGATCTTGCTATGGCACATGCCGATCGAGACGAGGTCAAAGAAAAATTATCAGAAGTCAGGAAGGAATTGGCAGATATTAAGGAAAAATTGAGCTCCGATGAATCGGAAAGTGTCAGACTACACGAGGAGATTGTTGGAGAGAGAGCGAAATACGCCGCCCTCGAATCTAACATGGCGGAACATCAGCAGGAGCTCACCAGCCTCCGAACCAAGTTTGCTGAAGGAGAGACTGGCTCAGAGGCGCTGCGAAGCAGGGTCAAGGAAGAGGAACAAAAAGTTACCTCACTAATAGCGCAGCTAACCAGCTCGAGGACCCAGGTTGGGAGTCTTCAGGAGCAGCTTAAATCTGTCGAAGGGCGACTTGAAGAGTCACAAGGCAAGCTCGAGAAGGTCAGTGGTAGGTTTGAAGGGCGCACTATGCGCGCTAAGGATCTTACCCAACGCCTCTACGCGCAGAATGATCGTATATGGAGACTCCTCGACCGACTCAGTTATTCTGTGTCAAGAGAGGCTGATTCTATGACAATCACCCGCATCCCGCGACAAGAGCGAGCCAATCTCACTGACTCTTCCGATCCCAGCTCAGCCATGCGACGGAGTATATCCGGCCAAGCGAAGAAACCTATGATAGAGAGCGGTGATCTTGAGCTCCTCTACTGGATGCATAACGACGATTCTGAGGTCGAGAGCGAGAAATACGAGGCCTATCTCTCTGCCATCGGCAGCTTCGACATCGAACTCTTCTGCGACACCATCCTGAAGCGCATCAAAGAAACCGAGCACCAAGCTCGCAAAGCCACACGTGATGCGCGAACCTACCGCGACAAGTCGCACGCCGCGCAGAAGGAGGCCCACGAGAAGATAGCCTACCGGCACTTTAAGGACGGTGACCTCGCCCTCTTCTTGCCGACGCGCAACCAGGCCAATGGCGCATGGGCTGCCTTTAATGTCGGCGCTCCGCACTACTTCCTGCGCGAGCAGGACACGCATAAGCTGCGCTCGCGTGATTGGCTGCTCGCTCGCATCCAACGCGTCGAGAGCCGTGTGGTGGATCTGTCAAAGTCAATGACTGGCCAGCTGTCGACGGCGGGCGACAATGGGTCTTTCGGCGACGTGAGCGTAGACGATAGTTTCGAGGATGACAATCCGTTTGACCTCTCCGACGGTCTGCGTTGGTACCTAATCGACGCCGTGGAGGAGAAGCCAGGCGCACCGCCGCTGACGCCAAGTCTCGGGAAGAGCACCGTCGCTGCAGCGAACGTGGATGCGACGGGGAGTATCAGGCACTCGAAGAAGATTTCCGGGAGCGCGGTAGACAACATCAGCAAGACGCTCAGCCGCAGCCTTGACAGCCGCCGTAGCAGCAACAACTCCCGCAAAGCAGCACCCTTTGCATCTACGCCTGTTAAGCAGCACGACAGCGCCGCCGTCGTCGACGGCGAAGACTCCCTGCACCCATCGTCAGCGGCGGAAATAACACCCCGGCCGAACCACCCGCCGCAGCTGCAGGCCGGCGGCTCGAGCGGGCTAGAGGTGCGCGACTCCGATGCTACTCCGGCGGTCTTGGACCGTCTCCTTGGGCCGTGAAGCTGACGGTGCGTGTTGTGTATTAGGCGACCACAAGCACAGGGACCAGCCCTGGGAAGAAAAGCGTGATTTGGGATAGTCTCTGGAGTTTGGATGTGAGCATTGATCGGGGACGGAAGTAGGGGGTGTTGTGAAAATGTTGGGGGGTGTCAGTTTTTATGGCGCATGGGTTGCGTAGATGGAGTTTGGGGGTGGTGCATCTTTGGCTGTCCATCCTTTACTGGCTTAGGGAGTCGCTTTGGGGGTTGCACGCATTTTTGAAAGCAGGGGATATTTTTATGAAAAGACTGGGTCTTTCGCCTGTATATACTCACCTTGATTTACGGAGATTTGTTGGCATGATATCTTCCAGGGCCGAGAAGTAAAATTTAGCTTTTAGTAGTATATTTTACAAAAACATATTGTATTACGGGCTGCACTCAACAAGCATAGAATATTTATCATTGCTAACTAGTCTCGATGATTTTTTTTTAGATATCTGACATGTTCGTTGTAGGGCAGAGTATTCCAAAATGGATACTTTGCCCAAGGTTGCTCTTCTGCATGGCCCCATTTTCAGACTTTCAGGCGTCCGCCTAACCCGCCAGTAACTGCGATTAATACATGCCTGGTGGAGGACCAACGCATCTCCGCGTTCTTGAGAACACCCTTCTTGATTTACATACTGCCGCCAGTCTCATACAAAAACAAGCTATGGCAGTCTATATATCCGTGCCCATTCTCGACGAGCTCGTTCAATCCGTCAAAGACAACCCTACTTATAAAGCTGTAAATGCAATGGCTTGTGGAATCCTCAGCTACTACTTTGCACCATCCAACGGTTATGTAATCTCGCCAGAACGTGGCCGAAACGACCACGGCGTAGATATGGCCATCTACCGCATTCGACGCCGTTTTCCAGACGATCAAAACACTCTAGACCATACACTCGTTGGAGTAAAAGGCTCTATGGCCCCTACCGAGCAATCTTTAGATCTACTCGAAGGTGCTCTAGAAAATCAACCACTAGACCTGTGAGCTGTTGGGCTATGATAATTAAATCCAACTCTATGCAATTATTGAACTATAATAACCCTTGCACATGGCAACTAATATACTCTATTTAACGATGCGACAGCTAGGAGGCTGCTGATAAGGGCAGCTTTTGTCGCTGTTTTAAGGAGCTCGTTGGCCTATTTTTCAAACTTCTACACCCCACCAGGGTCTGGCTTACAAGTATTTGTGCTCTGGAACCGGACTCATCAGCCTCCCCTTCTCAAGGGCGCTCCACACATTTTCGATACACCATATCTCCATATTCATCTGCGTCTCCACAGTCCATGTTCCCATATGTGGCAGGAGCATTACATGTGAGTTAGCGATCAGGCCTGGGTGGACCTTAGGCTCGTCTTCGAAGACGTCGAGTCCACATGACCATACTTTCCCCTCATCTAACGCCTTTACAAGGGCATCCTCGTCCATAACTGCCCCTCGGGAGGTGTTGACTATCACGACACACTCCTTCATCAACTCAAACTCCTTGGTGCTAATAATGTGGTGGGTGCTTTTCTGTTGATTCACTAGTTACTCTCGTATCTAACAATGGTGGCTAGGCATGGAACTTACATTCAAAGGTAAATTTAGAGATAGAACATCGCTAGTCCTTAATAACTCTTTGAAGCTAACGTATTTTGCTTCTCCACTTAGCTCGTCCGATAGCTTTGAGCGATTGTGGTACTGGACGGTCATGCCAAACGCAGTAGCTTTCTTCATAAGGTTCTGGCCAATCCCTCCCATACCTAATATACCTAAGATTTTGCCTTGTGGGTCGTGACCAAAAGGTGGTGGGGAGAAGCCCTTCCAGAAGCCATTGCGGAGTGCCACCATGGCTAAGATCCCATTAGTTTAGAGGCTAAGTCGATTATATAGAATGAATCTCACATGTGTTAAAGCCTCGCAGAGCTCCTAAGATAAGGAACATGTTCACATCTGCAGTAGCATTATCTGCCGCCATTGGCACATTAGCAACTCGGATATCGTGCTCTGTGCAGGTGTGCACATCAATCTGATCGTAGCCCGCTCCTATATTATGCAAAAATCAGCCACGGCTTTCTTCAAGTCTAACTCCCCAACTATTAGGCGATAAGGATAGAAGTCAGTAAGTTCCATACCATTATGAACTATGAAGTTTAGGCTCCTAGGGAGTATAGGCACGAGGTCCTCATCTATCCTGCCAGTAATGGCTACGCTCCCCACGGTCCTGAATGCTGCGACGACACCGTCGAAAGCGCCAGCCTTACACTCCTGTATAAATTCCTCGCGAGATCGAGCTTTGGGCTCAATAATTTCGGCCACGCAAGAGATTTTGGACCATTCTTTGTGCGCACTAAAAGTTCGGGATATCTGTTACCCGCCGGTTCATGTAAATGTTTTGCACGGGGACTTACAGCTCGATTTTTCCTAGGAGGAGAACTTTGGGCCTGGACATATTAGCGGTTGGAAGTTAGTAATCTACTGAAGGACGAAAGAGAGAGGAGTTGGGAGCAAGTATTTATATACAGGGCCTGTGATGGATAGGCCGATATAGGATATAGGTGCAGATAGTTTATAGTGGGTATAGCTTGGCCCCTTCCCCCCCAACCTCCCCCACTAGGCCCGAGAATATCCAAGTCGGGATCACGATAGAGATAACTGTCTTTACGATCAGTAATAGACAAGTGAGTCTATCTCTCTCGTGTCAAGTCAACAGGTGCAAGCACAGACAATAGAGCATCGACCTAAGTGGCGAGTTCGGCATGGATGATATTAATATTTATTCCCTAACTACAGTACTACATTATATCTATAGTATCTCAGGTATTTTGGAAAGGAGCCTTATTTACCGCCATTTGCAAGAATTCAAATCGAAAACTTCACATCAAGTAAAGGCTTACATGCATTATTCAGACTATTACGGTCGCCATTGACATCGCCATCAAAAGATGGGAATTAACCTGAAGGAGAATAAAAAACAGGTGAGCACAGGGGCGCAAATAAGAACCGATGAATCTAATCCAAGCAGGGAACTTGGGCGTTCTGACACTTTGGCTATGCGAACTAGCATTCCTCATTCTTCTTCTGGCCTTGCCTGACGTTGATCTGCCAGTAAAGTAATCCTAAGTAACTTCAAAAGGACGCCAACTCGCTGACAATTGCTACTCCAAAGGTCCCAGGACTTCGGCAGTTCCTCCGAACGCCGTTAAAGCTCGCGCTAACACATATTCGCATTGGTGGGGCGCACTGTTTGTCGACCTAGCGAAAACGCCACTGGAGCCTATCTTGTCGATCTCGTCGAGCTCGCGGACAACTTCCCCGTTTTCAATCCATTGAAAACGTTATGTTCACCCTAACCAACGTGACTGATATGACCAACAGGACCAATGTGACCAAGATTATCACGTGCGTACATAAGTCTGACTAGGGTGAACTGTACAATGAGGTACGATGAGGTTATTCTCTGTGGTTTGCGGGACTTTTGAAGGTTGTGGACCACAACTGCTATGTGCTTCGCTCAGCAAGCCGATAGTGGCTGAATAGACCCAGTGGATTTGGCTTCAGCGCTGTCAGGTTTAAAACGTGCGATAAAGAATAAGATCGCACGCAGCGTCCATCCGCCGAAATTGAATGCTCCGAGCACTTCCAGTAGAACTCCTAGTCTCTCTTTATACCCATCTCCTGGATGTCGAGGTCTCCTGACGCTGTTCCATTCTTCTAGAAAACGGAGTTGTGTTGAGGGAACTTGGACGTGCTCACTAGGATGCGGTAGTATTTGGCCCTGAAATGGCAGTTTTCCCGAACGCGCAGTCCAGCTCCCGGGTTGGTTTGGGTGTAAGGAAACTATCATATGGCACAAATATAAGTCACTAGCATACTGTAGAAAATGTCAGTGTTCGGCGGATACGTATCCGGGTAGTATCCGTGAACCTCACGGGTAGGGTATATACCCGGCGACGATCTGACGGGTAGGGTAGGTAAGTATCCGGATACATGAGGCTGAATATCGTATATAAAAATAGGAATAGCGTATATAAAAAAAAATGAAGCTTTTG